ACGACGAGGTTGAGACTCTCAGCCGGGTTCCTAGTTATTCCACTGCAGTGCGCTGCGCGGTCCGTCCACATGACTCTGGCCTTCCTGATTACAACGCCGTGATTGCTAGCAGTCTCCCTACGCTACCAGTTCCGCAGTCCCCCCAGCAGGCTCATATCCGCAGCGGCCGTGCAAGCGGGACTGGAACTCCTCTAGAGGTGCCGACTCGCCCCAGCTATTTCAATTCTCGCGGCACCAATGCTGACGATGAGGAACGCAGACTTAGACTTGTGCAAGCTCGCGCAAGAGTATGAGATGAGGTCATGATCCATGGATGCACGCATGATCCCGCGCGTTCAATTTCAACCAAAAGTCCTTTCTGTACCAGTGCTGGACACTGAGACCGCGACCCGCCTTACCTTTTTACCCTTCTTCTGCCCTTTTTCTCTCCATTTTCCTTTCGCCCTCCCTCATGCCTTTTCCACGAACGATCATGGTCCCCAGCATTAACTACCCTTTTCGAGCCTCAGTCTCTCAATATTTCTCACGCAGCATTGTTCTGAATCTTCCTACCGTCCACCAGCAGCAACTTCCCACCTCTTCTTGTTTCTCTTTGCCTTTCCTTCAATCATTTTCTCTCTTCCCGGCGTTCGATCATAGACGGGCAGGAATATTTTCATAGATGGCCACGGGTGTTTTCGTTTTCCTTATGCTTTTTTTTACCTCACGAATGGGATCCGATATGAACGAGCTGCATGACATTGAATTATGCCCATCAGCACGAGTCACGCATACGAGCCTTTGAAGCATGTATTTAATTATTTTTGTCGGATTAGACCAAACTCTCCAATGCTCAACTGATTTGATATCTTCATCGATGATACCATGTCCCGATTAGGAAATTAGCTGTCGATCGTATTAGGTAATCCATCTATTGGCCCTGTCAAGGTGCCCTCGGAGGAGTCTGCTTCTTCCGGCGTCAATAGCATTGTTTGCTTTCAATAGATGCAACATTGGGGAGCCATTGCCATATGGCTTTGGCCATTTTCGATTATAATTGCTTATGTGTTAGATTCTTCCCAGGCTCTAGCGGTAAGGTCTAGTTAGAGTTGAAGCCTACCTAGGTATAGTTACCCAGTCTTTGATAGTAAGCAGCCTCGAGTATAGTATACAGCTACGGTATTCCCTTCATACCCAAATCAACTTGACAGAATAAGGTTGGAAATTACCTGAATATTGGGTGGATATTAAGCCACATCTCCCGAGTAAGGCCCAACAGGGTTACAAAGTGGCTTGGTTCGATGAACGAGAGCGAGCACAGTGACCTCATCGGCGTTCGTCGATCGGTTAAGAACTCGATTTCGCCCTGGTTTTGATCCTTTTACCTAAATAAATCTTACAATATCCCACATCGTGGAAATTGTTTGTCTATTAACTCTGTGTAAGTCTGCTCGTCCTCAATTATGGATCTCAGCTAACTAGTCCAGCTATAGACTAGCGTTCCCCCACCATCGGCCTTGGTCTCCCACCAGCCACGGATGCTAACATCCCCCCATTTATTTATTTGAGCCACACTATCACTCTTCTGCCCCGGATTTGGCAAGGAGAAGATAGCTTCGACTTGGATTGTCAATTGTCGACACCTTGAATTAGGTCCCGGACTCACCGATCTACCTTACCCCGCCGTTTCTCCGCTACCATGTCCACTCCAACGAGCCCCGCGGATGTGAAGCTGCCTCAGCGGTCTGGTACCGTTAGCAGTGGCTTTACTCGTCGTACTTCCATGAGTGACGATGAAGCTATCCCCGATACTGATAGCAGTGAGGTCTGTATCCGTGAAACCCTCGAAGAAAAGTAGTAGCTTGGACTTACGGTGTGCTTGTTTCCAGACTACCAATCTCCTCCTCGAACGTCTCCGAGCCTGGAAGCATATGTGCGGATACCTCGAGGATTATTTCTCTGCTACTGCGAAAGTGCAGAAGTCCCAGTCCAAGGATTATGAGAAGATCTTGAAGGTCAGTGGTTATTTCTATGGGTCGGACAACCGGGACTAACGAATAATTGGAATAGGCCGTGAACGAACCGCTCAAGGAGGGCCACCACTTCAGTTCCAGCGCCGGCGGCGTGGCTGGTCTGTTTGAGAACCTCCGCAACAACACCCAGGGCATGGTTACCATGTACCTGGACGGCGAAAAGAACATTAAGAACGGCGTGCTCCCCACCCTCGAGCGTCTCCACAAAGAGATCAAGAACAAGTCCAAGGAGCTAAGCACCGGTGCCACCAAGGGCGCTAAGGCCGTCGAGAAGGCGCGCAACCTGACCCAGAAGCACATCGAGCTCCTAGGCCAGAACTCCGCTTGCTTTGACGCCGCCGCTTCCGGCAAGATCGAGCAGCACCACGACCCCTACCTCCTCAAGCGCGGCATCAACCACCGTCTAAACAACCAAGTGAACGAGGAAAACAACCACCGCCAGGATATCCTCGCCGTGCAGAACTCCTTCCAGCAGTTCGAAGCACACGTCCTGCAGACCGTGCAAAGCACCATGGAGCAATTCCACCAGCACATGGGCGGACAGCTCGAGCGCCAGCAAGCCATGTACGCCGACATCCTCGGCACCGCGCAGCGCATCCCACCAGACTTCGAATGGATCAACTTCTGCATGCGCAACGACGCAACGCTGGTCAACCCAGACTCGCCCCCGCGCTCCTTCTCCAGCATCACCTTCCCGAACATGGACCACCGCTCCACCCAGCCGCTGATCGAGGGCTCTCTCGAGCGTCGCTCGCGCGCCGTGATCAAGGGCTACAACACGGGATACTACGTCGTCACGCCGGCGCGCTACCTGCACGAGTTCAAGGACAACGACGACTTCCGCCGCGACCCCGCCCCAGAGCTCTCGCTGTACCTGCCAGACTGCGTCGTCGGCGCCATTGACGGCGTGAAGTTCAACGTGAAGGGCAAGGACGTTTCCAGCGGCAAAATCGGTAACGCCTTCCACACAAACACCGAGCTCAGCTTCAAGGCCCACACCCCCAATGACGCTGAGAAGTGGTGGTCCGTTATCAAGGAGGCTACCCGCGCTCCGACGGTGGCTGCTGCTGCTCCTACTGCTGCGCCGACGCTCGCTTCTCCCACCGCGACGTCGCCCGCCGCTATCTCCCCGTCTGGCGCTGCTAGCCCCTCCCGCAGCGTGTCCGGCCAGACTCAACCGCCCACCTACGCCGAGAATGAGATGGAGAAGACACAGTCTGCTCAGGCTAGTGCTGCTGCCCCTGTTGCTGCGACCCCTGTTTCTGCCTCCCCTGCTGATGCTAGCCCGACTGCGGGAATTAGCCGCACGGGCAGCACAGCTAGCCACTTCCACACCTCGCCCGGTGGCTCCGCTGTGGAGAAGTCGTGAGACATTTTCCCTCGTTCTCGTTTAGGCACATCCTTTTCAAGCTCTTTTGGTCTTTTTGAACTTGCATTACCCACACACAGAAATAACGCATGTGCATCTCATCCGTTGATTAGGTTGTAGCGTTCATCCAGCCCGGGGAGAAGATGCTTTGGTCAACTGGATATATACCTCTTAATGAATTTCTTTTCACATTAAAGCAAGAATTAGATATCAACGCTAACTGGATCGAACATCCTTTGACTATCAAATACACGAAGCGGACACAGTTGTGTCGTCAAATCATATCATAGCCTATGCTGGATATACACTCGAGCATATGGGCTAACTAGGTAATCCCAGCATACATCGCTGCGAACATTTTCATTTCCAAATATCAGAAATCTTCAGGACTTTCCAGATCATCCAGTTTCTCCCCGAGGAAACGCGCTAGCGCAGCGCATTTAGACTCCAGCGCAAGCAACACAGACGGCGAGGCGGAGAGGTTCAAACTAGACAAACGCGCAAGATCAGCGCTGCGGTCGATCTCAAACTGCGGGTCTCGGTGTCCGTTGTGAGGCGGTTTCGGAGAGATAGGCACGGCAGCCAGTGTGCGCGAAACATCACCCTGCGAGCCCTCGGGCGTCGAAGTCCCATTCCCGGCATCAGGTACGCCGGCATCAGCTGCGGCAGATTCGGCATTGGTCGCGCCGTTCGGCTCCGGTGTATCTAGTCTGGATGGGCCGACGGCGGCCACGAGGACTTTATCTGCGACGCGGGTTACCACGGCGACGGAGTCGTCAAGTTCGAAGACGATCGAGCCTACGTCGCCTAGCGACATCGACTTGGCGGTTACGTAGGAGGAAGGATGGCTGGCTGGGTTGACGCCCGTCAGGTTGCCGCTTGAGGCTGTCTTGGCGTAGCATGTGTAGGCGGCGCCATAGGTTGCGCTGAGGTTGCGCAGTTGGCGCGAGGGGAGGGAGGAGCCGTGGGCGAAGACGGCGCCATTTGTTGCGAAGACACTAGAGGGATTCGGTCATTAGGTGTTTTCTTGCGATGGAAGCGCAGCTGGCATACATGATCGTTGTGATCTCTGGCGGGGATAGGTTATCTTCCAAGAGGTCGCTTAGCGCCTCCGCGTCCAGCATTTTGATATCGGGGAGTCCGGGAATCATGGTGTTGGTTTCGGTGTCGGTGTCCTGGTCTACCGAGGGCGTGTTTTCCTCCACCTGGGTCGCGGGTTCCTCCTTTGATGCGCAATTTGCCTTCTCAATACAACCTTTTGGTGGCGTCCACGAGCAATCTTCCGGGAAAAAGAAGCAGTTGTCGCGATAGTCCTCGTCGTCGTGATCGTATTCGATCGGCTCGTCGGAGTAGTCCAATAGGTTCTGAGCACACTTTGTCTCGTATCGGGCCCAGTAAGGCAGGAAGTTCGGTTCGAAGGGAGCTTGGGAGATAGGTATGGAGAGAGTGGTCGAGGAGCAATCGGATATTGAATCAGAGAAGCCTGGAGCTGGAGGTTCGCATTCAGCCATCTTCACACCCATACTCGGCGCGGAGAGATTATAACGCGATGGTTGTTTATTTCCCACAAAAATGGTAGAATAAATAAACGGAGGGCACGAGGGAAGCAGGTGATGTTCTCATACCATGGGCTTGGCCAGGTAGACGATGGGGAATGAGGGGAACATGCAGCGTCTCGGAACTGTCGACTCAATGCGCAGCGCATCCGGGCTCTCTGGTCCAGATAAAAAGTCACGATGATTCCAATCGCGTCCGGTGGTACACAGAAAGTAGCCAGGGAAACAGCGCTTTATGAAGTCCGGTCCGAGCAGCATGTCATGAGATGTCTGAGGCTGCTCCGCAATGGGAGCACCCTGATCGGGCATATATGAAGGAAACGTGCACACGAGCAAAGACTTGATTGGGAGAGGGAGAGGGGAAGGATATGTAAAAACCGACAGCTAAGCGCGGCAGTATAGGAAAGTCGATAATTAAAGGGGAGAAACGGCATGCGACACGAAGCCGGGGCGAGGATGGAAGCCAATGGTAGGAAAGGGATCAACCGGGAGCGGGGGTGAGAGTTTGGAGGATCATGCAAGAGGACTACCACGAACCTGGTGAAAAATTGGCAAATCGGGGAAAAAACAAGTCGAAGTTGAGAGTTTGGAGGTTGAGGAGGTGAAAGAGAGGAATTGGAGATAAACATCCCGTGTGGAGTTCCCGCATGACGTTGGAACTTGGGTATATTCACGGAGTACATATATGTACCTAACAGTATATACCTTATGTGTAATAGTATTGTTCAGATCAAAATCAGGCAATGCCTACATTCCTATATTTCAGTCTATATTGTCCTTGCCTATATTACTTATCCTTACCTATATCATCCGATGTTTAATTATATATTTGTATACTTGGGCTCATGCAGCTCTGTTTCAGATGAACCACACATACTAGCCGCAGCCTAGGAGTATTAAGAATGATAAACCACCTGATAGCATTTTAATTGGTCTCCAGTTCTATATAATATACTAACTAATATACTCCTAATTCTATATATTATAAGAGCTATATGGTAAAAACGTCATGTGCCCCACCTCTCCTCACAGCTGACAAAAACCTCCAAAGGGTTTTTGCCCCTCCATCGTCCCCCCCATGTTCGCTCGTCTTTCCTTCGGGGTCCTCAAACAAAGATTCTTTGTACCAATCAGTAGGCTCGATTCATAATCAATCCATAATTCTATTATTGACAAGTTACCAGGATCCCTAGCAACCATGGCTTCCGATACCTCCACCTATAAGCTCAACCGTTCGTGGTCCATACTTCAATCTCCGACACAACCACTAATACAATGGGTACATTATAGATACGATGATTCGGGTCAAAGACCCGAAGCGGTCGTGGAATTCTACAAGTTCCTCGGCCTTAACTTGGTCAACACAATTGACATGCCGGAATGGAAGTTCTGCAACTACTTCCTGGCGTATGACGGCCCCGCCTCTCTCCAGGGTGCCCGCCACTGGACTGATCGCAACGCCGTTCTGGAATTGACTCACAACTACGGCACTGAGAATGATCCCAACTACAGCGTGGTCAACGGAAACACAGAGCCGCACCGTGGCTTCGGCCACATCGCCATCTCGGTCGACAACATTGAGGCTGCCTGCAAGCGCATCGAAGATGCCGGATACCCCTTCCAGAAAAAATTGACTGAAGGTCGTATGCGACACATCGCCTTCGCCAAGGATCCCGATGGATACTGGGTTGAGATCATTCGTCGCGCCGATGAGGACCTCAGCACCACCACTGACCCGGGTAGCTACCGACTCAACCACACTATGCTGCGCGTGAAGGATGCCGAAGTCAGCTTGAAATTCTACCAGGAATCCATGGGCATGACTCTGGTCCGCACCATTGAGAACCCAGAGAACAAGTTCAATCTGTATTTCCTGGGATACCCTGCATCCAACCCAGAAATTAAGGAGGGCGCCAAGAATGGCGTGGCGGAGTGGGAGGGTCTGCTAGAGTTGACCTGGAACTATGGCACGGAGAAGCAGGAGGGCCCTATTTACCACAACGGCAACACTGAGCCCCAGGGTTTCGGTCATATCTGTAAGTTGATCAGACGACTTCTAATTGTTTACCAAGGTTAATAAATTTTGAATTAGGTATCTCTGTTGATGACCTTGAGGCTGCGTGCGACCGCTTCGAGTCTCTGAAGGTGAACTTTAAGAAGCGCCTGACTGACGGGCGCATGCACAACATCGCATTTATTCTGGATCCCGATGGATATTGGATTGAGGTGGTGCAGAACCAGGGAATCAAGCGTACTGGAGATTGGTAATATTTGATAGTACTAGTACATAGAAATTCCTGTACAAGCCAACATTTGAAGCCAATACATTGTCCTCCGTAGATACTCCGAAAAATGCAGAATATCACTTGACCAGCTTATCCCCCACCATTTCATAGGTCAACGGAGGTGGACCCTCCCCCGCAGACCTTTTTGATCTTGGGGACAACTTCGTGATTCAGAAAATCTCCCCTTTTCACCTCTGGATCTAGCTAATGGCTTGACGATGAAAATTTCGAGAATTTCGGCCCTTGACGCGGGATGAATTGATGTGATCTCGCCCATTTCGTCGTATTTGCGGGGATTCATCGCCACTCACCACTTGAAAACCCCCAGACTCCAGCTTTCGGAAGAATTGTCGAGAAAGTGGTCTCAACCTCATAAACGATGTCGCCTGGCCCAGAGAAACCGAAAAAGGCACCTCGTAAACATGTCACCACCGCCTGTGTGCCATGTCGGGAGAGCAAAATCAGGGTATGTGCTCTGAGCTTGTGGGGAAAACGCCTAAATGGCTTCAAATAATCTAACATGTCTCCTAAAAAGTGTGACGGAGCCACTCCGCACTGCCAGAATTGTCAGCGCAAGGGGAAAGAATGCAAATACCAACATGGAGATGACAAGCGCAAGTAAGTACGACCTTTTGCAGAGTTCAAAAGTGGCCAAGTGACGGAGCAGCCCTCATAGGCAGAGTCATTACTTAATCCTTCCCTGGTCAAAAGCTAACATGAACTAGAGTGTCTCTTCGAGCATCAACGGAGCTGTTTTCAGCCCGAATTGACCAGCTTTGTCATTTCATCAAGGAGCAGGGGCTTGAGCCACCGCCAATGAACCCAGAGGATGAGGCTGGCATGAACAGAGTGTTAGACACCCTCCAGATCCCGCGCGGATTTCCTCAAGTCTCAGCAGTGGCCGATGAAAAGCGACCACCGGTTGAGGCAACCGCCTCTGGAGCCTCAAGCAAATCTCCATCCCAAGATCCGCCTACCGTAAACCCTAAGGGGCAATCCCCAAGCACCAATCCTGTTGTTTCTGGTGCATCCCCAGCGCAAGATACTGCATCTAGTGGGAAGGTCCCGTCTCCTGAGGGCTGGAATCCCTTTGGAATGGTACCGGGCGCTTCGGACAATCAAAACTTTGTCCATTGGGGTTTCACATTGCCAACAGCTGAAAGTCTGGACACGATATACGCTAATCTCAACGGGGGGTCTAGAGCCCCTACGATGCCTAGAATCCCCGTGAACACGGAAATGAACCCGGATAGCTACCAGCTTGGCATGGACATGGCCCAACAGCCGGGGAGTTTGCTAGGCCAGCTACCCCATGAGGGAGAAAATGATTCGGACAGCGGCGAGGAGGACGAAGCTGAAAATGACGTTATTGAACAACTGTCGCACCGAATTGGCACTTTGAAAATTGCGGGTGATGGCCACCTGCGATTCTACGGTGCCACGTCCAACCTCAATCTGGTGGACGTGTCTGCGACACAGCAGCGACAACGACCAGATGCGCGCACCGTGCGCCACGATGGTCAGGATATTCTGAATCACCTTCGGGTTGGTCAACCTGTTGATCAAGCCTTGGAGGACCATCTTGTGGAGCTATATTTCACCTGGCAAAACCCCAGTACATACATTGTCGACAAAGAGATGTACATGACGGCACGAAGTAAATGGCGCAATGAGCTCGACGATACTCCGTTCTACTCGGAAGTTCTAACTAATGCAATGTGAGTTATTATTTCCGGTGCTCAAGGGATATGCTGACCGGTTGCAGGTGCGCGATCGGGAGTGCCTTTGAGGCACGCTACCACCCAACATTCATCACTTTCCCGAAGTCTCTGGCTGAATTCTTCGCGGATCGTGCTAAGGCCCTTTTGGAAATCGAGCTCGATTCTCCTTGTGTTGCTACTGTCCAGGCCCTTGTCATTATGAGCTGCCACGAAGGCGCATCAAATCGCGATGCTCGAGGTTGGCTGTATAGTGGTAAGTTTACATCTTGGAGATGGGGAACGATCAGCGCTCATTGCCTAATTGCTCTGCAGGAATGTCTATGCGGCTTGCTTTCGATCTTGGTTTACACCTAGATATGACGGCGTATGTCAACAAGGGTGAAATCACCCAGATCGAAGCCGATGTACGCCGCGCAACCTTTTGGGGAAGCTATGTTGCGGACCAGTGAGTTTTCGCACTCCTTATACTGTCGACTTCTCTAACAGTAACTAGTTTCTGGGGATTTTACTTGGGTCGTCCGTTCCGCATGAACGCTGGAGACATAGGTGTTCCAAAACCTGGCTCTGCTCTTTGTCCTGAAAAGGAAGAAAACTGGCATCCATACGGCCATCAAGCTGCTCATGCGCTATCTCAGAACGGTCTGAGGAACCCTATGGAGCTTATATGCAGACAATTTGTCGTTCTATGGGAGATGATAACCCCAGTTGGTCACATTCTGTATGTAAATCTTGCATGATATTCAGTACAACGCTAACATGGTACTAGGTATGGATGTTCCGACATCTCTCGGCACGACTTGCAAAGAATCTGCTATCAAGTGACCGAGGATTTGTTCGCTTGGAAAGCAAATCTTCCTTCTACCCTTCAGATTGATCTGGACGACGATACATCACCGATATTGCCTCATTTGATGATGCTCCAGTAAGTTTGTTCCAATACAATAGACACCGGAATCATACTAATAATCTCTTGTAGCATGCAATACCACCAGATCATCATTTTCTTCCACCGCCCATGGCTCTCCAAAAGCTATATCCAGCCCCGCAGCCCTCGTCAAGGCCCCGGGTATCACCACGCGCGGCGCATGTGCGTGGAGTCAGCCACTGCCATCGCACGCCTACTCAAACTTTTCGAGAAACACTACACCTTCCGCCGCATGAACAACCAAGTCGTAGCGATAATATTCAGCGCAGCGCTCATGCTTCTGTTCGTGACAGTGTCAAGTTCCCCAATGAGCCCAGGCAAGCAGGGCGACAGCCCGACATACCCCCGTAGCACGGAAATGGTAGCATATCTCAATCTGTGCTTCCGGGCGCTCGATGAACTGGGCCAATCATTCGACAATGCCAAGCGCACCCGTGACTACCTCGTTACCCTGCAGCGCCGTTGGCAAGCAAACATGCGCCGATCCGGCTCGGCGACAAAACGCCAAAACAGCAGTGCTAACTTGGCGGCTCTTGGCTCGCAGAAACCATCTACACAGAATACCCATGCTTCCAACGCTCATGAACTAGACGGCTCGCGCAAGAAATCTCGTTTATCTGTTTCCGGAGTCCCTCCCAATATGCAGTCAACAGCACCTGTGACAACCAACCAATACTCCCGGCTCTCTCAGCACACCATGCCTCCCCAGCACCAATATCATCAGCAGGGCTCTTATCAACAACAAGCCCCCTTTCCCGTCCCGGGTCCAGACTCCCAGCTAGGCGACCTAGACTGGATCCCCAACTCAGACATGCGACTTTTGTCCGAGACTCAAAATGGCAACGCTCTAAATGACATGGGCCAGATCCCTTCCCCTCCCTTCCCAGAGGACCCCAGCATGCTCTCAGACATCGCGGATATCGATTCATGGTGGGCGCCGGATAATTATACGAGGACCTCAATGCCACCATGAAATCATTATTGAGTGACTAGGCACACTGCTTTCTGGTTTGCTTGTCTGAATACTTACAGCATTGTTATTACAACATTGTAAGAGTACTGAGTTCATCGAGTCCATCGAACTCACCACATAGAGGAGATAGAGTGAATATTCCATAATCAAATGATATATATCACTCAAGTAGAGAAAGGAATATACCATTATTTTCACATTCACATTTGGGGCCTCGATAAATAAATTTCTTGCATACCCAATTCCATATGTAAATTCGATGTTATACTCATTGCAACCAAGTTTAATCTATATCCTCCAATGTTCCTTCGAACACATTCTTGAACCAGTCACCCACTTCCTCTCCCAAATTATCACCAGGACCCCGAACTTGAGATAAAGTAACCCTCCGCTCCCCAACCCCCTTCTCCCGACCCCAAAAGCAAGCCCGCCGCATAACAGAAACCATCTCATCAGCCTGTCTAGCAAGAACCGTAGACCCCTGAAGCCCCTCTCTAGTCTTCTTCTTCATCTCAATCGCAGAAGAAGACAAAGAACCAGACGCCAAACCGGCACCGTCATCACTCGTAAACACCCGAACCCAAGGTAAAACCATCTGCAACCGCCCAACCCCATCCCCAGGCCCAGACCACGTCTTCCCACTAAGCCCATAATCCAGCCCATACGGCGGCCAGCGCGAAAGCGCCTTCCGGCGCCGGGTCCCAGTAGCACCAATACCATCGACGTCGTCGACATCCGCATCTGTATCGGAATACAAATCTCGATCCCGGATCAACCCATCCGATACCCCGTATTCCTCCGGCGTCGTCCTCCGCGTCTCCTTCAGCACGGGAACGGGATACTCCGGCCCCGTTAGATACTGCGGGAATGTGCGCGGTACGTCCCGGCCCGCGGAGCGGAGGAACAGGATTGGCGAGGCGAATGAGTCGAAGCAGCGTTCTGGGGTTGAGAAGAATCTTGAGCGTGCTTGCAGGAGGGGGAGTAGGTCTGGTGGTGCGTTCTTTTTCCTTGATTGGCGTTTGTTCTTGGATGCTTTTGTTGGGATTACGGTGTTATCGTCTGCTCGTGTTTTGGGGGTGATTGCGCTCTCGCGCGTGCAGTACTCGTCCAAACCGGGCCAGTCGCAAATGGGGTCTATGGCGGCGACGGCGCGGATGGATTGTGCTTCTGTTAGAGCTAGCATGAGGGCTAGGGAGCCTCCGACGTGTGTGCCGATGACGGCTAGTTGGGATGGTTGGAGGTGGGTTTGGATCCAGTCGAATCCGGCCAGTGTGTCGTGGACGGGGGTTGGGTATTTGTAAGAGGTGAGGTGGGAGTTGGTTGATCCCAGGGTTTGGTCTGGGGCTTCAATTGGCTCTTGAGAGATAGAGCTTTTATCTGATGATGGGGAGATATGTGTTGGTATCTCCCCAAGGCGGTAGTTGACTGTGACTACCAATGCAGATGCAGTGGATGCTAGGACATGCTGGGGTGAACCTGCTGCGGAGGCCAAGGTGTTGGTACCGCCAGTCCTTTGGTGATCAACTTCAATGTTTTCACGTTTTGGAGATGCGCTCATTCTATTTTCCTGTAACAAAGGTCCAGGCGGAAGGTAGAGGATGACATTTGGGCCTTCTGGAGACAGCCCCTGGTGAGACCGGCTCAACGCGCTCGGTCGCGTAATTCTGGGGATGAAGTTAGCATGTATAACTAAGGCTTATAGGAAATTTGATATATTACTTGAGAGAGATAGCCCCATTGTTTCCAATAGGAAGAGAAATTGTCTCGTCTGTGCAATCGGTTGAAACGGTCGAATATCGCGAGCTTTGGAAACACGCGACTGAGATGCGGGTAGCTCCTCTGCTGCGACGCAGTAAAAGGGCTATACCGCGGGACGAGTAAATAACCCCTCGCATAGTAATTTTAGAGCATGCCCTTGGTGTTTGATAAAACTTGTCAAGGATCGGGCTGGTGGCCTTGCTAGTTAGTTATCCGAAAGTCGTTGATGCCTGGATAATATGGCAATCTATGTGTAGTTTCGCGATGAAAATGACATTATTGGAAAAGGAGCTCAACAATAGAACATAAAATATCCGAATGGTAATGATGCTTGCTTAGGAAACTGATATGTTAATTTCAACAAAGTCCATTACAGTCTGGAGTGTTATAGCATTCTATTCTCTGCATCATTCAGCCCAGCCAGCAAGCAAGGACTAAGCCAATCATGCGCGAATGTCAATATTTTCTCTCTCTACAATTCGAATAAACAAAAACAATGTATGAGCCATGCTATATAGGCAGCTGGCTGCTCCAAGAGTCCCTCCACGAATAAGTGTCTCGCCGAGAGGTAGTCGCCGACGCCGCAGGGTCGTCTCGGTCCAGAGGAGCTTCAGTATCATCCTCTGGCACAGGACGCACAACCTGTAAGCTCAACATCGGATCCTTGGAGTAAACGCGCAGACCAACTACACAGACGGCATTCCACGGGTCAACAGGAGGCTCGTTGTGATCCATCAATGGAGGGTGGTTCTTCACATCAGCCTCGTCAGGAGGCATATCGAGATCGCTGTCAAATTCGAACCCTTCTAGCAACTCAAGGTCACTCGGGTCCAGAGTCTCTGTAGCAAATCGAGCGTCTAGACTGGGACGCGGTGAGTCGGGTCCACGTCGCCATCCACTGCTTGCGCGTCTTGCGTGTCTTTCATGTAGGCCCTGGCCGCCGTTGACGTGGATGACCGGGACAGACCCGTTGACACGGCGGTCACTGTTTTCGCTCGACATGCTTCCAGCGTCGATGGGGGATTCCGCCACTTGCTTCTCCGCCAGAATTTGGCTAGGGAGCGAATCGCGTTCGGGGTTGTGATCGTAGGAGCTGCCGCTGCCGCTGGGCGTGCGGCACTCGCGCCTTGCTTCCATGCCTTCCATGCGCTCTTTTCGGGCATTTAGCTTCTGATTGCGGATCCAGTCCTTCTGCATCCTTTTCTTAATATCGTCGCGAAGCTTTCTTCGCTCAGCTGCCTTGAAACGCTCTTGCTCCCGCTTTTCTTGCTCTGTCTCGCCCACCAGTCCCTTCGCATGCGCGAGGTCGTATGAAAGGCCAACCTGCACCAATTTCTCTCTTCTCGTCGAGGCAACCTGGCGGACTATTTCTTCGGTCGAGTCTGCGTCTTCGTGGCGGAAGGCTGTGATTTTCATCAGGACGTGATAGCGACCCGGGTCAAGGTTAATCTCGGCGTTAACAGATCGGCCCATGAAGTGGCTGCTATGGCTGCGCACGAGGTAATCTCGTTCGCCCTCCTTCTGCAGGCGGAACTTGAGCACGAAGCTGTATTCGCCAACTAGTCCTTTGAAATAACGCGTATCGAGCTGTGTCTGTCAGCCACTGCACAAGAGCAGGAGTAAATAGCGTAAAACGAACCTGGGATAGGACAATGACTACTGGACCACTCGTAGTCACCTCCATCATGAACTTGGTGCTGTGATAATCAGCGGACCAGGGAACATTCAAGGTAGTCCATTGCTGGGTAATAGTCCACTCAGGGCCAAAAAGGCGAGTCCGGTCGAAGTGCTGGTATTTCCTGAGCAGATCTTTATACGAGATCCAGAAGAACTGGGCCAGGTCAGCATATTTAGTAAAACCACCATAGGCGACTACCTACACCATCGTTGCCAAATTTATGGCCAAGAGTTTGCATCCACTCGGGCGTCCATTCTTTGGATCCATCACCCCAGGCACCGTGCCATTCTTTGCGACCCCATGGGTTCCTTACATTTGTGAGCTTTCATTAATTCGCCTTGACTAGGAGATTCATGGACATACCTGAGTCGCAGTAGTCGATGTCCGTCAATCTCTCTGGCTTCCATGATGGAATACGAGTGGCCCTCTGAGATACCCTTTCGATCTCTCGGTGGACCCCAGTACTTGGGATCCAGCCAGTTTGAAAACAGGCCCGTCCCACAGCCAAAGAGGAATTCCTTGTTGACCTTCATAATTTCCTCGGTCCAAAAGCGGTCCTTATTCAGGATATTACTGGATAAGACCTCGGACGTGACGCCTCCAGTGAGATCCTCGATGGCTTCACCAACAAACCCACCCTCGATGGCGGAATAGTCACCATGGGCCTTTGCGAAGGCTTTCTCCAGGAGGGGTAGCCAGGTCTCGTTTTCATCGACGCACTGGGCGAAGTAGAGGGCCCGCGAGCCGGTCTGCCAGACTCGCCGGTACTCTTCCTCTGTATCAGTTCGATTTATATCGTCCCAGATTGGCCGCTCTTCCACAGACTCATCATAGTCAGCAGCACGGAGATATAGCTTGTCATCTACAATGCACTGCTGCCACTCGCCATCTGATGATTGAAGTCAGCATAATTCCAAGTCGGATCTGACCTCAAGCACGGGCTTACCTCGATGGAAGACGAATCCATAAATCCCAACCTCTTCATTGCGAGCAACACAAATCTTCTCGATCAGCTCCTCCTTGTTACCCATAGTGCAAAGTGCAGCCATGAGCCAGCAATCTCCATCATATCCCTGCCGCACATCTGACGCGGTAGGCCCATTAACAAAGAACTGCGGATTCTCAAAGATTTCCTATATGAAAATGATTAGCAAACCACAATCCGATCCACCCATTGCAGATAATTCTCGAACTAACGGTCACTCTCTTCACTCCCCTGGGTCTCATCTCCGTATTCGGCTTATCCAATCCATCGAGATAGTGTCTCCGACCAGACTTCAGATCTAGCTCGATATCAAAGTGCGGGTCCGAGTATTTCTGATTCACACGCTCGCATTCCTTGACAATACGGTCGACAGACTTTTGACATTCCCGGCGCGCCTGCTCATACGATTTGACGGCCTCGTGGCCTTGAACGCGACCGCTGGGCACATGCTTGGCCCTTGTCCGTGCATAGGGATTGTCCGGCAGCACGGTGTATACTTTGCCCGGGTACTTGGTGTTGAATTGGTCCCAGAACTGCTTGACAGTTTCCTGGGGTGCTTGAGAGCGTGAGCGAGGCGGTCGGCTGTTTGAGCGCGAGGAGCTTGGTCCTACGGCATAGCCCATCTCGTCGTCGAACTCCATGGTTTGAAGGCCTTTGGATTGGTAAAGGTTCTTGGCTTGGGTGTGGTTGTTTCTGGTTTATTTTCTTTCCTCGAGGAGGGAACACAGCGGTGGGGATATTTGGGCGGCTATTTGTTTTATATCGTACCAATGACTCGAGAATGGCGATCACTGATGAAAATAGAAAGATGGGGTCTGCTCTTCTGAATGTGCGCTCTGGGAAGACATTCCCCAATTACCCCCTCACACGGCCACTCCGAGCCGAGAGCATAGCCTCAGCCTCCATTTTCTCGTATTGATTCGCTGGGCTTGGACCTGTTCTCCATAAAATCGTTCATCGTAAGGCTGCATGTGCATTGGACTAGCGAGCGAACGAGCGAATCTGACAACAAAGGGTGCTTTCGGCCCCCACCTCGCTTCTCAGCCCCTCCTGCAACGGGCGCGTAAGAATAAGCATGAATTCCGTATTTAGACTGGATCAGACTTGGCGGAGCAAGTAGACAAGTGAGATGTCAGAAAACAAGGAATGTAAGAACTGGACTCGGATAAGATGCTTAGCGTGTCTCATTCCCAACCTTGGGGGTTCTTAGGTTTTGGGTCGGAGACTCCGACCCAAAACCCATGAGGACGACTCTTGACCTGCACTTGAACTATGTATGGAGCTCTTCATTAAGAGGCTGAACAAGCCGAATACAATAGTACCGTCACATCATTTTCCGTATCTGGTTACAGGGTTGAAAGGGTATGTACGCCTGTTATTCAAGACTAAAGCACTTCGTATCCAGTAAGCCCGCCCTCCATATCACTCCCCATTGAACGCCGAAAGAGGAGAAAGAAAACATGCCCGAAAACCATTCCCCACAGTGAATAAGATTACACACCATTTTAGAATATGTGGAATCTTCAATCTAGTGGAAGCCGTTACTTGGACCACGTCCGGAATAGTATGCGGTGCCGTTGCGGAAGTATGGGTGTAGACAGGCCTGCTTGGCCGATAGTCGGTGTGCAGGGTCAAACTCGAGCAGAGATTCCAAGAGCTGACATCCCGCTTCTTCCAGCCCAGGAACGATCTCAGCATCGGGACGCTTCCATTTCGGGAAGGTGGGCTTATAATCGGGGAACGAGGTCACACCGGGCCAGACATCTTCACCAGGCGTACCAAGGATTCTGCAATTTGTTAATACGGTTGAACACAGAGCAGAACAGAACCACCCTTACCGGAAGATCTTGAAGATCTCGTCAATTTCAGAGTCACCGGGGAAGAGAGGCTTGCGTGTACACATCTCTGCGAAAATGGCGCCCACCGACCACATATCAACACCCGTGGAGTACTGGCGTCCACCCAGCAGAATCTCCGGAGAACGGTACCACAAGGTGACAACCTGTAGATTATGTTAGTAAACGGAGAATTGTATAAATGGAAATCGGAGATTCAACGCATACCTCGTGAGTGTAGGTACGAAGGGGAACACCGAACGCTCTGGCAAGACCGAAATCGGCCAACTTCAGGTTGCCTTCACGGTCAATCAACAAGTTCTGGGGCTTCAAGTCACGGTGCAGGATTCGGTGGCTATGGCAGTATCGGATGCCCTCAACAAGCTGAGCCATGAATTTCTTGACCATTGCCTCACCCAGGCCCAGGGTTGCACCCGCCTTGAATCCATCGGGCAAAGGCTTCCCTCGGCCACCGTCACTGACAGGCAGAGCCTCCATGTATTTCTTAAGGTCAAGGTCGAGGAATTCGAAGACAAGGTAGAGCTTGTGGCCATCGGCGTGGACAATATTTAGCAGCTGCACAATGTTGGGGTCCTGCATCTCCTTGAGGAGGGAAATCTCGCGGATTGCAGTGCTGGGGACGCCCTCATCTTCGGCCTCGAGGCGAATTTTCTTCAGGGCAACGATACGGTTGGGGTGATTGAGTTCACGGGCCTTGTAGACCACACCGTAAGTGCCTATAGAGTATCGACGCGTGAGTTGAGCTGTAGGTAATAACAGTCGCGTCGAAAGTCCATACCTTCGCCAATTTTCTCAATTTTCTGATAGTTATCCATGGTGCCCGTCATTCAATCCTTTCCTACTGCTAGTGAGATTAACAATTTCAAAACAGAGGCAGAATGAGGATTTGACACAGATTGGAGGGATATTGCCAAGAAGAATCTGTAGGGGAAGCAAGGAGAGGAGATAGCCACTAGTCACTTACCACCGAGGATATTGATATCTGAGAACAGCTGGAGCAGCACGCTCTCCAAATTCCACCGGGAAATTGAAAGATAGTAACTTGTTGAAGAGATGATTGACAAAAGACAGTATTTCAATGGTGGGGAGAGAAAGACACAAAACAAACAACCCCCGCGATCAGAGGGCGGTGAAGCGCGTACCTTTTCCTTCCTTATTCGACTTTCTCTCTGACTTCATCTCTTCACAATGGCTCAAATTAAGGGGTTTAGTGCTCATGATCGCCCTCCCGATCCAGTGAGGACTTGCTACAAGAAATATTCTAAAATTGCCCTGTCCGAAGTTGACAATGATCCGGGAATCCTCGACCTGCAGCAGATCGATCCCGACCAACTGCCCGACGGAGTGACGATCACCCAGTATATGTCCAGCCAGGATCTGCGATTGGCATTTGACGATTTTTTTCGTGGAAGCCATGCTTCAACAGAAGAAGATGCTTCTCTGACTGAGGATATTCCAGTATTCGCTCATAAATCGATTTCCGGTTAGCATTGTATCGCCTCAATTTGGAACTGACCCGGCAGGACAAAGAGCTATGCCTGACCTCCTGACAGGTCTCCTGATGATCCCCGCCTTGTTTCCTCCTACTATCCAGATCGAATTGCTATCTCGCCTATTTCACCGAGACTTACCCAACCCGGAGCATCAGACAAACCTACACCTGCACTACGACGTCACATACCCTGAACAATCCGAACACACCCGCATGCCCAAGTCGTTCTTCGCAGACGACCCCACTCGGACTTTCCAGCCCAAGGAGCCTGATGTGCACAAGCCTTTGACAGTTCAAAATTTCCTAGAGAAAAAGCTGCGCTGGGTGACATTAGGTGGTCAGTACGACTGGACCGCGAAAGTATACCCATCTGGACCTCCACCGGAGTTTCCCCCGGACATTGCAAAGGTGCTACGCGCAGCCTTCCCGGCAACCTCGGCACAGGCGGCCATCTTGAACCTCTACTCTGCCGGAGATACACTCAGCGTCCACCGGGACGTGAGTGAGGAGTGTGACGTAGGTTTGATAAGCGTGAGTTTTGGATGTGATGGATTGTTCTTGGCTAGCCACGACGACGGGAATGGTTGTGAAATCATTCGGCTTCGCTCGGGCGACACTGTCTATATGAGCGGTAAATCGCGATTCGCCTGGCACGGAGTCCCAAAGATTCTGCCCGCGACCTGCCCGAAATGGCTGGCCAATTGGCCATCATTTGGAGAGTCTGCTCCAGGAATGCCACCTGCTCCATATGAGATGTGGAAGGGTTGGATGTCTAGCAAACGGATCAACCTGAACGTTCGACAGATGACGGCCACCCAGGCTTCCGAGGGGAAAGCAGACTACGTTTGAAAATGAGGGATCCAGATCTCAGTAACGTCATTATTTCCCTGGTCCAAACATGGACAACATTATATAGTGCCTACTCAAGCACAGATGCAGTCGTGCTGTTCCAATGCGTTTTGTCAAATCGCCCAGTAAGGCATTTCGTCTTGAGAATAGTGTGCGGATTGTATTTCCACGAGGATGATAATCCGATCGAGATAACAACCAGCCGCCCCCTAGACGAATCAATTGCACTTAAATAGAGCGAATAATATGGGCATCTCTGCAATAATTCAAATTAAAGACAGTAAGGCGCAAAGGGAGTGGGCGATAAGCTAGCCTCCAACTGTTTCGTGTTCAATGACTCCAATAACCCCGCACCACTGTTGTTGTACACTTCGTGGAAGTCTCCTACAACCCCTCAACATATCTAATTAAAATGACTGGCACATCCTGGAAACTGAAAGGCGAAGCCAAACGCCAGTCAATTCTAAATGCCATCCCCGAGAATTGGCGACTGGAATCTCCTGTCCCTCCCGCTACAGAACTACGAGATGTTACAGGGGATTATATTCGACAATACCTCACCGAGCACGAGATTACTATCACGGAGACAGATGCCGTAGACATTGTGGCGCAGACATCTACAGGCCGCTGGTCAGCCCTGGAAGTGACAGAAGCCTTCTGTCACCGGGCTGCACTGGCTCACCAGCTCGTACGTTTATATAGTTGCAGCGCACAAGATGCATCGACCTCAGACCACCAAATAAACTAACCATTCACCGAACACTAGGTCAACTGTCTCCACGAGGTATTCTTCGAAGCCGCAATTCAAGATGCCAAACAGCAAGACGAATACTTCGCAAAACACAAAACCCCTATAGGACCCCTACATGGCCTACCAGTGAGTCTAAAAGACCAATTTCACGTGAAAGGCGTGGAAACCACGATGGGCTACGTAGGCTGGATAAACACCTTCCAAGGCCAACAGGACGACCCGCGCAGCGGCACAGAAGAAAGCGAACTCGTCCGCGAGCTACGCAATCTAGGCGCAGTCCTGTACTGCAAGACCAGCGTGCCAGCCACCCTAATGGTCGGCGAAACCATGAACAACATCATCGGCTACACCTGGAATCCCAAGAACCGCCTGCTGTCCAGCGGCGGCAGCTCTGGCGGCGAGGGCGCCCTGCTTGCGCTCCGCGGCTCGCCTGCTGGCTTCGGCACTGATATCGGAGGTAGTGTGCGCATCCCCGCTGGGTTTAATTCCCTGTATGGGATTCGTCCTTCGGCGGGTAGGATTCCTTACCAAGGTGCTGCGAACTCGTTGGATGGCCAGGGGTCTATATTGTCTGTTATTGGGCCGATTGCGCCGACTGCGCGGTCGTTGACGTTCTTGTTCAAGGCTGTTCTTAGTCAGGAGCCTTGGTTGCATGATCCGCTTGCGTTGGAGCTACCGTGGAGGGATGAGGTTGTTCGGGAAACTAGGGCGTTGATTGAGGAGGGTCGTGCTGGGTCGTCGACGCTTGCGTTCGGCATTATGAAATACGATGGTTTGGCACTTGTTCATCCGCCTATTGCGCGTGGGCTCAGGATTGTTGAGAAAACGCTACGGCGGTTGGGTCACCGCGTTGTGGAGTGGACGCCTCCTTCTCACTCAATTGCCAACGAACTACTTGTATGTACCTGTGCGTGCAATCCGGCACGTTGCTAACTTGTGGCAGGGTAAAATATTCAATATGGACGGCGGCGCAGACGTGAAGTATCATTTGGGTCTATCTGGAGAACCTCAAGCCCCGGAAATAGTCTGCGACGAAAATGGTACTCAGATGTCGGCATCTGAGATTGCGGCGCTCAATGTTGCGAAACGTGAGTATCAGAAACAGTATCTGGACTACTGGCATAGCACAACCGAAGTGACAGGCACCGGCCGCCCTGTTGATGCGCTCTTTTGTCCATTGGCACCTCATGCGGCAGTTATTCCCGGCGAATTCAAGTCTGTGGGATATACTGGATTTGTGAATGTGCTTGACTATACTAGCCTTGCGATCCCAGTCACATTTGCGGATAAGAAGATCGATGTGCGCTCGGCTAATGAGTCTGTGGATGATTCTGAGCATATTCAGTGGGATTGTGGGTTTCCCCCCTGCCTTCACTCTCGTGGTTTCATACTGATCGCTGTATAGATGATGCCGAGGCCTACGATGGGGCCCCGGTGGGGGTGCAATTGGTAGGCAGGAGGTTGCAGGAAGAGAAGATGTTGACACTAGCTGAGTATTTGGGAGAAGAGATTGCTCGAGACACGAAAGAGAGAGCCTGAGTCTAAAATACCAGACTCATCACGTTACTGTAACAGAGCATCTGCGCATCGATTATGATAAAGATGAACCATTTGGATTTCGTATGGGTATTTATGACCATGCTATTTATTCTCTACCAAGAAGAGTGGATATAGAAGCAGAGAGATCAGACCAAACCTACTGGCCCAAGTCAGTGCAGAGTATAAATCATAGCTCCCAGGCACCTTGGCTTGTCCGGTACTTCTTATACAAGAATTATGTTCCCAAACCAGTCAATTCCTAGACGATGGAGGCGTCTGTCCCGAGGGTGCAGCAAGATTGGATAAATGGGGCGTGGAAGATCCCCACGGTTTTCCAGCTGCAGAAGGCGGAGCATGACCAGACTCAGACGAGGGACCAGATGTGTCTTCTGAGCCATTCATGAGGCGCTGTCGCTTAGCCGGAGGCAGCCCACCCACCTGGGGCATGACGGTGGGCGGGCTGCGAGGATCTGCAAAAGAGTGGGGAGAAGCGTAGTGGGTAGATGAAGCAGGCGTCGAGGCAGCCGCAGCGTCTGGGCTCAAAGCCGTAGCAGATTGCAAGGGGCGCAAGCGATTGGGGTGAGAGGTGGTGTCTTCGCCTGGGCGTGGAGGCCGGACATCAGGGCTTTGCTGAGACTGACTTTTGTCTGAATCCCCCGTCTGACTGGGGTTTCCATAACCAACCCCAATCCGGCCCATGCTCTTATCGTGCATAACAACGCGTCTCCATTTGGCGACCACGCTGTCATAGTCCCATCGTGTAGAGTCGGGACTGATATGGCTTTCTTGTGCGTCCAATTCCCGCGCTACCTCCCGTGGCAGGGGAGCGTATCTGGTGGAAACAGTGCGAACTCACGAGGCCACTGGCATGATCCAAGGCGCTCGACCTGTGCGCGCAGCTGGTTTGCTTCCTGTTGCACTCGAGCGAGTTGCTCGTCTGAGGACTTGCGCTTCTCTGCCTCGCGCGCAAATGCACGCGTGATCTCCAATTGCCACGCGTCGCGACGGGTCTCGTGGGACAGAGTATTCCAATGATTGAAAGCCAATTCCAAGTGTCGGAAACTGATCTCCTCGTGCTGCTGCGCGCTGCGGTATATCATGTTCGGATCCATCCCGCTATTCCCATGTCGTGTGTGAGTCGCAGCAGTGGAGTCGGCCGCGAGTTGGTCGGTCTGCCATTGTGCGACCTTGGATCGAAGGGCTTGGCGGATTATATCGAGATGCTCGGCGCCGGGTGGCTGGAGGGGAAACGAGGTAGAGGAAGGAAACGGATGTGTCGCAAACAGGCTTGGTGGAGGAGGGAGCAGCTGCAGACACATGGAGGGAAAAGTCTGAGCTTGCATGTCGAAGTCAAACGGAGACAGCCGAGGCCGGATACGAGATCTGATGTTTCGTTAGCTTGGGGGTTAGATATAACGATGGGATTGAGTCGACATACGTTGCGGCTTTGATATTATCAAGCACCTCGCGTAGTGCAAGTTCCAGTGCCCGCATCGTATCCGGGCTGCTGGAGCTAGCACCTCTACTTGCATAGTCCGGCAGTTGTAACGGCGTTGTCCGAGACTGTGAAGGTGTAATGCGAGGCCCATCCGGCATGCGACTGGGGTTGGGGATATCGTTGATCACCCCAGTCGCATGCCAGGTGGGTGTGTTGAACATCATGCGCACCGGAGCGTCGCGCGACTTTGACCCCGAGTCTGCGGCTGTAAACAACTCTGAGGTACCCTTTTTCTGGACTCGGTCGGGACTCCCCTCGTTCTTCCCTGTGGATGTTCGGGCCTGGCGCCGGGTGATTCCACTGCGAATTCGTCTGATCTCTTCGACATCGTGGATTCCGTCAGGTTTCTTCTTGAAAAGGAATTGGTCAAGGTGTCGACCCAATGATGAGGACGTAAACGCCTGTTGGCAGTACTGGCATTTGCGATCCTTTGTAGTAAGGCTGGTCTTCGACTCGTCACCAACAGTCGAGCCTTCGGGGGTATCTCTGGCGGTTTCTGTTTCTTCTTTCATGGTCGAGGAAGTAGAAAAAAACGAGGTAAATGCAATACGAAGAAAATTAAGAAAATTGAAAATTGTCTTAAAAGGTCATGATATATGATATAGTGCCAGACGCAACAAGGTATAGGTAAAATTCAACGCGCAAGAGAGGGAGAAGACGGAGAAATGCCAAGCTTTTGGGCGCGGAGCTGCGCGACGAGCAATTCCGTGAGCCAAGGCACATGGAGATTTATCTATATTGTACGGATTGATCTCTGATGATTTATCTATGGTGTGTAACCGTTTCAATGCTACCTATGCAAGTATTAGGTAGGCTCTGCAATGTAACTAGGTTCTTAGCCAATGGACTGATCATAATCGATGTCACTGCCTAGGTGCATATAGTACTTTCAACAAATCAAAATCACAGAATCGCAAAGATCGTATATTTCTTATGAAGATAGACCGCTGATATCGCCTAATATTTTAAGTCTCGGACATTATGTTGAGTCAATGACACGATACACCCGTGGACTCATGCACATGGAAGACACAGTGTAACCCTCAACGGTCTTTGCCCTTTCTCGCCTTACGCGCACTGAACCAGCGCTTCAGGTTGCTAACCCCGTGCAAATACAACCAGGAGAAGGCAAAAACAAGAGAAAAGTTGAAGATGATATACGCCCAAAGGATTCCCTGATAGATGTCAGGTTAATATGACCTCCAAAGTTAGCCCAAGGGGTACAAATCACGATACTCACATAATTTCTCCACTTGTGCGAGTAAAACACATTGAGGCTCTTAGCCTGGAAAGCGTGACAAACCTCTGGTCAGCCATACTCCAAGTCTGCCAATAAAGAAATTCAAACAAAGACGATCATGATGCAACTCACATATTGATTACCGGTCGAGTATTGACAGAATGAACACATTCCATTCCCAGCATCTCGGACGTATCCACCGGCCTTTTCAGCGAAAGAACCAGCATAGTCTTGACAACTCATGCCAGCGGGAGTGCTAAAGCGGGATTCTTCACGGTCAATACAGCGTACGGGGACATTATGCGTGATGACTCCAACAAATCCCTCAAGCAGGTAGTGGAACGGCGTAAGCCAGTACATCCATGACTGCCAGAAATGCGGCAGGGCGGGATAAGGGACCACAACACCGCAGAAGGAGGCAATGAATGTAAAGAAAGTCGGCACAAGCAAGCTTGCAAATAGCTCGTTGGGTGCAAGCGCGGCTATGAATTGACCCAGTCCAATATAGTATACTTCAAACAGCATCAGCGACATCCAAACATAGCCGGAACTGAATGAGTCGCGCGGAAACCAAGTTCCCCAGTACCTTTTGTATCGCTGTTAGAAGTGAGAGATAAAATTCCTTCTCGAGGGACGCTTACCAGCAGTTAAAGTAAATAGACCCGGCAACAATCGAGTATGGCAGTTCTGGGACAATCGTACTCGTCACGAATGCAGCCCAAGAGTAGATCTTGGAGTTAGCCTCGCGAGATTTATAAAGTCCTCGAAAATGGAGATACCGCGGTTGGAGTTGCTGTATCAGCGGGGGAGCTATAGTCAATGTCATGAAGACAGAAAAGAGCCGTGACTGCATGTCAATGAAGCTATTTCCCAAATGCCAGAATGTGAAGGTGTTGAAAAGGCCAGTAAAGATGTGGAGCATCATTTTACCCTTTGTGATAATCAGTCAAGTCATTCTTCCATGTTGTTATCGGAGCATAGTAACTTACAAGGATGTACTCTGGCGTCCTCCAGTAAGCCACGAATGCTCGCTTGGTGACAGCGGCTACTTGGACGTAGAGAGGCATTGCGTACTCGCGATGGTCGTTAGTCTTCCCGTCGCTTCCAGCATTCTGACGCGACGCGATGATACCCTCTAGTTCCTCAGAAAGCCTCTCGGATTCTGGAGAGTTGGCCCAGACATTGCCCCAGTCCTGTCCCTTATAATCAGGGTTTCCGGCTCCAATGACTTCCAACATATACTATAGAGAATATTAGTGAGAAACGATATCTCCAGCTTCAGAATACACACCTCCGCCGGATTTTCATGCCGTGAGCACTTCCTCCCGCCATTTTGTTCAAAGTAATCGATCAGGGTCTTCGAGTCATTTCCAAGAGGCCCATTGTAAACAACCCTTCCACCGCTTTTCAGCAGCAAGAGATCATCGAAATTCTCGAACAACACAGCAGAAGGTTGATGGATTGTACAGAGAACGGCCTGCCCAGCATCTGCAAGTTGGCGAAGGAAGCGTACAATATTGAACGCGGCGAGAGAATCGAGGCCGGACGTGGGCTCGTCCAGGAAAAGTAACAGCTCCGGTTTACTTGCCAGTTCCACTGCGATGGTGAGTCGTTTGCGCTGTTCTTGGTTGAGGCCTGAGCCCGCGGATCCAACAGTTGCGCCGGCGATAGGCCGCATCTCTAACAAGTCAATGATTGTCTCGCAATAATCATACTTTTCTTGCAGTGGGACTTCCTTAGGTTGTCGTAACAGAGCAGAGAACCGAAGAGACTCCCGCACAGTAGCAGTCGGTTCGTGAATGTCCATCTGCTCGGCGAATCCGGTCGCTCTCTGGAAGCTCCTTGGGAGAGGTCTGAAAATATTAGAGTACATAACTAACAAAATATGTCAAACATTCCCTACCTTCCATCAACTAGAAAGCTGCCAGTGACCACACCAAAATTGATTCGCTGCGCTAGCGCATTGAGTAATGTGGTTTTCCTGGTCAGACATTAGCATCATGAACGAAGTCAAGTGGTTTCGTATCTTACCCTGAGCCAGAAGCACCCATCAATGCAGTCAGCCGACCAGGCTTGACATATCCTTCAACATTTTGCAGTAGTTGTCTCTGTCCACCCTTGTATGGAATGGTGTAGTTGACACCTTGCCATGTAAATATTGCCGTGTTTTTAGCAATGTCCTGGACATTGCCACTGGATACACTGTTGTCGCTGTCATTCTTGTTGTATGCTATGCCGTCTTTTCCCCGGATTCCTCATCTCCTCGGGGCCCAGATCGTTTGATGACATCTTGAACTGCTTTGGGGGCTTCGCTTCTTTTGAACACCGTGACTGCGCTGCCACCCTTATTAGGTCTCTGCAATTCCATTCCCAGCATTGTCAAGCAGACGAAAAAGATAAGCCATCCAATAATTATACCGAAATTTCGCCACAGGTGAGCTCTGCTGTATGTGAACCCCGTTTGGATATAATTGGAACCGTGCACAATCAACTGGTCTGGATCACTACCTTGGATTGCACAGGATTGGTGACCGGGTACAACGTCCGGCCCATCGGGCACAACGTAGGGTGGTTCACATTTTATCTGGAGGTTGTAGAACTCATTGGCCATCAATGCCTCAAATGCATATTGGACAGGGTTGATCCAAATGAGCCATTTCAACCACGGGTGCATTTTCCACGGAGGGATAAGATAGCCTGAATTATGTTGGTCATTACACTCTGTTAGTAGGTTCAATTTGAATTGGGCTCACCTGTATACACAATCAATGCCTGAATGGCGACACCAGTGAGACGTGTGGCTATATAGTGTTATTGGAGATCCCTTGGTGACCGGGGTTTCGTTTCACTTACCAACATCCAACGAGGAGCATAGTGCCCCAAGGGCACGAAAGAACGAGTACATGGTCATTGTGAGAGTGAAAATGATCAGCAGATTTATGAAGAACTGTGAAGGGGTTCGCGCAAGGTTTGCCATGCTAAAGAACTCATCAGTTCGATTCATGTAGGGCATCCAATAGGACTCACAAGTATACTACAATATCAAATAGAACGACTTGTATGAACACGAGAGGCACATCAACCACAACCTGGGCAAGCGCATATGCTGCAGGCCGATAGAAAGAGCTGGAGAAAATTAGTCCTGTCATTTTCCATTTTCTTCTCTGTAGTTCTCACAAGCTTTTATGTTTCATCAAGATTGGTCGACTCTCAAATGCTGCTGTCAGTTCTGCCATGGCAAGCAATGCATTGAAAAGCAGTATAAAGAACATTACACCACCCCTCGTAAAAACACCATTGCTTGAAACCGTAAGCCACGCCGAGTCTCGTCACACTTGGGGAGGGAATCGCTTACCTTGTATCCGGCAGATTGTAGAACAAGCTACCAGTAATGAGGGCTTGAAAAGTTATCACACCCCACTTTCCAATCAATGACTCTCTGTCACCAAACATTACCAGAAACTGACGATGCGTGAGAATCATGACCTGTTTGTAAAATGAGATCGTGAAGTTTTTCCGTTTGGCTTTCCTTCTTGCCGCCTCTCTCTCCTGCCTCTGGCCTTCAATTTCGCCTTCAAAACTTTCAATATCCGCCAGATTTCTTTTGTAAGTATCACTTTTAAGATATGCAGCTTGAAATTCAGCTGCATTCCGAGGGATTCTGTTATCCCACCCGTCCTTGACACGTCTTGCATGAGGGTCACTGACAGAAGTCAAAAAGTCGGGGGTTGTCCAACGTGGGGGGCATTCAAAGCCCAGCCCTTCGAAGTAAGCCTTTGCGTCTTGGCTAGGTCCGAAGAAAGAGCATTTTCCATCTTCTATCAGAACCACCTTGTCAAAAAGATCAAATAGGCTCTCGGACGCCTGGTAGAGAGCTACAAGGGTTGAAACGTTGGCGGTATTTGTTAGACTTCGCAAGCTTTGAACATACTCCAATGCCGTACTGGCGTCCAAGCCCTTTGTAGAGTTGTCCCAGCACTGAGTGCTAGCCTTTGTAACCATAGCCTCAGCGATTGAGGTCCGTTTCTTCTCGCCCCCGGAAATCCCGCGAATGAGTTCATTGCCAACTCTGGTTCCCAGAGCATGTTCAATCCAGAAGAGCTTAGCTATGGCAGACAAGAATGTCTGCTGATATTCTTTTCGGCTTTCTCCTGGGATCCGTGAAGCTTTGCCGGGGGTGCGGGATTTCAGGGCGAAAAGCAGTGTATCTCGCACAGTAAGAGTTGCATAGTGAAGGTCATCCTCGGGGTTGTACAGGACTGATGGTTTTAGTTCGAATCATAATCACATTGACAGGGACCCACCTTCAGACCTATACTGCTTTGCCATCTTTTCCGACTCGGTGCCGCCATACTGCACATTACCCTCTATGCTTTCGTACCCCGCTCGTTGGTTACCGAGCACCTTCAAGAAAGTGGAACAACCAGAGCCAGGACGACCGAGGACAAGAAGCATCTCCCCCGGACGAACGCAGCCCTTGATGGGGATCAGTGAGTCGATTCCTGGCAGCGGGAAATAGACTTACAGTAAAATCATCCAAGATAGTCCGTATTGGTGGTTTTCCACCTCCGACACCTTTCCTGCCCCGAGTGAATAGTTGCTTGATGAGCCGTGGCAACCCGAGAAAGATGTCCCCATTGGTAGGTTGGAGAGCAGCCCCAAGGCCCACGCCCTTCACGGTAAGGTTTTTCCATACGACTCCGACATGGCGTGTTTTCTCTTCTTCGGAATTTGCTTTGCGCTCAGAGCCAAACATTCGTGAGATCAGTCGTTCTATCTGGGCCCATTCCTCTCCTTTGGTATCATGACCGGAGGCATGAGTGCTTCGGCGAGATAAAGTACGTGCGGCACCATCTTCGTCTGACTTCGGCCCTGCGGAATCTGCCTGGGACTGTGATGGAGTAGGGCGGGTTGGCGCGTGATCTGTGGTTAATGACGAACTGACTGGCGAAGATGAACCCTCAGAGGAAACGGAATTGCGAGGAATGTGTTCTGGGTTTGCACCTGGCGTAGACGCGCTTTCCTCGGAATGGTCGTTTGCCATCGTCGTTTGTTTTCAAGTTGAGCTGAGACCTTTTGAAATGCATCCGCTTTAATCAAATATCTGTGCAATCATGAGAAAGGTGATACCGGACGACAGTGGGTATGGATGTAGATGAGCGGGACACCTCCGTTATCAGCAAGAAACACAATCACAATCACTTTTTTTTGGATATGATGAATAGCAAGGAAATCATAATGGTTTGACAACGCGTTGGAGGCATTACGTCAAGCATATCTCGGAGGTCGGAACAGGAACGAACCGAAATATTATCCAGACGTACTCTTCTTTGCTTGTGTTCTACCTAGGTAGCTAATGAAGCTTGTAAACAGGTATAATCCTGTTTAGTGAGGTCATCACATCCCGCTCTGTTATATCATGCGGTTATTAATCTCTTTCTGGTCCTATTCGCTATGATATCAACCATGAACAACTATTAAACGCGAAACAAATTGGGAGTACTTATTCCCATCTAGTAGTGTTCTAGGCGTTCGCTAAACACGTGCGATGCAATATAAATCTCTCCGCATTTCAGGTTTTCTGTCTCCGATCATGAAGTCATCAATTGTACAACATGGATATTCGGATTATGTACATAATTACTAGTAGGCGTTTTAGCTGTCAGTAATACCCTTTTATCCGTATTCGTTGATTCCCGAGGTCCTTGTTTTTGATTACTCTGTACAATGGCATTTTCTCATCTGTACTTATACGATCCATCACCCTGACTATTTTTAGTGAACAGGAAGCTTCTTTACGATTCAAATTCATCCCTTTTTCTGATATTATTGCTCTTTGTTCTGTTTCTCACACAATTTCAACCAGTTGAAGCGTTTTTGCTCCCTAGCGTCCAGGCAACCTTGGAATGAGATTCAAGTTGATGAGCTTGTGGAGATCACCTTCGACCAACGAACGTAAATTCCTTTGATTATTCGATTTTTAAGTGGTCGTCGAGGAATTATATGTGGTACCTTGAGATAAAGCGGTTTAGGCCCGGAGACACAATGAGCAGTGCTGTCAGCATTACCTACCTACCCGATTAGGAATATATAAACATCCACGGAATTGGTTCCCGACGACATTTTACCAATTCATTTTACTGCGGCGCAATAAAACTCTACTTGTGTCAGTCTACCAAACAGTTATGACTAGAGTAATTTTACTATCATGGTCTCGTCATTCTAGGAAAAGCTAAGCATATTAGACAAATGTTGGATAGAGTTGTCAACGAAAGCTAGAGCTAGAGCTAGAAAAGCCGTTCGTAAGTAAAACACCCCACAAAAGGGACCAGTAGTTAAGCGAAATACAGTTGACAAATATTTGATCAGATCTCGCCAACTAGAAGGGTGATTCACTAGGTTGGGTATGAAGTAGCATGAGCGGACCATCATTCCCAGATAAGAAATGGGGCAGCACGCCATGATTACAACATACTAGTCTCTGCTTCAGTAGTGATAAAGCTCTAGATTCCAGGATAAAGATAGGGTGGATGTACTCCTCCGCGTAGAAATCGCTTTTGGCCCTGGTGCAGTACTCCGATTACTCCGATTGCAACTTCTATAACAATGAAGTCCCATCGCGCTCACAGATTCCTCCGGAAGGTATTGGAATTCTTCCACCTATCTACTCCTTCGTCCAAGCGTGCAGTCAAATCTCGCAGCAAGTAGGTCTTCAACCTCTTGTAGTAATGATTACCCAAAATTAACGAGTGGTTCAGTGCTCAGCTGTGGTGTGTTACTTCCTCCGCACCTCTTCCCCACAACATTTCCGCTGGCCGAGGATGTGACCAGGCTGAAGGGAATGCTCAAGATGATGATCCTCCTCAGTATACTCTGGGCAGTGGCGCCCTTGAAAAGCCAATTTCGACCCGCAGCCAACTGGAGTGTCGCATTGTGAAACTCTGGAAGAAAGTCTGGCTGGGTCTTTATCAGATCGATGACAACGAGGATCGATACCACGTTGAGCGACTCGAAGCACTTTCTCTCGGGGCTGGCTTGACTCGCACGTACCGAGTTGGCGAGCTTCAAGTTCTCAGGCGTCATTTTCTTCGAAGCGAGACCAACAATGGCATTGCTTCGTTGAAGCTTTTCCAGGGTCTTTCTCTTTCGACCCTCCTATCTGTGATTCATATTCTGGAGGCTTATGAAAGCGAAATTGACAACTTGCGGCTGCTCTATTCCATCTTGCGAAGTGGTCAGCTTGCGCTGCATGAGACGGCTGACCTTGCTAAAACTGCTGTTGTCAGGACCGAGTATATGGCGATTGCGGAGCCGATGGAGAAGCGGATCAGACAGTATGATATTCGAATGAATGTGTTGAATATGGACATCTGCGACGAGGCAATGGGTTTCTATGACCGACAAAAGGGGGAATATATTTACCACAAGGCATTCCCAAATGCGTGGTAAGGACGCGGGCTCTCGCATTCGTTGGTACCCTCTTCTACAATGACCCGTATGGGGGACCTTCGAGTACAATCAGTGTGATTTGCTTTAGATATTTCTTAAACGTCTTGTGAAGTATTAATAATACTTATAGCGTTATTAGAAACTTGCAATGTCCTATAAGGGACAAATCTGTAACGATTAACACTGGGGTCTAATGATAGTTAGCAGGAAGTCAAACAACATGCTTCGATGGGTCAACCGACTAATCATCCTCGAAGCTCCGCGGAACACCAGGCTGGTATGATCCAAAACCGAAATAAACTGGGCCTGAACCGACTCGATTTCAGTCGCCCGAGCCGCCCTGCGGAGATACAGGAGGTGTTCCGGCTTGATCCTAGCCCCTGCACGCCTCATGACAGCTGTGAGAACAATCGTTTGATAGTAGGTATGCAAGAAATGGCCGCTATGACGAGACCTTTCGAGCACCTTCTCTCCCAGACCATCTGTGTCGAGCTTATTGCGAATGTAGGGGACGATGACTTCTTCAAGGGGTTCGGCGTAGTCGTCGGTCCATGTTCTATGACCCACGGGACCTTAACTTCACCGACAACCCGTAAATGTTGTATATCCCCGTTCTGAGGGTCCGGCTTAGAAGCCATAATGGTGTCGGGGGCTCTCTTATATTGCCGACCTGTGGCCTTAAAGCCGGCAAAGCACATGTTGACAGCTTGGGCGTCAAAAACAGCGCTAAGAAAATGGCCAATATTATTCTCTACCCGTCCTTGAACGCCCGCCTCATGAGAGACGAAGGCCTTCTCGTCACTTAGGTTACGGGTAGAGAGGTCGTATTGGATGACTGTTCTGCTCCAATGCTACGCATTATGCGCAGCTTTGACCTGGTTTGCAAAGTCGGGCCATGGTCGCAACGGGCCCGTAAAGGTGATATTGTGTCTGGCGCTGGAGGTGGTCCTCTCAGCGGGTCCCGTACCAGGCAGTTGACTCCGCTGGAGCAACTGTCGCTTTGGTAAAATAACTGACCGAGAGTGTATTTCTATTATTTTTCGTCAATGCTTATGTCTCTCGGCGGGTCCAAAAGAATGTCCAAGTCTGTGTCACTCTCAAAAAGTCCTAAAGTGAACAGGTCAGCGAGACTAGGGCCAGAGAAACTTTCTTCCAAGATTTGGGGCGACATACGGTGTCCCCAGGGACCCATCTTTGCAGCGCCAGATGTTTCTGTAAAGGGGAGATAGGTTGACAATGAGAAGAGATTGAGTTGGGGAGGAAGGTAGGAGATAAGTTGTGGAGAGAGGAGAGTGAGAAGGCTGACGATGAGAGGTGCTGTGGAAGTCAGATTTGTGCGCCTTAAAATTGTCTCAAGATCATAGCAACCTTTTCTGACTGGGATATAAGGACAACAATCCTCTCCTTAAACGCTCCGTTTGCTTTTCGAGTCAACTTCCATGTCTTCATCTGAGAACAAGGGAAAAACAATAGTACTCCAAAGCAACAACTTAATTTGTTACAAACATCTTTCAGAATCCAGTCAAAAGGTGATGACCAAATATAAATCAAGAAAGCACGACCTGCCTCTGCACAGAAATTCAAATTCAACCCCTTGACAATCAGACAAAGAATGTACGCACTGCACTTCATATATCATTCATATCCCACGCCCACTCAAATAACCATCACGTTCGATGCTCTGTCGCACGATGAAAACGACCAGCATTGGGGTTTCCGTCCTTGCCATCATGGGATATCACTCCTTTGAAAGACTTATTTTGGTTCGTTATCGCCCGAAAGGGACCTGGTCTAGCCTTTGGCTTTGTGTCAAAGGGATAGGTGGTCTCATTTGCCATGACTGGATACTCGCGAAAGGATGTAGTAGAGCTATTGGTGCGGATACGAAATAGCGGCCGGCCATCAGGACCTGTGTCTCCGTTTCCATATTTGTGAGGATAGCCCGATCTCCCTGTCTGGTTGGGGCCAGGTGCCTCCCTTAGTTGGCTTTGGACAGTGGCCTGGGAAATCTTGTTCTGTTCCCTGGTCAAGGCCGTATTGTTGGTGTACCAATGTGGCTAAGTGTCGCAGTCACAGTTAGCAAATTGAATATCCTGGTTGTTGAACAATAACGAATAGGCTCATACTTGTCCAACTGCAGTTTGCGTCGCTTTTTTAGCCGCAGTCCTAGCTTTCAAAGCCTCATTATTGGTCCCTAACTTGGCCATAATAAAAGACTGCTAGAAGGCGCGATATAAACAACAAAAACTGCTATGTAGCTCCGCCAAGTGCTGACCCAAATGGTGACAGAGACTGTATAAATTACAGCTTTAGTGCACCAACACTTTCCGAGATCAGGGCACAGAGACGTTCAGAGAGTTTCCTGTCCCTTGGAGGATATTCAAGCATCTATATAACCCTCAGACTGCTAGTAGCGCCGGAGGCGTGGAAGTTGAAACCCCTCCTCTCTCATAGTTCTGATGGGAAGTCATCCTCTATAATTAGTACCATGTTCTGAGCTACTAGGATTGAAATTAATGTTTCATGATAAGGGCGGTAGAGGGTTAGAATTGATGCTGAATGGAGCCAGCATGTTAAAGTGGCTGGCATGGGGGTTGTATGGCGGTTAAACTGCGCAACTTTATGGCCCTGGATTGGTTGCAATATTAAAATAGAACCTTAGCATCCTTTAAAGGAATGTGAAACACCGTTGGAGTAACCGCGCGCGTGGATCTGATATGTTGACACGCAAGGGCAACCCCGCTTTTATGAAATCGCCTCCCGCTTAAAGTCTACAATGTACTTCCCTCTCAAAACTATATCGAATCTTTTGCCAAATTCCTACTTCCAATTTCCTTGACATACCTGATCATGGCGGCACCTCTCAATCTACGCCTTGCATCTCTAGACTGTGATGACCCGTGGATTATTGAGCAGAAATATTTTACGATCCTACACGACTGCTTGCAGCCAACCAGCGAGATTTCAGCTGCTGAGGCTGCTGCGGCAATAAATGAACTGACCCCGATGAATCGCGAGGCAAAGGGAGAAAATGCAGAGCACCCAGAAAGCTGGTGCTTGGAGTTCTGGGGAACCATCAACGAGATTGTGAAGCAAATCCCTCATGATCATCCATCACAAGATAAAATGGTTGAGATCATGAAAGAGCTGAAAGTCTTGCCGGGAGTCGAAGTTCACTTTTCCGAAACGGTATTGGATTTCTAGCTTTTCTACATATGTAAGCTACCATGTTCAGATAAACAACTAACTTGTTTCTCCTTTGCCGCAGGCAACAACGCGAATTTGGACTGATCTCCCATGTTTAATGGAAGTATGGAGCGAAGCTTACATCAGTAGGTACTAACTTCCAGTTCATAATACACCTGTATGCTAACAAAGTATGAACAGCTCCCAGCCCGAAGGATGATGCTTGCGTGTTTGAGAAATGGATAAATTGGCAGGCATTCTCAGCCCGTGTCCTTCAGGCTCGCTTAGCAGATTGGTTTCATTTGACGACCTGGTCCTTCCGTGACGCACTGGAGGAAGAGCCTCTTGAAGAAAAGGAATTATTGGAATGTCGAATCCGTGCTGCTGCGCAGTGGATTGAGCATTCCAGGGACATAATCTTTCACTTCCTTGACAAGTTACCCGACTTGAGGGATCTGAGACCCGGCCCTCTATATGTCAGCAAAGGGGGGCTGTGCCGTGAGAGGTGGGACTTTTGGGAAGCAAGATTCCGTACCTTGGCAGACAACGGGATGTTTGCAGGGGAAAATGCTTTCATTTGTCACAGGGCTGCACAGCAAATGGCCGCAATTGCTGCAATCAACGGTGGCGATGATGATCGGGGTTTTGGTGAGACAGCAATACCAGAGGACCCCCATTAAGTATGCTGGAGGAATAATCAAGAAACAGATGTAGTAAATACAAGTTTGTAGGTTCGATAACCTTCATACATACGCATTTGGACCGAGCCTATCACCACGGCCCTGCAGTGGGCGCACAAACGAGACAACTAGTCTCCACGCCATAACACTGCGATCAATGAAATTTATCTTCCAACACAACTTCTCCATATTTAACATCGACGAATATCGCATTCCGTCATTCCTTTTTTTTTCCCTTTCGTTGTGGTCCTACCATTGGCTGCCTGCCGGCGCCTGCCGCATCCCGTAACCAGCCAGTCTGTATTTGAACCACAGGTCTTTTGACCAAGTTGAGACGCGCTTGCAAAACTCGATATGGATATTAATTGAGCTGACTTTTTTAGGTCGTCTATCCAAACCATCGCAGATAGACATTAAGCGCACCCTGACCTCCCTGCCAACTAGCTGCCCGTGACGCGGAAATCGTCACACTGTTACTTCAAGCTCTACTCCCACTCCCAGCCCGCACGACAACAGTGTACCGAACTGGTCAACATGATTGTGACGAAGCTGCCATTGCCAGCTTCCCTCCCAGTGGCGTCTTGGGCCTGTATACCCAAGATGAACATGGAGACGATCTAGCATTGGGCTGGGGTTGATATGCCCACCGAGAAGCTCGCGTTCATAGGGGCCAGGATCTCCGCTGACTCATTTGCGAACTTTCCACGACTATGGAAATACAACTCGATTGGGCCTTGATAGGACGTGGAAACAATCCCCTGTCCGAAGACGGCCCTTGCTTTACAGTGAAAGGTCGCTGAGTTTCCCGAGCCCCAGGTCCATACCTTTATTCTTTCCTAGACGGAAGATTCAGCTTCTTTTATTCTCCTAGACTATACCACGATGTTGCCAAGATGAACGGGCTAGGTCTCGAAAGGACGCTTCAATGCATCCGTGCAATTACCAAACCTGGTGGTATAGCGATCTGCCCTATTTCCGCCGCCTGTCACTTATATTTGATCACACTAGCCAGGAAGGATCACTATCTGACATATGCATCTGACGGGGAACCATACAAGATTCGGCCCTGGGTGATGGCGATGGTGTGTGCAGGGATTTGATACGTCATCGCGATGTCATTGTAGGCAACTTTTGTTATCCGAAGTCTCCCAAATATAAAACACCAGGGACACAACAGCTTACTCTTCCAAATATTAATGGCAATTGCAGTTCCCGATCTATCCTACATCCTTTCACAATGCCTCCTAAGAAAGTTCTCATTATCCTGAGCGATGCGCACTCCTTCCCCCTGAAAAGGACCAGCGGACACGACGCTGGCAAGGTCGTCGAACAGCCTTCGGGGTTTTTCCTCCAGGAGCTCGCAAAGCCGTTACACAAAATCCTCAGTGCAGGCCACGAGGTGACATTTGCCTCACCCAAAGGCCAAGAACCCGCCGCAGACCCAAGTAGCGAATCACTCATCGCAAACGCCGGCAGTTTCTACGAACGTCAGCGCGGAAACGACCTTATCGAACGCATGAAACGCGAGAACGGATTCAGCAGCCCGCGACCGTTCAGCACCATCAGCGACGATGAGTTGACCACCTTCGCGGCTATCTTTATCCCGGGTGGGCACGCACCACTCAAAGATCTAGGAGGGGATGCAGAATTAGGGCGAATCTTGCGTCACTTCCATGCGGAGAACAAGCCCACTGCTGTGATCTGTCATGGGCCTTATGCCCTGTTGAGTACGAAGAAGGCGGGAGATGGCTCGTTTGTTTATAACGGGTATAAGATTACATCGTGGAGCGATGCGGAAGAGAATCTTATGGAGACATTATGGGGCGGGGAGGTCGAGAAAGTTGAGTCTACCTTGAGAAACGAAGGTGCAGTGATGGTTGAAGGTGTGCGGGAAAAGACTGGTGGTACTACGTTGTATCGAGAGCTGGTCTCTGCGGGTAATCCCTTGGCGGCAAGCGCCTTGGGTGATCGATTTGTGAGAATGATCAGTGTATAATATATTGTTTTTATTATTCCACTGAAATATACATCTCTCAATTCTTTCCCATGTATACTTTAGCGAATGCGAAGTATTGTTCGTAAACTTCTATTCGAGCTATAAGCTCAGGCATGAAGGGATAGAAGAGACTTGATCTTACAGATGGCTTGCTACAACTCTCTACGTCTGCAGTTTCTTCGAATGCGTCATAATTAAACTTGGGGCCATAATCAGGTTTCATGACTCTCATTGGAAGCGTAGGGCTAAGCTTGGAACAATTCTTTGGAAACAAGCCCGAAAGGTAGAATGATGTAACTATGAAAGCACCGAGAGACCAAGAGCTCATATACTGCTCTAGTTCACTAAATTCAATTCTCCTCCATTTTTACTGCAAATAATTTTTTTAAGACCTATTTACCAATTCCTATCTCTGAGTTCATCAATCGTTGAATATGAGCTTTATCCGCCGTTCAATTCCACATGCAGCCGGGAGACAGCATATCCTCCCATCTTTGGGACTTCAATCGCCTCGACTGAGTTCTAGTCGAAGGTATTTCGCCACCGAAAGGCCGAGCGGCCAGGAAAAGAGCCCCCGGTGGTTAGTCTCACTTTCCCTTTCGTGATATTTTTGCATTAATCGCCTCTGACTTACACTTAATTACTTGGAATAGGCTACTGGTATCAATTGGTCTAGGGCTCCCAATATCAATCTACCTGTGGCAGAGAGGCGATACGAGCAAGCCTAGCACCAAGGCTCCTCCAGAGCGACGCACAGAGCCACGCGGAGCGACCAAAGAGTATAGTCAGAGATCAGAGGGCGGGCAGGACGTACCAGGTTCTTCTGGTTATGATGTGGTTCGTGTTTCCTTCCCGTGTCTTGTCATAAATTTCTTGTTCCGCGTTATCGTCATTTTGTCACCCAGCGTCTCAAGAGAAAGCATATCTAACTTGCTAATAGCCTAGAGGCATGGGCGCACCCGCTGGAACTGGAAGCATCTCGCAGAAGCAGGAAGGCCTCTCCAGTGCGGATACCATGAACCCGTTTGTGAACGAACCTGGCAAGAGTCAAAAGGGCGAGGGTGAGACAGAGAGTACCAAAGTAAAAGGGACTGTTAGGCCGGATCGACCTCAGGTCTAAGGCGTGAAATCATTCTTGTATCTTTCAAATCAAATAAACCAAGATCTATGGATATATAATATAGGAGTGAATAGCTTGTGGACATACCAACTAACGGTCGAAGTTGTGATAACCTGAAACAGTGCTAGAGATATCCATTCCGCGAGGCCTGCGGGCCGTATCCTGCTAGTGAGGAGGACACCAAGAGGAGACTGGGAGGACATTTGGAGGATATTTGGAGGAGAATAAGAGGATAGTTGGAAAAGTTATGAGGTATGGAAAACATCCGAAAATGGACCAAGGGTAATTTAGAGTTTCTATAAAGAAGAGACGGTATGAGGCTGGTTGTAGGTTATTCCGGCTAAAGGGGAAGAAGAAAGTGTAGCGTAGAAGAGACAGAATTTTCAATTATTATGCCTTCGTTGTAGTAAAAAAATGAGTCTGTCATGGGTTTAATAGTGCCTTTCACTCAAAGCTTGCTTGGAATTCCTGAACATGCTCCATCAGAGTTTCTATAGCAGAAACGCCTTCCACCATGGTGCTTGCCGGGTTATCGAGGATGCGTCGCATGTTTTCGTTGCTCGTCTTTCTTTCTTCTCACACACTCTTCTCATCTTACATCTCATAGCACCATCACTTGGCTGGTCGCAGCAGTAGCCTCTCTGCTATGATCCAGGACCACACCATCACTGCTTACTGGCACTGTTTGACTAGTGCTACCGCGACCGCCTTTAAAATCAAGTCCCAGCTACGCCACTGCTACATCCTAGTCCCATTGAGCGACGACAGTACCGTCTCTTGAATCATCCTCAACCTCTTCACTGCTCGATCCTCGCCCACGCTACATCAACCACACTGTCGCCACGCTACTACCAGCTACTACCAGCTCTTCAGCCACGCTCGATCAACCACATCGAGACCACTACTCGTTTGACGTATTGTAATTCAGAATCCCAGTCGACCAGAAAGTCAATTTCAACTTGGCCCTCCTTGCGCGCCTCAACGTGTCGATAAAACACCGGTTTTGCTAACACCCTCCGAGCTCATGTCTACTTCGAACATTCGCATGATGCGGGAACGACAGGTGAAGTCGGGAATCCCAGGTAAGTAATCACGTACCCCGGAGATTGGGTCTTTCACCTCACAAGTTTAATTCTGATATTGATGCTTTAGTGGAATCTTCGCCCTAAGTCCTTATCATCGGCGAGACATACGGGATACCGCTAAAGTGTACCCTGAATTACCTGATACATTGTCGAAGCCTGTGGCACGATCCTGGGGGTCTATGAATCCTACAACGGGGCAGAATCCGAGGTTGGAGCCCTGTGGACCACCAATACCCCTTCAGCCTGCCACAGTACCTTCATTCAGGCACTGGTTAAACAGCCGCGGGGAGTACTAATTGTTTAATCCAATTTGACGTAGGGACGAATCGATTCTTCTCGGCAAATAAAACGCAATAACAGTCTCATGTTCTTCATTTCACATCAAGAAAGACCCTCAAAGGCGAGAAAGATTGGAGAATTCCGCCGGAGCATGGTAAGTAGGGACCTTCATATCCAGATCGGCTCCAGAGTAGCCCAGGTCCTCCGCAACCAAAACAGCGCACTTTTCACCGATAAGGAGAGCAGTCTATCGGTTGTAAAAGTCAGTATCTAGCAGAGTCCCAGAGAAACCAAGAAATGGAACACTTACGCTGAAAGTGTTGCAGCCCACATTGTCCGGGCAGATAGACAAGTCGCAGACTTTGAGCCCCTTGACACCATGGACATTGAGACGCTCGTCAACAACGCCTCCGTGTGGCGCGATGGAGTTGCCCTCTCGAGGAGCCATGCTGCAAGTGCCGAGGCAGTGCCAGGTTGTCTCAACGTGACGGGAAACTACAACAAAACTGTTAGACACCGTGATCTAAGAGATTACTAATTCCCATGTTGATACGTACCCCACTTCTCGATGTGCTTAATATCCTCATCGCTGTACTCTAAAGGAGCACGAGCTTCGTGTCTGTTGGAGTTCAGGATTGAGGCTGAAGGCTGCTTTCCGGGTTCCAATGGAGTGGTCCAAGAGCCTATATCGATTATTAGCTGGGCGAGATAACTCGGCCTGGAGGGAAAAGACAGCCTACCGTGTTGGATACCAGCAGAAATATGGTTCGGGCCGGCATATGCCTTGGTAGTCGCCAAATCCATATCTTGTGCCCGTGCCGATGAGTTGGAGGCGAACTGAGGATGCATGGCAGTGACCTCTCCAGCGTACGAGCCCATACGCCGGGCTGTCTCACGGGATTTAATATATCCCCAGACCAGAGGGGCCATGTCACGTTTGTCATTCATGAAACCCGCATCAAAGTCCGGGACTTCGTAAGGGTCGGCCGACTGGATGTGGGTGTGCCCACGAGAGAAGGGGTACTCCTAATATCTTGTCAGCGCTCGCTACTGCGCTTTAGTGAGTTTGTGCCATACCAGGAAATGGAACATGGTAAAGAACTTGCCCGGAGGCATGTGCATGTGGTCTCCGAACCAGCTATGCGTGTGTTAGCCTCGTGACATCCAAAACGAACCGTGTGAGATGCTTACCCAGAAATGATCGAGTAATGCATGACGGGCTTATCGGGTTTGTTCCTGAAATACGACTCGTAGCCCTCCGTAAAGTCCGGGGTAGGCCACTTCTTCATCTCGCCTAGCTCTTGCTCGGTAGGCCGAATTTTGACACCGGCATCGATACCGTTAGTGGCCAATGGACCAGTGCCCTTCTTATCCCACTCATCGAAGACCTTCTTCTGGACTTTGGGATCTCCACGGATGAAGTCATCAAAGGACTCGACGTCGGGTTTCGCGCGGTAAACGGAGAAAGTAAGGTAGTGGTCCTGGAAGTTTCGGCCCACGCCTGGTAGGTTGACCAAGGGCTTGACACCAGCCCGGCGCAGCTTCTCAGGATCACCAAACCCAGACCGCTGGAGAATAAGTGGGGAACTCATTGTACCCGAACTGATAATGATCTGCTTCCGAGCCTTGAAGATCCTGCGGACTGGCTCTCCACCGCCGAGAGGCTTAGTTGGGACTGTCACAACTCCCACAGCACGGCCATTTTCAACAATCACCTTCTCAACCTTGGTATTGCATTGAAGATGGAGGTTGCTATGCTTGGCTCGAGTGCTGTGGACATAGGCGTGTGCTGCGTCACTTCGTCGTCCTAGTCTCGAGGGTCAGAGATGATTATAATATTTAAAAGTGGACATTTTTTCTTACCTGTGTCACGATTGATCCATTTCAACCAGTGTTCTGCGCCGTGGCTGTAACATTACGTCGTTAGCAGGACACAATATACAATCAATTTTGGATCTCATACGCAGTCTTCAAATCTTGCAAGTCGTCAGTGAATGGAATTCCCTGCGTTTCAACAGCGCGGAGGAAGTCATTCTTGATGGGATACGTATAGTTTCCAAATGAGACCTTGATGGGTCCGTCAGTGCCGTGCAGTTCCGGGTTATTGCTCGCACGTTGATATGTTTCGTGCTTCCTCATCAACGGAAGGAGTTCCTTGGTTGTCCAGCCTTTTGCTTGGAAGTCGTCGTAATCCGAGGCAGATGCTCTGGTGTACATCTTCAATGCATTTAGCTCGGGGCCACTTGACAACAATGTCAAACAGGAATCACTTACCATGAAGTTGATGGAACTGCCACCTCCAAGAATGTTGGCACATGGGACAACAGCCTGGCGACCATCTAGATGTTCAGATGGCCTGGAATTATAAAACGATGCCGTCTTCGAATCAAGCTTCATGTTATTCGGGTATATGCCCGGGCGGTACACCCTAATTCACATCAAAATACATTCACTGGAAGTGGAGGCTTCAACGTTCTCACCATTGATTGTTCAAGTTGTCCTCCCCTGCCTCAATCAACAACACAGATAGGTTGTGATCAAGATTCGCGAGGCGGCCCGCAGGCACACATCCCGAACTGCCGCCACCGCAGATGATGATATCGACCTCTTCTGGGATAGTCATGACTCTGAATTTGTTGTCAAGCCAGTGAATTGAGGATATTTGTCAAGAAAGTGCTCGAGGGAATAATCAAATCTTTGATGAGACATCCCGGAGGGACCTTATATAGCCGTGTCTTTGTGCCCTTAGGAGTATCTATGGAGGCCAATTTCCCCAAATCAAGTCACAGTTACAGCCAATAGCCCTATTCATTGACCCCGCGCGCGGAGATAGAGTTCAAGCACTTGAGTGTGGCCAACACCAGACTTATCCTTGTCAAAAAGTGCGTTTGAGATGAGTTTACCCAACTCTTCGCATCAGACACATGTATCAGCATGGTGATAGGAATCATAAAAACATGGCCTTTGCAACACATCGAAATGGGCATTGCTAGTGATATTGTCTTGTTTTTACGTTGACTATCCCTGTCATATCTCAAACAGCCCAAAGCCAGGATATGCCCTGATACCTTCTGGGAAGTTCCCCGCATTTCATGGATGGCTCTCGTCAGCTCAATTGATTGCCCAGACCGAGCTCTTGCAAATTATGTGCAGGTAATATTTTGCCAAGGGCCCTTGTTATTCCTCCATCCTGCCGGACGGGATATCGGGATATGGGTATCGGGATATGGATAAGGAGGGTATGCGTGGGGGTCGAAAGCAGTTTATTGGAGTCATCCAGCGAAGGATTATATGATTGGTTCTCAATGCCCTCTAATTCAATATATTGTCATGCGTACCTACACATCCCTGGCTTCCGGAATTATAGGAAGGACAAATAACCACGTGACGAATTTATGTTCAATGCCATCCATGCATACTTTAGCTGTTTCTCCGAACGCTCGCGGAAGAACAGAGTATAAACATGGTTTGAACGAATCCAATATAGTAGGGCTTGATCAAGTGAAGTAATATTCTGATTCAGTGAGATTCCTATTAGCCGGGAAGCATGATTCAGCCCGCCTATTAGGTACCGGACTCTCGCCGCATTAGCCTCGCGGATTGTCGGTATCCCCGCAATAGCAGTGCTGTAAATAGTAATTTTGCGGGGTAAACTTAGTTGGCGTGGGGCATACAGTCTTCCAGACTGTTTACGCAAGAGGCGGCAGACGTAAATTGCTGATACAAATTCCCATTGGAGGATATTTGACACATCAGACTGCATGGTACTTCTACATCACTTGCTGGTTAAGCTAAAAGTTTATACAACCATTTCTAACATTACTCCTAACGGCTAGTTCTACTTGGCGGGTCTGAGGGATGACCAGCGCTCGCCAGAGACATAAGTACAGTGCCGAATATATCTTCCACCAATCAAACAAGAGTCCAAAGTCAGAGACTAAGTATACTACACATCAAGGGAGAGAAACAATGAGTAACGCGGTATAAATAAACACAGAATGACTTCTACATATCCAATCTCTTCCATTTGCCAGCAGTAGTCCCAAGGGAAAGTAGTATATACAGTTTTGGGCTATTTTAGTGTTTGTTCTGCTGTCGACAACACTTGCCTTGACCATGCGTTCATTGAATTATAAGGGTCCTTAAAAATAGCACAAGTTCGACATAGAGAGATTCTCAGGTACATGATGAAATGTGAAAAAGAGTTAAATTTTCGGGCAAACAAGAAGATATGGTATGATGAAATCTAACAATTCTATATAGCGAACTTACACCGAAGGAGGAAAAAGAAAAGAAAAGAAAAAGACCACAATAGGACAAATCTCGACCAAAGGAATCATGTCTAACAAGAACTGGTCGCCGAAGGGGTCTTCTCCGAACACTCGAGTTGGCGGGGACCTGCCATTTCGGCAACCTTCTGGCAAAGTTCATGCTCAGATGAATGTAGGTCCTTCTGATCGAGTTTCGTACGGTAGCATTCATCGAGTAGGTCCTATTGGAAGCGTGGTATTGAAACAACCACATGTCAACAAGCTCTATACTTGCCCAAATAGCTCTTGAACGGTCAAGCGGCGACCCTGGGAGTTGGCGACCAGGCGAGACTTGGTGCATATTGTGGACTTCACCATTCCCCTTGGTGAGTTTCGATGGCCAAAATCTTTTGGTTATTCTGCATGTTCCCCGTACTTTCGACCGCGTCCGCCGCTGCTCTTCCCTAGTGGTGTCGTATATGATGAGTGATTTCGTCAAGGTGCTCAAAGTGATGTATCTGTTGGTGAAAAATGAGGAAATATTGAGTAGTTTCAATGCGTCCCTGGAAATGCGAGTGTTCTGTTTCCGAATTTGCGCGACGGCCATATCGAAAGCTAATTTGTCCGGTTTCTGCGGGATATTGCCCTTGAGTTCCAGTATCTGTTCCTTTTCAAAAAGTGCAATGTTTCTTGAACTCGACCTGCGTTCTTTGAAGGTCCTCGCAGAAGTCCTTGTAATCAAAGTTCTCTTCGTAAAAGAGGCTCCAATATCTCACGACTTCCTCAGCAGCATTGGTATTCAAGGTGAGGGTGCTTGTTAGCCCATCACCCTTGTTAACGAGATAACTCAGCTCCTCCGTGACAACAAGTCGTCGGTAGTCATCCAAAACGTTGATCCCATATAGCACGATCTTTGCTAAGCTAAAGACTGCAGCAACAGCAGAAACACCGTCCATGTTCAGCGGGACGGAAAAGAAGAACGAACAGAGTATGTGGAAAGAATCCCTGATGAGTGACAGACCTGACGAAATATATAAAATAGCTCTTTTCGCCTTGAGCCCATGTCTTGAGTATGTCTAGTTTCATCTATGAGAAAGGCATTGTCCCATAACAGAGTCATCCTCCGGACGATTGAGTTTCATGTCCTCGTCTGCGACTATATCTGACATTAGGTTTGAATGAATACCCTGGTATCTGTCCTCCTAGCTTATTATTTCCTTTTGTTCGGATATATCTCGCCGTCTTTGTTCTGATGTCCCAAAGGAGAAGAAGAACACATGGCTATTGTTTCAATTCGATGAACTCCGTCCTGCCTCTGGCCTTTGCGGCTCTTTATAATCGTCGCCGTAACCCTTCCCATAATCGCACGATTACCAGTCACACTCGTGGTAATCGACCAAGCCTTCCGGTCCATAATTCATTATAGCCACTCATTTATGGATAATATTACGCCACCCCTGTATCAACGCTGACATCACTTGAAGTGAGACAACACAAAGGCCATTGTCAAGACCTTTGGAGAAATAAGACAGTGAGTGCACTCTAAAACATCAATCGTTGCGACTTGTTTATTTCCGGATCATATCTGTACCCCTTATGTTGCGAGAGTCCAATATTCTGATTTATAGTAATTTTGTCTAAGATAGGTCTCTATCTTTGTTGATACAAATTGGTGGTGAAGGGAAAAAGAAAGCATATAAATGTTATAAATATGCTTAGCACGACCTCACGTTTTGCATTCCCACTCCAAATGGAGTGTAATTGACCTGCACCCTCGTTGGACCAACCCTGCAGTTGCGCGCAAATCTACATGGGTATACAGATGGTCCACGCAGCGGACAACAAAGACACCGCCATCGCCTTGGTATTTTTCTACGCCGTGTGCTGGTCGATTGGGCTTTTCGCAATGTCTTGCCTATTGTCTTAACGCTCTTTGTTCTTTTGTCATTCTGGTCTCACTATATTTTTTCCATACACATAGAAATACGTGGTAAGGTTATTTTATAGTTATCTTTTGCCTTCTGAAATTCAAATTAATTACGAGAGAGCTCTTTAAAATTGTCTACAGTAGTCTTTAAAGCTCTATATTCTTCTCGCTTTTAGATTCTTTTTTATCTCATTAAGAATCTCCTCTGCGAGATTAGTGGCGTTTCTACGTGCGTTTATCTATATTCTCACTTATAGCGAGAGGGTGTGCTATTTCTCTGCGTTCGGGCCGTCGAGAAGTGCCTAGGGGAGGGATCCTTATCAATTAGATTGTGAAGCTTATAACTCCTTAGTATTTTCTCGACCTAGTCAATGTAGATGCCGAGATCGGTTCGTCCTTTAAGCGGAGGAGTAATCATATGAAACTTACCATCTTAGGAAGATCAATAGCTTGGTCTATAGCGGCAATATCTTATTGCATATGTTAGTCCCTGCTCATATTTTCGATTTGTACGCTACACTACGGCAGATTAGGATAATGATTCAGCTATCGTAGCTAATCGAAAATGAATAAATGAACTAATAAAGGCAGTTCTCAATATGAGATACTAAAACAACAGTGTTAGATAAGTGAGAGATATGACCTGATCTGGCTCGATAAAGACCTGAAGGACATAAATTGCTCCACTTCGATGTGTAATAATCATTCTATAACTCCTTATATCCCGATCGAGAGGATATATACATGGGCGTTGGACATCCTAAGCCTTGACGCTTTAAGCCCTTCCTGTATTGACCTAGCGCAAACCGAAGAAATCATGTTAAGGTCGTATGAGCCTAGAGTATACAAAGAATTGCAAGGGATGTAAAATATCACAGTTTTTCACGGTACTCTACAAGACCCGACCCGAACTTAGTGCAAAAATTTCACCTGTTAAGTCGCTATTCCGACGACACTGATAGCCTCGAAAGCTCAAAGTCCGAGGATCCTTTTGAACTTCCAGTTCTCAGTCCAGACGGTCCGGTCAACCAAGACTACCGAGTTGTCATCCCAAGATGGGTCCATGAGGAATTCCAAACACTGTACATGATAAAGCATGACCCTATCCATTACGAACGTCGGTATACGCTTTGGTTTGGAATTGACTTGGATAGATTTGGCCCAATTGACACCCCGTCCAAATTTTTCCAAGTCCTAGAGGGGTCCCTTTTGTCTGAACACGTGTTATTACTGGATAGTCTGCCGAGTTTTAGACCTCCGGGTGTACGTGAACTATGGATGCCGATGTACGGGTATTTCGGGAATTGGTATGACCCGGAAGGGAAAAAATGGGCAGTTTTGGCTGCAAAGAGGCGAACGCGCCTCCTGAAAAAACTTTGGGAGCGAGGAGATGTGCGACTTGTCAATGAGAAGCCCGCCAAAGAATACTGTTCGGTGTACTACTCTCAGCTCTCGCCTAACGTCAAGACCGGTCGCAAATTCATACTTCACGAAGAACTGGACTGGGAGGTAATTTTCCCCGAACTTCGGAAGAAGGAACTGCAGTTACATTATCCGGAAAAGGAAGGGGAGGACGGTCATTGTGTACTTGCTTAGTACCACCTCGCGTTCTGTATTCCCGTTTTTCTCAGATGAGCACCTGGGAAAGTACATAGTCTTGTTGTTACAGTCGCTGCTTGCTAGTTTTTCTTCGCTTGAGGGATCACATACCTCGTTGGCTCTTTTCTATAGCTATAAAACCACGCCAATCAATTGATAACTATATTGAGTTTGCATATGTGGATATACGCAGCTCACGAGGTGCGCGCCAAAATTCAGTCAAATTCAGTTCCGACTTGCCGAAGTCCGGAAATTCTGCCACATACCCGGTCTTGGCACCGGGTAAGGACCGGATACGATTTCTCTGCCCTATATGAGGCCCACTTTATTAAAGTCTGGTTTATATACTAAAAAATTCAAAGAAAAACCTTGCTTGATTATGAACATTGATTGTCGGCAATTGCTTATTCCCCCCAGCTTTATACTCTATAATTTTACTGCACTAGCTTTTCTGCCTTTTCCTGTCCTCAACCGCCAGTGCCAATCTCGGGCCTATATCGGAACATGTCTCCTGGCATGTCTCGGTTCTAAGCGCAGGGGGTGGGGACTCGGGAGGGGGTTTGGTGGATTCGAGGACGATCTTAGGCTCGGGGCGTAAGAGAGTGCCGAGAGAAAAGCTTCTGGTTGTGGAGACGCCATCATGGTGATAAAGGAGAGGAGACAATAAGGCGGATGAAGCAATTAAAGAATTAGTTGATACAAAGGTAGATGGATAGTATGAGAAACATAATGTGGTAGGAGTGACTTATTTTTGTTACTAGTCTACCTGCTATCTTGCTATATTGTACGTACATGTAGGGAGTGTAGAGATTGGGATGTGCGTATATGTACACATGGATGTACCTGGGTAGGCAAAACAAGCTGGCCAACTATCAAGGTAGGATCTGTACCTAAATAGGAAGGTGCGCCTCAAATTGTAGGGGCTCTGGAGGTTTCCAAATAGCTAGATCGGGGTATGATCATCCGTGGCGCCCGCCTGTGGACATGGATATCAACACCTTGTTTAATGAGTATTTTTTACACACACCCTACAAAGCGGGAGCATCGTGCAAGCTTGATCTTCTCTATACCAATATAACAATAATTAAAATCAGACAAGTCCTATCTATAAATGCTAGTATATCTGCTTTCCAAGAAAAGTCCAACACCAAAAAGCACCAAAAAGCAAAACAAGATGAATATTTTAAACCCGTTTCCCTTCAAACCCTTCGGCGGGCCATCCCTGGAGCGTATCTCCATCCTCAACATGGTCACCCGACAAGACCAGAGTATGTTCCAAAAGACAAGCATCCTGGCCCATTGAAGCGCCGGACATCAAACGGGATCCAGCGCGCAGAATACTCCGATCCCCAACCTTCAAGGTATGCAGCTCAAATCCACCACGCGAGTTCAAGTGGCAGACCAAACTGGCATCGTCGACAGCAACCCGGTCACCAAGGGTGAGGAGGTCAGGCTCGGTAAAGAATATACTGGGACTACCATTGGCGTGAATCGCACAATCCTTTCCAATGTTCGCACCCAAGAGGCGGTAGTACCAGGAAATGTAGGCAGAGCCGGAGATCATGGGCAGGAGACCAACTCCGTCGTAGCAGTCCTTGATTAGGGTCTCGCAGGACAGGAGGAATTGCCAGCGCTGGTTGTAGCTGCTCTTGTCCCAGTGGTAGGAGCCTTCCTTGCGGCGACCCACGACTGCCCATTTAATGGAGAGAATGATGGCAAAGGCGAGGACGACTTGAGCGGCGGTGATGACGGATAGGATTGAGGCGAGAGTGCCGTACAGAACGAAGGGGCGCCAGGCGCCTTGCTTGAAACCAGCGGCGTCACTGTACTTGAGGATAGTGCGGAGAGCGAAAAGGGAGAACAAGACAGTGAGGAGCCAATAGACAGTAGTGACAATTACTGCGAAGGTAGAGTAGATCACAATTTGCCACATGCGTAGGACGTAGTAGTTGGCCTCATGGCGGTAGAAGGCGCGACCGAATGGCTTACAGGTATCCACATCCTGCTCAGCAATCTCGGTAACAGTCTTGTCTTTACTGCCATAGTAGGTCTGCTTCTCAGTGGGCGTCTTCTCAGTAGGTGATCTCTCGTCTTCGCTACCGCTGCTGTTGGGGCTGCTGCTACCATCCCCAATGATAGTTGGAGCGGTCGAAGTGGTGGTCGAGGTGGAACTTGGGAACTGTATGGCCTCACCACCCTTGCTGCCAGTCCAGACAGTGTTGGAAGGATATTCACCATTACGGCGAAGCAAAGCACCGGAACCGATCATGGCTTGACGGCCGATGGTAGCGCCGGGCAAAGCGACGACACGATCACCAACCATAGTGCCATCGCCAATCACGATGCGGTCCCGACCGTAGCCATCGGATGTGACCAGAGTTGAGCGGGAACCAAATACAACATCATTACCAACCTCAATGAGATCGAAGTCGACCGTGACTGGACCAACACTTGGCCAGTAGACATGCTTGCCAACCTTACCACCAAGGGCACGGACAGCCATCGAGACAAATTCATAGTGACGACCAGTCAGGCGAGTGAGCTCGTGAATGTCACCTGCGGGTAGGATCTGCGCGAGCACAGCACTCCGAATCTTTTGGCGAGTCGTCTGTTTCGAGGCAGGACCAGGCTTGGGCTTGCCACAGATGAGATCCAGGAAGAACTTGATGACCAAGACCGCAATAAAAAGCACAATTGGGCCACCAACCGCACGACAGATCCGTGCAGTAATGTGGAATGCAATCCGGTGATCACTGGTGTACCAATCTAGGGTAGACCGGAACATGTCGGCCGCTGGGGTAGGGAACTGGAGAACCATAGGAATAAGACCAGCCATCCAGGTAATACGAGTAGCCATCCAAGTGATCAACTTAATTGGTTCAACAATAAAGAGAATCCAGAGCCAGTGAGGCTTAGGAATCTGAGAAGTTAGCAATTGGCGGTTGGACTCATCGGCGTCTTGGAGTTCCCAGCTCGACGAGTTGGGACCAATGCAAGTCCTCTCGGGGATATCAGCACCGGGAGCGACGATAGACTTGATGCCGACAGACGAGTCCTTACCAATGCGAATGCGCTTCAACAGCATAGAGGTGTTGCGCTCCACGGCGAACGGGCGACAAACGCAGGTATCCAAAACGACATTGTCACCGATCTCAATAAGATCATACTCGCCAAGCTTGGCAGATGCAGACATGGTAACATTCTTTCCAATCTTTGCACCCATCAAACGGTAGAACAGAATGCGAGACCAATTGTAGTTGTTGAAGAGCCCCTTTCCACACACCTGCGTCGCTTTCTGGGTTAACCACCAGCGCGTATGGTAAGGGCCCCACATTGGTGACATGCCTTCCTTGTAGCGACCGATGACAAGCCACTTGAAGATGATAGCGAGGATGGGAGACACAATTTGTGAGCATAAGCGAGCAGACATCACGGCGAAAACAACCAGCATCAAACGAGCAATGAGGTGCTCACGAATCGGAAATCGATTGGAGCACTCGGCCACGACGTATGCGAACACCATCCACTGGAATGCACGCTTCATAGGGAAGAAGAAGACAGTCGGGAACAGATGCAGAACCAAGATAATTGGGTTGGTGCTGCTGTATGTCTTCTCGCAACCCGGCAATTCAACTCCGCCGTCTTCGCCCTTGGCAGCCTTAACTTGAACAGCTTCGATAATCTTCTGCTCTATTGCTCCAACGGTGCTGTGGTGGAAGAGAATGTCACCGGCCAAGAAAATACCAAATTCCCGACGAAGTTGAGAGACCATACGGCCAGCACTAAGACTATCACCTCCAGCAGCAAAAAAGTCGGTACCGCTGGATACTTCCTCTGGTGAACAAGACAAGGCGACAGCGAAGATTTCACGCACGCGGCGCTGAATGGGTGACAGGTCGCCATCGGAGTTGCGGGCGTGGATTGCCTCATTGATAGCGGCCTGATCAGGTTTTCCGTAGAAATCAAGAGGCATGGGGCCTTTGAGGAGAATGATACGACTAGGTACGAGATAGCCATCTAGCTGGTTGTGGAGCTCGGCAGGTGTCACATGGTCATCATTGGGGTTCTTGACAAACAAAACAACCTGCGCGAGCCCGTCGCGCGGGTTTATTTGCACGTGCACGTCAGGTGTGTTTGCCTTCTTGCTAAGAACTGAGCGAATAACCCTTTCATCGATGACACATGGCTTCTTCGGAATCAATGCACTGAGCGGAGCACCAGTAGGCGGGCAGACAGCTTCGTAGTGCCGGCTCGCCAGGGGCGTAGTCGTGGTTAAGGTCTCCAACGACAGGCGGTCTGCGAGCTTAATCCGCTGAATCTTGTTGTTTGCCTTTGGCACGCCGTCCATGTACACCACCAGAGCAGGCCACTTGGGCTGATGTATAATAGGCTGCAGCGCTTCGTGTATCTGGCGAAGATCCGGCCTAGTGAAGCCTGGAGGAGTGACGATAACCACACCGACGACTTCCTGCAGGACTTCGTCTGGGACAGAAAAGGCCAATGTCTCAGTCACGCGACCATACAGCGGGGACTCTGGGTCCTTGGCCGAGGTCAGCACCGCATTTTCCACTTCGACGGGAGAGATAATTTCGCCACCACGGTTGATCACCTCCTTGCTGCGGCCAGTGATGTACAGGTAATTGTCGTCATCGAGATGTCCAAGATCACCAGTATCGAACCAGCCGGATTCATTGAATGCACTGGTATCAATCCTACCTGCAGGGGTCAGGTATCCCTCAAATGCAGGTGATCCACGAATGCAAATGTGCCCAAGCATCCCATTTTGCGGGACAGGCTTGCCACTCTCAGTCATAATTGCAACCTCAGGGCCAACAATCCTTCCCGATGTTCCAGGGCGATCAAGCTTATAGTCCCTCGGCGGCGCAGCAATGGGCATACATTCAGTCATGCCGTAACTGGGGAGGACAACGCAGTGGAAAGTATTATGAAGCTGCACTGCAAGCGTTGGAGGGAGGCCACCACCAGCGTTGCAGATAAACTGGATGGCGCTTTTTTTAACGGCATCAGGACGGTGCTCGGCTTCGGCAAGAATCATTTGATGCATCGTGGGTGTGGCGTAGTACCAAGTTGGTGTCATATGAGGGGCTTGCACAGCATCCCAGAACATGCTGGGGTCAAACGAGGGACAACATATTGTAGCGCCGCCGGCGAGGATGGGGGAGAATATACTTCGCATGATGCCACCGCTGATGCTGTTAGTTGCCTTCCTATATATAATTCGGGAGGGGGACATACACATGGTTCAGGGGCATCATGTTAAGACATGTATCTGTCTCGGACAGTTCCACAGACTCTATAGTAGCGATGGTACCAGCGATGAGATTGTAAGTTGTGATGGGAACCAGCTTCTTAGTGCCACTGGTACCACTAGTGAACAAGATAATGGCAATGTCATCCCCAGAATTGGGGGGATGGTCGTATGCACTAGAAGTATTCCGTGCGGAGACCACGCGGAAAGTCAAGTTTTCAAGCTGCTCAATGCCAAACACTGGCCGGGTACCGTTGTCGAGCTGCAACTTGCCAATGTCAGCGTCCAGCGCGACAACAGCATCAGCTTGTGAATTTTCTATATCTGTCTGCAGTTGCTCTGCCACCGTGTTCGTAGTCATGGGCACAATGGTGTACCTGTTGACGAAAGCAAGGACAGCAACTGCCATAAGAGGGCCGTTGGGCAAGATGACAGCGATGCGAGGCTTCCCATGGCGGGAGAGTCCTACTGGGATCTTGAAATTCTCCAAGAACTGCCGAATGGCAATATGTGTCAGGTGCCGTCCGGTGTTAGCGTCGATAAGCCCGGCGCGGGAGTCTGTTCCTATTAATTCTGCAACGCTGGGGGTGGCTGCTTTGACTTGTGAACGGAGATGGGTGATTGATTCATTATTATTGGCCTTGAGGGATTCGGGAATGGACTTGTAGATGTCCTGGAATGTTGGGATTAGGTGTCGGATGGGCCAAGAATCGGTGCGTGAGGATAATAAAGCGGACAGTTGGTGAAAGGAGGCTGGATGGGAGGCCTCCCTGCGGAGGTATAGAAGCTTTTCTATAAGTCTGTTTGACAGTCAGGATCGGAAGAAACTTCACATGGACACCCCAAAAAGGAAAAAAGGGACTAAAATGATAGATTCGATAACATACGAAGATCTTGATGAGTCCGCCATTGTATATCACTAGTGCAAATCAATCTCAACTCAACCTGATACACAACCCAAAAAGAAGAAGTCCTTCACGCCTTATATGCTGCCCCGTACCCTAGTAACGGCCACCATCAATCTGATACACAAACCCAAAAGGAGTCCTTCACACAAGTAATCCACTAGCAATATCCACCCGGTCCACCAACCTCTCGCAAATTACATCACAGACCTCTTTGAGATCCCGAAATTCTTCATGCAAAAAGTACAGCGGTAACCTCGCTCGGGACCAAGAAGAGAAAGATCCGCATGGCATCCCGATACCCAAGCTTGACCCACGGAATTCCGTTCATAGTCGGAGAGATCAGCTCAACCACCGGATTGTACATCATGCAGCTGGGCGGGATGGTATTGGCCCAAGATAGAGACATTGTTCCGTCTGCCGTCTCAGGGCCGTGAGGTGATCAAACGCCCAGGGTCTTGATACATTGCAGGTTCACGGGGGCCAAATGTCACAATAGGACCCCTGTTTCAATTGAGCTTTTCGTTATTAAACTTTCCCTTTTGTTGGATGTCTCAGGAATCACGTGATGGCTGTCTCAGGAATCACCTGTAGATAGAACACGAGTGACAGACTCTCTCTCTCTCTTTTTCTTCTCTTCGTCCGACAGAATACATACTGAGATTTCTCTATTGATCTGACATAGTATTGTATTCCATGAGCTTTGGTATTATTCGAATTCCCTCTTACCGGATGGAGTAATATCACCGGCATGACCACGATAAGCCCGACTCTTGATATCGCCATTCCCAATCGCCTAGCGTGATCTGCATGTTCTGGGTATACCTCTACACAGATTTCACATGAAGTCCCCGACTCAGCCTCCATGAACAACTTCTCAAGGAATGATAATAGGTCCCAAAACACATATGAAGTGGATCTTTGCAGCGCCGCAGGATGGTGGCGTTGCAGTCTTGCAGGGTCGCCTCTGGTCAGCAATTTAGGGCGTCGCGAACACCGCCGATCGCATGTCTCAAAACTGGGAACTGCCTGATATCGTAGTAAGTACTCCGTATGCGTCCAGAACCTCGCGCCATTTATTTGTTTAGGGCAACTACTGGGGACGATCGACCGAAATATTGGAAGCTATGTACACACTATGTCCAAGGTCCACATTGCAATTGTGGAAACACTCTGCCCTACGAAAGGTGGAATTTTGCCATTATCCATATTCATCGACATAATATACGGATGAAAATGATCTACACTGTGTAATGTGAATCATTCACCACATCTTTTTGTTAATTAATGTCTCTCAAACTACACGGGTCTACTCCGTAGGGTTACATACATCTTGCCTCGTACTCCGTACGGAGTACGAGGCATAGAGTGCTGAAAACCCACTTCCCGAAATAGGGCCGGTCCTTGCCAAGGCTCTTGGCGAGGGACTACGTTGCTTGGCAAGGAAATCAATTCCAAGTCTTACCTAGTCTTATCTTCCAAGGTATGACCCTTATTATTTTCCATTCGGGTCCAGTTTTGTCCATAGCATTCTCTCCCAATGACAGGCCGTCTCCGGGTCTTTGACACAGAAAATTCTAGCGCTTGTGGAGCGCCATCAGGGCTGATCTCGTCAATAGTAGCATTGAGTTCTTCGAAGTACTCCGTAGGGCTCCGAACGTTGAGACCGCCGATCACAACGCGCCGATCTGCAGTGAGGACAGCGCTGCCCAAATGTGACAAGGTGGCCTCGACTATTCCGTGCTTCCAAAGTTCCCGCCATCACGAACCTGGTGAAACCCCAAGCCTGCTATAACAAATAGGATAATTGATCCTGACTAATATTACGGAGTGCCAGCTTAGTACTTCCACTACTTATGCATGTTATGCATCGCACGTTGAAAGTTACCACCATTTTATTGGTTGTAGACTGCATTATCTTCTTCGTGGTACGATTGGAGCTCCACTAGAGCCAGGTACTGATGTACATACGAAGCAGACTCATACAAGGTTTCCGCCTATGAAAAGTGACAATGGTCTCGAATGCACAATGTGCCTAGATTGTTCTAATTTACCTCAAGCGAGGCTAAACCAGTTGGACCTTTTGCCTAGGCCGTGAAGTCCGACAGATAATCTAGCTTGCCGATCTGCACACCCTTCGCCCGCAAAATATCATACGTAGTCACAACATGAAAGTAGAAATTCGGGATCGCAAATCGCACCGAATAATCCTCTAGCGTATAATCGAACACAACATCTCCAAGGGGGGCCTTGAAAGTTTGCCCTTCCTTCCTAGCGATCTGTGCTGGATCGGCCTTTTTCAGCTCTGCAAGTGTGCTCTCAATGCGCTTGTAAAGCTCCTCGTAGGACTTATCGACCTCTTGCCGTGTGGAAGGTTCGACAGAAGCTGCGCGGGCGAGGGCCTTGGAGACTGTGTTCGTTGCCGCCAAAATTTGGAAGGAGACAGGCTTCATATCCTCGACAAGGCGAGCATTGAGAAATTCATCGAGCGCAATGTTGTTTTCTTTCGCGTACTCTTCGGCTTTCTTTAGGAGAGTAGAGAGGGTATTGAGACCTCTGGTGAAAGTGGCGATGGTGTAGTTGTAGAATGGGGAGGCCATTTTGATTTGTTCACTTCGAGGTGAGTAGTTTGACAATGGTAGGCCGTAGAAATAGAGTGAACAATGATGGAGTGATTGATTGGGAATTATTATTATCATGTAGAAGGAAGTAGATGAGGCCTTATATACACGATATCCCCCTAGAAGAAATCCTTGGGCAACCTTGGAAATGAGGTGCGATTTGTAATCAGTGAGCCTCTTCCAAAGTTATCTTACCTACCTATACGAGATATTCTACCCTCAGCAAAAGAAATTCCAATGTTTACTCCGTACACCGAAGTCGGATTTGTAATCACTGGTTCTCTTGTCTTCCACCTGGGCAAGGTTACCTGCTTAGGTATCTGGTCAGGGGCTGCAGGGATGAAGGATTTGGCAAACCTTCCAAGGTTGGAAGATCTGTATGATTACTAATCTACCCATTCGGATCCATCCATTCATGGATGGACCCCAAGGCAAGGCAGCGTAGTTCTTAGTTCCTGTTCTGCGGAGGATGGACTACAACATACATCGTATACTCTTGTTTGGTTTCAGCCGCAAAAATTGAATGTGATATTCGGTGGTCAGGAGGGAGTTACCTGGTGGTATTGCGCATATTTATAATCACCTGTTCAGAGAAAATGTCTCTACATTTCGAAGTATAAAGTACTCTCGATCATCACAATATCAATTACAGTATGTTCTTCAGCGACCAAAAGAGTGGGATATAAACACAATGTCACCGATAATATGCTATCAACTATCCCAAAAATCACAAATCCCCAAAATGCCCCACAATAGACATCCCTCGCCCTATGACGCACATCCGAATCGATTACTGGTAAAGGTAGAATTCTCCACCATTGATAGTCTTGCACTCAATATCGACATTACCAACGGGGCCTGTGTAAGGGCCACACTGGTACTTGTAACCAGACTCAATGATATTAACAGCTGTTCCAGCAGGGCCCTCAGCGGCGATTTCGTACTTCTCGGCATCGGAAGCACCAGCGGGGAAAAAGAAGGAGTAGGCGGGGTCAGCGCAAGCCTCGGGGTTGTTGGGGCCGACAGGAAGTGTGCCATTTGTCCTGGTTTTCCACGTTAGTCCCTTCTACTGTAGTCCTGTGGACCTCGTACAGAATATTAATAACTTACCAACCAGTGTGGCAGGTGGTCGTCTCAAGAGCCTCGCCCATGGGGCTCCGGGAAATAAGGTAGAATTTCATATCCCAGGTGTCTCCCTCAATAGTGTGCTTGAGGGAAAGGTCGCCGATGCTGTAAGGGTAGACTCGGGACCCAGGAGCTGGAGCGGCGAAGGCGGCACCAGCGAGAGAGAAAACAATTGGAATGAAAGAAGCCTTCATTTTAATAGATTGGAGGGAATATATATATTATTGCAAAAGGGCAATGCTGGGCTTGGGGTGTCTAGAATTGGCGATTATAGCCTCAAGTGGATCGCGATATTGTTATAATGATGAAGGACAAGCAGGAGACGGTCGCCTTTATATATATAGAGACATCGAATTGACCCATGCTGTTGTAAATAGCACGCCTGACGAAGAATATAACTGTCTCAGTCTGCTTCAACTCACTCGGTCGGTCTTCACCAATTGTACATTGGATGTCGAGGAAGGTGGTAAGGTTTTCCTCTATAAGATACGTGGCGCACCGGTTCTGGTTGCAATGCCTTGGTGACAACTAGGATGGCTACTAAATATAGCTTAAATTTTAAATATACATAACTTTGAATTTTAGAGTGGCGCGCAATACGATCTCACAGCCTTGGTATATACATAATATTAGCTAAATATAGAACTATCTTAAAGCACAGCTCTGGAGATAGAACTTGTAAATCCGGGGTAGTGATCTGCCAGAGCCCATACTGTATCAGTCAGCCGCGTGTATCCAGAGCTTACAGAATACTTGGCGCGCTATTCTCTCCACCCTAGGACGCCTAATTCTATAAATGGAATTGATCAATACCACTAGGGCTGATATTAACATACTGTATCGGATATAGACGACGGACAAGCCCGGGGAGTTGGTAGGACGTTTGGCGTATAAATACGTAGATGGGATGCGAGTACGAAAACGATATAATTCGACATTTTCATCAACGCCCCATTAGCTTCTATAGTTCGCCACTTGAGTATGGCTCCATGAATACAAGGCAAAGACCCGGCCGTAGCCCTCGTGGGGCCTTTTGCTCCAGGGCTGCCTTTGCGGATGATGATGTCTGCTCTTTGGCTCCTTATGAAGCGTTTCATTTTGACTCATCAAGAATATCTCCAATTATGACAATTGGCTGTATAATATGGGGGTTGGAACTACAAGAGATGATGATCAAGAACCCTATACTCGCTTGCAGGGGGCTCTATTCCTTGGGCATCTATGGGGGGCCTGAGGTGCAGGGAGGTGCGGTGGAAATACTTCACTCCAAAGGAGTGTGGGCTTTCCCCCTTATCCTTTGAATTAAAGTTAGGGGCCATAGATAAATGCTGACATGATGGCTCGTAGACTCTTATATCATGTGGCTGTCCAGTTTGACCAGTACGTGTCTTGGGGCCCACGAAATGCTGCAAAAAATACACAATCAGTGACGGTCTGTCGCTGCCTCCGACTTAGACGCTTACCCCGCAATGAAAACTGGATAGAACTTTTTTTTTTCTATGTAGGAATGTACCCAAGTAAACTAGTGCAAATATATCAGATCTTCGATATCTAATCTATCTAATCTCCGTAGGTAAAGTTTTTCTACGGGTCCATGGGTGGTCCGATCCTTTGCATGACCATTGATTGGGTGGGGTAGACGTCTATTGGTCCACTCCAGCCCTAGAGGGCTCGGGCACCTGCCCAGATAGATGACCTCGGGACCTCGGGAGTTTCGAAGGTTACGCATGTATTATATAAGCACTGCCCACTTCCAACCTTGGAAGGATCCAAGGTTCCAAGGTTCCTTCCAAGGTTGGAAGGTTGGGCATCTGGGCAGATGACGATAAACAGACCTCGGGAAGTTCTACCTACTATATTCGTATACGTAGTGTCACTTTTCACTTAATCACCAGCCTACTTCTTTTACAAGTCAAGCTCCTTCAACAATGGTCTATAGCCTATATCATCAAGCGCGTCACTTGAAGGGTTATTCCTCTGCTATTTTATCTAGATCATCGTGAATCTTCAGTTGGTATATTCTTTAATATATGGGCAACAATCATGTGTATAGTTAGTTATGTATTTCCCTGGGGACATGTACAGGCTTAACCTTTGTTCGAAATAGCTTAATGATCTATACTACCCTTCCGTATATATATAAACGATATAGATTCTAGTTGGTGCCATCACACGGCTGATCTGGCGGCCCTGCTTTGCCAAACATGCGCCTTCTCCGCTCGGATCATTGCCGTCGAGACGACGTGTTACTATTGCCTATCAGCCATACCTGTCTCATCCCACAAATATAGAACAAACTAATCTGAGCTCCATCCCTTAAGCCACTAAGAGACTCGAAAGACCGAGATATCCCAGTCCCGCACGGTATGTTTCTTAATGTTTTGAACAGACCGGGATCGCCAATCATCAAATTAAGAATATTAACATACTTCGTTATTCGTATTGCATTGCGCGGTCGCATCTCGACCTACGCGCCGACGTTTAAGATTTTCACGTAAATGGCCGTGTGTTATGAGGTGAAGAGTTTCTTATAGCAAAGCTCCGTGACCTTGCTGCCACCACATCTTACGCCATAGGCTAAAGGCTGGTCGGTCTAAGAACTAAAAAGCTGTATTAGTGCTACCGAGCTATAATGCCCTGGCCTTTGACGGAGAGGATCTTATCCCTAGCATCACTCCGTGGTCGTAGTATCCTGAAGATGGCGGTCGTGAACCCTTATCCATACGACAGATTGACGGCTATCTGGTCACTGCTAAGATAAGGAACCCGACGTACAATATAAGTCAGGCTGTAATAAGGAAGCAAAAAGGGGCAAGAGAATAATAAAACTTAAACAAATGAACCTTCAGAGCTTCTTCACTCAGTGGTCCGTTATGCTGAAGTCACCTAAGGTGGGCTTTTAGTGCAGCAGAGTACTTGTGTATATCTGGGTTCGGCAAAGCCTGACTAGATAAAACTCTCTCCTGATTTTCCCCAGGCAGTCAAGTCATCGTATGTTTTAAAGCGAGAGATGACAAAGACATCTCCTGTCGACAAAGAGGGTCCCAACTTTAATACTCCGCTCGAGGAATATCCATCATCCCTATAGGCCTTGTCTCAACTAACTCCATCCCTACCGCAGAAGTTGTTGAGGACCCACCACCGCCAAAAATTTGAATTCCAACCGACCTGTTATTGGCTCCCAGGTCGAACGTCTGTTCAATTCCGCTCGCGATACTTGCCAGTGCGGGCGAGGGTATCTATCTACAGATATTATTCAAGGCCAAATGCTTTCCACGTGCGCGATTAATTTGATAAGAAAAGCAGCCTGCCTTCAGCCGGGTACCTATTATAAGAGATGAGATACATTTCGTATAACAGGAGCATGGAAGATAGGATATAGAACATAGTTAGCATTGATCTTATTAGTGATACTAATAATGAAACCCCGCTAGTACTTATGTTAATATTAACTCCTATAAGTGTTTACAACAGTTAATTTGGAGGAGCAAGGGGTAAATAATTGTTCCGTATCCAGTCGTATTCGTTCGGGTGGAATGATTCCGAAGTTCACCCGTGGACCTACCCAGCCCTGGAGGTGATCTCGGGATTTGCCTGGTTTGACTAATCAGCCAAGGCACCGGGAGTTCCACGGTTTCGAAATCGCCCGATCTTGGAAGTTCCAAGGTTGGCTTATTGATTGCGCTATAGTTTAAGTGAGCTTGAATCCATGGAAGTTAGTTGTATCGACTATGAGTTAGTAACATATGTCCTTTTCCAATATCTACCTAGGTAGATATAGGCTTGTAAGACAAATAAACATGCATTTTGCGTGGGTAGAGCTGAATGATAACTAATCTATGCAAAGCTTAATTGTACCCCACTTTGGGCCATGTCCTGCGGGCCGTAACTCCAAAAGTTCAAAGATACTATAACTATACTAACGACATAGTTGACTCTACTACGATGTCCTACGATATCAAGCTCGCTGGCGGAAAGGGCCCCGCATTCTCATTCTTCAGCAAACTGTTCCATTGCTAGGAAAAGACACCTTCGCACTTTCGTAAACAGCGTATATAGTACGAGCCACGTCATGTTGCCGGTATAATCTGAGTGACGCTCTATGGCATTTAATCACTTGATGAACAAGGATATAGTTACTCCGCAGCCGTGAGGAGAAATGAAAAAAAGTCCACCAATGAATCGATCTTATGATGCTCGCAGGAAAAAAACGTGGACAACCACGACTTCCTTCGATCTAGATGAAACACCCCTAAATTAACCGTCCGCGGCTCTACTATTTCTCCTGAGTCTCTCGAGGTGCCGGTCTTAGGATTGATTGGCCAATATTAGTGGGGGTGTTTCGGAGATGGGCTTGATGACGATCGCCTTCCCAAAGCAACTATATCTACGGACCGATCGGCGGTATCATCTCCACCCTCGGGACTTGCACATCCATGATGACTTCCAAGACCACATCCAGTGTAGGAGCTAAGATGCCCTAACCCACTTAGCCGGTTAACGGCAGAGAGGCACTGAACGGCTGAAACATATCACATAACCTAAAATCGCAGTTATATAAGTAGACAGCATCTGCCCTTCTTGGATCCATTCCTCTCTCATCCATTCTCTCTTTGCATTTCTTTGTTTCGCTTCACAGTTTCGTTTGCTTTTATTTTTCGTCACTCTTTATATACTACCTGCATCAGCTTCCAAGATGAAGTACGCCTATGTTCTCACGGCTATTGCCGCCATTGCTTCCAAGGTCGCCGCTGTCGGTGTCTCTGGCACCCCTGAGGGTTTCGCTTCTTCCGCCACTGGTGGCGGTAATGCCACCCCTGTCTACCCTACCTCCACCGATGAGCTGGTCTCTTACCTCGGTGATGACGAGGCCCGTGTGATTGTTCTGAGCAAGACGTGAGTAGGGAACCCCCATGATGGGTGGGCGGACGACTAACAATGGCGGAATTCTAGTTTCGACTTCACCGACACCGAGGGCAGCACCACCGGCACCGGTTGCACTCCCTGGGGTACTGCCTCCAACTGCCAGGTTGCCATCAACAAGGACGACTGGTGCACCAACTACCAGCCCGATGCCGCTACCACTTCCGTCACCTAGTGAGTGTCCCATCACTCAGGCTTGGATCGATGTCCGCTCAATGCTAACATATCTCCCAGCAACAACGCTGGTATGCTCGGTATCACCGTTGGCTCCAACAAGTCCTTGATTGGTGAGGGCACCAGCGGTGTTATTAAGGGCCGTGGTCTGCGCATTGTCAACGGTGTCAAGAATGTCATCGTCCAGTACGTTTTGGTTTTAAGCGCGCAAGTTGCGTTGGAATACACACTAACCGGTTTATCACAGGAACATCGCTGTCACAGACATCAACCCCCAGTACGTCTGGGGCGGTGACGCGATCACCATCAACCAAGCTGACCTGGTCTGGCTCGACCACATTACCGTACGTTGCTCCCTCAGCCCTTCCCAGCGATTTACACAAACTAACCTATCATCCAGACTGCTCGCATTGGTCGTCAGCATTACGTCCTGGGCACTGAAGCTGACAACCGTGTCTCTATCACCAACAACTACATCGACGGTGAATCCGACTGGTCTGCCACCTGCGACGGCCACCACTACTGGAACGTGTACCTCGATGGTTCCAGCGACAAGGTCACATTCAAGGGCAACTACCTTTACAAGACAAGTGGTCGCGCCCCCAAGGTCCAGGGCAACACCTACCTTCACGCTGTCAACAACTACTGGGACGACAACTCCGGCCACGCCTTTGAGATTGGCTCTGGTGGCTACGTTCTTGCGGAGGGTAACTACTTCGCTAACGTCGACACTGTTATGGAGGAATCCTCCTTCCAGGGTGCCCTCTTCTCCTCCGACAGCGCCTCCGCCACCTGCGAGTCCTACATCGGTCGCTCCTGCGTCGCCAACGCTAACGGTGGCACTCTCGCTGGCACCTCCACTGATGTTCTGTCGAACCTGAAGGGCGAGACTCTTGCCGAAGCCGCTGGTGCTAGCACCGACCCTGCTGGCAGCGCCGGCCAGGGTAACCTGTAAGCGGTTTCGTGCTTGAAGGTTGGGGGATTCGTCAAAATTCTTGTCAGACAATTGCGGCAACTGCCTCCCTATGTACGCTATAGTCTTAGTATAGTTACTACCTCAGCCTAATCAATAACATTCGTGAAACAGATACACTTTCGTGATTCGACAACTAGGAATGTCCATACGAAATGTACAATATGTTTGACGAATCAATTGGTTTAGAAGGACTAACATTCATGGAACAGATGAGCGTAGTCGGTTCGAAAACAGCTCATTGGGCAGGCATTCACAGCGACGAACTAGAAAAGAAGGTACCGATACAAGAAACTATCCAGCAAATGCAATAATTCATGTCGGGACAGCAATAGGGACCTGGGAAGCATGGGCACACTGGTGATGGGAATTCATATCCATTGATAAAGATGTATCACCTTCAGATGGGCATAGTAGCACTGTGTGGTCGGAAAAGCCCAACCGGGAAGGCAAATCGGAAAGCTTCTGCAATTCCCTTCGTATCGTCGTTCGACAGAGGAAAATCTGTCTCGTTGCCCTTCTTTGCAACTGCAGCCCGGTCAGGTACATGCTCTGATTGAGGACTCTCAACAGCAGACTCAAAGTCCAGAACTGACAGACATAGCGGCAGCACGCAGCGAGGTCCTCAGCCGTGAATGTAATATTTCTTTCCCTCGTGTTAGGGGCCGGCCGGCGGCGCATGACGGATTCGAAACCTAGTTCAGCGGAGCATTCTGAACATCTGCTGGGGTAATGACGATCTCCTTGGCCGCTAGATGAAATCGTAGCACTGTTCAGGAATTTGTTTGAGATGGCGGAGGCGGAGGCGCAGATAGCAGAGTGCGTCAGACATCTGCCTGTAGTCATTGCGTGGTTCTGGGGTTGGTTAGGTTCGAAATGGTAGAATTTTATAATGACTCTACTCTCAGGGGATCTCTGGATGCGAAATGGTACGACTATGTTGACTTGGTGGTCGGAATTTGAGAACTGCTCTCTTCCTTAGTACGAAATGTTATGCTGTCCAGCATCCACCGAGCGGACTGACATAGACCGAATAATACGAATGGGGATAATGGAACAGCCATCGAATTAAATATCTATCGAGTCCGAGATGTGGTACTGATATGGGCTGGTAAGTCTATTTCGAGTGATACTCATCGCTTGGATGGGTTCGACAGCAGCCCCGCCAGTTGTTTGGTCGAGGTTCCATTGCTCGATTGTGATGTTCCCATTCAGTGTAACCTTTATTGTAAGGGCGACTTTTGCTGATCTGATTCACGGAGCCAGAACAAAACATATCACCTCGGTCTGTCTTGAGTCACACCATCCTGCTTCAACAAGGATTGTGGGCCACTTCATATCTCATCCAGGTGCATCCTTGCCTAGCAAGAATGAGGGCACTTTTTCCCTTGTGAAATCCTCAATAGCTGCCCCTCATAGGGGTAAAAGACGACTTTCCTAGCCACGATGCCAAGTCGCACATCTCACCGAAAGCACGATCGCCGGCGTGATGTATATGAGTCGGATTTTGAGGACAGTGGTAAGAGAAACGAACGTCGTAGGTCACTTATCAATGCGGAAGGGGGCTTTCTAAGGTGTAGGATGAAGACCTCGTGCATGAAAACCTTGAAATCCTAAAAGTGGGATGAAGATCCCCGCCGAAAAGACATGATCTGGTAGAGACAAGGATATTCGCATATCACCCAGACACCGGGAATGTTGTAGAGGATGGATACGATGATGGAAACCCGACGAATTAGATGAGGGTGGACGAGGATGCAGAAGTGAAGATTCTGCAAGGTATGCAAAGGAGAGAGTTATGGGTTGAAAACTCTGCTGTCGAGGTAGAAAGAGAGAAGTGAGAAAGAAGCAAGTAAGGAAGCAATTGAAGCAAAGACCTTGTTAATTTGTACCAACGTCCACGGGTTGCAGAAACCTCGAGGTAGTGGACCGGACCGTCTAGTTAATTGCGGGCCCCACCCTTGGCACCAGATCCACACCTTTTGCTCAGCCTCACGTTGCTTTTCTCTTTTTCTCTCAAACTTCCCCCTCAGCCTGGTCATTCCAATGGATGCGTTCAGGGCACGTGGACTGTGACGAATCCTCAAAAGGCCGTCAATTTGGGGCCATTGGTTTGCGAAGCGTGGAGAGCTTCAACCACTAGCTCCTCATTCGAGCTCCAGAGTGCAACAGAGCTGGATGGTACTGAAAAACCTACGACGTGCATGGATCAACTGTGAGGAAATTATCAAACACATTGAGACCCGGCACACCACGATCCGACGACAGTCTGAAATCAGCAACCTGAGTTCTCACGAAACGATGTTCGTTTCACGAGATTTCAAAGAACCCCCCTGAGGCGGCGTCTGCAGCTTACTTTGTTCCAAACATAGGCAAAGGAGACCCACTGAGAGCAATCATTGCCCACCTAGGAGCTGGTGACCAGATCATTGGCATTGAGTTTCAATTGGTCGGTAAGCTTTCTGAGCGTCTTTTCGCGACCTCGAGCGATTTACACTAGCAAGATCACTATGAGCTCGCACACAGTGATTATTGCGGTGTGTGTATCTCTTGGTAGCCCGGAGCTGAACCAAAATGAGCGGAGAATCCGTGGCCTTGGTTTTGCCACTCAAGAATGCCCATCGCAGCCAACTCATATCCGCCTGGAATGGAGGTTATAGGAGTTGCAGGCGAGTTCAATGTGAGTGCAATTGGAGGGAAATGAAATTTTCGTTCAATGTCTGTCTAACCCAATTACCAGGCTCAAATCATCACAACCTTCGGCATTATTACGGCCAACCAGCTTTCCGTGCCTATCAGCCCATCGGAATTGTCAGGATTGTCAGGAATCGAAATCGACCTCAATTTTCATACCCAGTGGCTTGGTCGCTATCCACCACTTGAATGGCCACTGAGGCAGTACTATCGTGAAAAGCGCCGGAATGGCACTGGCCAAGTTTATCCCCTTGTCACTAATCCCTTCCCACGCGTGTTAGAACCTCCAGTCCATTTTCTCGATCTGCCAGGAGGAAACTTTCTCGGGTGCAGGCCTACGGTGCTTTCGATGCTATCAGCCTTATGAGCGATTTTTCAAGGGATTCGTCTTTCATTTAAGTGATGGATCGATGGAGGGAGTCAACACAAGGGCTACCCACCAGGATATCTTGATGTCTCCAACCCACTATGTTGAATTCGCAGTCGAACAAAATGAGACAATCACCGACATGGTTCTAGATTGTGCCCATGAGACAATCATTAACAGTGACAAGGCGAAACTCAGTGGATTACAAGTAAGTCTCCGCTATTATCGCTGTACCGAAGCTTCGATGCTGGTATCTCCGATCATTGGTTCATTACAAGGCTAAACAGAAAACTACCACTTAGATGCACGGAAACGGATGACCGTGCTCGTCAGGAGCCACGCTTCCCAGGCTATAGTGCATCAACAGAATATGGGCCAGTGCATTGGAGGCTGCGGCAGTGGCACGTGTCGGGCTGGCTTTTTAGAAAGGCTAATGCCCTGATGCTGCACTCGACGTGTCAAGATCAAATTGATATTTACTGCACAGCGTGACGAATAACCCCAACCAAGAAAGGTCCAACCATGCCGACTTATCAAAGCCTGAATTCTACAGACTAGCAAGTGGATGACCACATTGCCGATTCCAGTTTTGGGATAATCCCGCACGCGTTAATCACTACCTAATTGAGTCCACATGGGTTGATCCCGGTTTGAGTGCTGTGTCCAACCTACTTGGACGTCCACAGGTACAATATATACGCAAAACTGAATTCCGAGCGACACATAATATTGGGATTAACTTTAGTTGTCTATATCAACGACCTCATTTTTCTCATCGTATGCTCAAGCATGCTTAATGGTCCAACCCTGAAGATCCCGTGTTCTGATGCACGCCAAGGGCGCTAGCCCTTTGTCTCGCGCCCATGGCCGCTTAAGCCCCGCAAAATGGCCCCCGATTCCGCAGATTCTGCAGTTATCCCTTGTAAACCAGCTTGTTTGCCTGGAGAGATCGGCATCAGAACTGGGAAAACTCACCGCCCGGGTGCGTTGAGCCTCATGTTAGAAATCCCTCGGGCAAATTGTTATTATTGTACGGAGTAGCTAACTCTCTAACTCTATCTTGATGGGCTTATACATAAGCTAGCCAGTCCTGGATGTATCTTGGCTGAAACTCCGTTCCCGTCATCGCATCCTTCCAGGCCTTCTGGCAATGCTCGCATGACTGTCCACCATGTCGAATAGGGGCTCACTCGACCGCGACACGGAATTATTACCGATTCCCTACCACCACCAAAGTGCAGATTTGCTGATCCAAAGTACATCAAAATGCGAGTCTGAAAGATACTCGGAGAGAGACACAGAAAGACTCTCCGTATACAATTCCAAGCCCAAAAATAGTTGGCTCTTTCAAAGCGGAGACCGGTTTCAAGGCTGGAGATTTACTATTTTTCTGGCTTTTGTCGCCAGCTTGATCGTCTTCTTTTTCAACCTCGGCTTTATGCTCTATACTATCTCTCATCATCATCAGGATGATACGAAGGGGATCTTGTACCAGGGTGATTGCAATAAAGTGCGGCATTTGGACATTGGCTTCCATTTGTTGATCAACATCTTGAGCACGACCCTTCTGTCTGCTAGCAATTTTGGAATGGTACTTAAGAAACTTCCCCAAATATTCCTTTCAATAAACTAACAGCGATATCAGCAATGCCTCGCTGCACCGACAAGACGAAACATCGACCGAGCTCACCAGAAAGGGAAATGGCTCGACATTGGAGTGCCCAGTATCCGCAACCTTTTCCGCGTATCTAAAGGACGATCGCTCTTATGGATATGTCTAGCATCCTCCTCTCTCCCTTTCCATCTCATGTACGACATTCCCTCGTCTAATTAAACATCAACACCCCCCGCTAACCAAAGTAAAAAGGTACAATTCAACAATCTTCTCGACAACCTCTGTCACAGCCTACCATATCTTCCTGGGACATGGAGATCTAGGCAGAATACCTTCACCAGTCCTCGAAGTACCAGTTCAAGACACGGACAAATGGTCGTCCTTCAACGGACTCTTGTCGTCCGCCAAAACCGGAACTCTGCAGCATCTCGACCCAAAAGAATGCGTCGAGAATTATGCGCAAACATTCCAGACAACCTACGGCAATCTCCTTCTTGTCACCGAGCAAGTGCCAACAAATACTTCGTACGTTTACCTGACGATGCAGGGTGTATTCAATCCTGAGCGATACCGGCAAATCGGGCACCCGCAGGCAGATCCGTATGAGTGGCTTTGTCCAAATGCTTTGGGCTATGACTGCGAAGTGTATTTGCCGTCTATTCAGTCTCAAATCAAGAAGAACAACTGGACCGTGGCCAGTCATAGTTCGTCGGGTGGTGGGTGGAAGGTTGATTACTGTCTCGCCGAGAAGGTGAGACAGTTCTGTAAATTGCAGTACTCTTTCCCATTGACCATGGTCGTTATCACATTCAATCTGGTCAAGTCCGCCATATTGTGTTATATGTGGTTTGGTATGAGAGAAGCTCCCATCCTGACCATCGGTGATGCCATTACCTCCTTCCTGCGTCGCCCCGACCCATATACGAAGGGGGGGTGTCTCCTTCTCCACCGAGAAGTGGAATCCATGCTTTGGTACTTACCAACATCGATCAAAAAGTATCCACTGCATAAACCGAGAAGGTATTTAAAGAAGCGAAGACGTTGGGGTAGTGCCGTTTCCACCAGACGATGGGTATTCCTCATATCCTTGTAAGTGGTCCATCTACACAACCGTTCCTGTCACATCTGAGACTCTCAACTAATATCTCTGTAGCTGGTTCATAGCCATCCTTGTTTGTATCATCCTTCTCGTATACGGCATCTCCCAAATAAATGCCGGCTCACCCGTCTGGCGAGCAACCCTAGGCGAAGCAAACGCAAGCACCCTAATTAAAGGCGGGAACTGGCCCAGCACTCTAATACCAATCGTGATAATTGCCAACATACCCCAACTCATCTTCTCCTTCCTCTACTTTGCCTTCAACAGCCTCCTAACCGCAATGAATATCGCCGCAGAATGGAGCCGCTTCGCCGTCAACCGAAAAGGTCTCCGAGTTTCAGGTAGACCATCACTCTCGCAACGCAGTAACTATTTCCTCTCATTGCCATATCGCTACGCAATCCCACTCATGGGCGTCTCTTCTCTTCTGCACTGGCTTATCTCGCGGAGTATATTTATGGTGGGGATTGATGCGTATGGTCCAAGTATGGAGAGACAGCCGGAGAATGACGTTCTCACATGTGGATACTCGCCTGTTGCGATTGTCAGCTCCATTGTGGTTGGGAGCGTTATGTTTTTCTGCCTTGTCGGACTAAGTTTCAAGCTGTTTGAGTCGGGCATGCCTGTTGTAGGAAGTTGCAGTTTTACCATTGCTGCGGCGTGTCATCCTACTTTTGATCCGAATCGTCAAGGTAATGGGGAGGCCGACGTAGGGATGGAATGGGGAAATGACCACGGAGATATGGCTCTATTACCAGTTCAATGGGGTTCCGTGCCGGTTGTTGGACCGGTGGGCATTGCAGCTTCACGTCCGGGGATGTGGAAGAGCCCAATCGGGAGCAGAAATATCTGTAGAAGGAGGTTACATGTATCAATACGTCCATTTCATGCAATTCGCGACAAAAATAAAGTTGCCTGTTTCCATCTCGATTAGTGGCGCCACAGGGGTCCTCTTACCGGACTCGACATCACGGAAAAAACTCGTCTTTCCCGAATGAACGTCGCGCAGCTTGTAACTACTAGTTGCGCTCACAGTAGCCAAGCAAATCGGCATCCCGAGGATCTTGTTCCGAGTTTCCCTCGCTACTGGGTTGGGATCATGCCAAACTGGGATATGTGTTTCCCTAGAGCCTCAAACAAGAACTTTGATTTCTGTGGTCTAGTGGAACATTGCCATATTTTATTCCATCAGATCATTACCCAGGGCCAATAGTGGAGTAATGAGTGCCCCACATAGGGTTCCAAGGTTGATCCCGGTTTAAGCTATCTGTGTCCACGGGCCATCCCAACTGTATATGGTCTAATAGCCTCCGGGGCCATCAAAGAGCTGATTATTATGCTTAAGCACTATCCAATGGCACTTATGGAGAAGGAGATATAACCTAAATTTACAGTATACCTTCCTGAAATCAAATCCGAAGAAAACAAATATAAGAAACTTGTAGGTGCTTCAGAGAAAATTTTGTGAGACCAAATGGTGAGGCTAAATACAAGCGGGATGGTGACACTACCAAGGGTAAGACCATATAGTCTCTGTGAGCTCCCACCTAGCTGGACAAGGCATCATTTCTTTGGACTTTTCAAAGTGGCTGCGCCAGGTCTTCGGGACGCAAAGCTGCAGTTGAGTCCACTCTCGATCTTGCGAGAGCTTCTCTAGTGGGAGAAGGAACATACTCAGCCTCTCATGATCGAAACGCTTGGCCAAAGGCTCATACGGCAACATTTGAAGTTCTAACCGTAGGCGATGCACACCGTGGAAGGTCTCCCCAAACAGATCGAAAAATGCGACATATGTGGTCATCCAATCATTTTCGTCGTCACCGGGACCACAAAAACCAACGGGGAAAGAGATATCCATCGATGTTATGAAAGAGGCACAGCGTAGCGAGAATAGTCTGGACATCAGAAAAGGCGTGTCCAAGGCCCTACTCATCGCAAATACATTCGTCTTATAAAGCACTTCTACTGCTTCTTCGTAACTGCAAAATAATGTAAGGCACTATACGGATATTAGAGGAATAGTGACCCACCCGATTTGGCAGCTCCTAAGCCACTCCACGCCGTTAATTTTCGGGTTTTTCTCGTTCCGATCCGCCTCACTCCTCCAGTCCCGACAAAGATCATAATCAGGTTCCTGGGGGAAACCGTCCGAATGGTAACAGACACTATGCCACCAATCCCAACGGAATCCGCGATATTCTGGCTGCGGCCTAAATGGCGATGGTTCCTTCCATACGTGTCGGATGTGTACTCGCCGATAACCCATAAGCTCAAGGTATATCATCCTCCTTATCTCGGCAGGTAGTCGAAAGAAAAGACTCTGGTCTTGCGAGTTGCGCTTTCGAGAGCCAATCTTGCGTAGGCGCTGTTCTGGTGGCGGGATTGGAAGCTTCCATCGATTAAATATATCGCCATTGATCTCACAGGTGGAATCTGAAATTCCTATTGCATCTGGACACTGTTCCTCCATTTCGCACTTCGGGGGTTGTCCCTTTTTTCGCTTAAACCTTTTCAAAAAAATCTTTGGTGCCATGACGATGTGTTGGTTGGAGGATCGTGGCAGCGGGGTGGGGACTTTATATATACTAGTAGTGTGTGGACAAATGTCAACAGTGCGTGGCAAAGGACTTTTGGCAAATGAATGAGAGCCGCCAAGCCCAAATCAGGTCTGCAACTTCACTCTCGAACCGCCCCTATTAGTCAGGACCTGTTCCAAAGACATCGCAAGATACGTCAAGCCTCCCAGCATACCAGGAAATTTTTCCCTCGCCATCCTGGTGGCGTCTCTCACGGCCACAACATCTAATCACGATGACCCACGAATTCGAGTAGGTACCCCGCCTGCAGAGCTAGATTATACTCATACTAATCATTTTAGATGCCCATATGCTGTCGGCAATGTGATCAAAATACATTTGAAGACACCAGATGGATTGGAGGCAACAGCAGATGCCAATGTCATTAAAGTCTTCGAGCCGTTCACTCTTTCCTCTGTGATGCTTATTCGGATGGCCTGCTCCGCTTTAGGATTGGAAGACGACATGATTTTGAAGCTCTTTGATCGGCGATTTGCGACGCAGCTTCGAGAAGACGAAAAGATTCGGCCCTGGACCCCAGAGACAGAGACTGAGTACCATCAATTCATCCTTGATGGCGGTGCATCAGAGTTCGTTGCTCAGCTCAACGACGGTGAAGCACCTGAAGGCAGTACATGGAGTGCGGCTATGGACGAAACTTATCTTCATGACCATATGTTGGATCTCTACAAGACAGAGGCCCAGGTATACAGCAACCTAAAGGAGATTCAAGGCACCGACATACCAAAACTCCTTGCATCCGCTATTATGCCTATTCCCTGTCCAGCCCAAACGAGCAGCGAATATACCGATATTCCTGGGATCCTTTTGCAATATATCGAAGGCTTCCCGTTGACCGATATTGAGGAATATACACCAAGAGAAAGCTGGCAGGCCATCTGTGAAGACGCCATTCGAATTATCAATCTTATCGATGATCTGGGGATACTTAATGAGGATGTTAAGACAAGGAGCTTTATTGTGCGTGGGCACGCGGGGAATGGATTCAGGGTGACCATGATCGATTTTGCGCTATGCAAATTCCGTCAAGGCTATAAAGATGCCTATGAATGGGATAAATGGAAATCGATACAGGACGAAGAGGGAGCAGTGGGGTATGTCATGCAAAGGCGTTTAAAAGGTGGATTTTCTTACCGTCGATCTGCTCGATACGAAAAGCTAGATGAGGAATTCAGAAAGGGTGAATGAGTTGAGACAGTAGGGAAAGTAGAACTCAATATCATACAGAGGGAATATAGCGTCTGTATGTAACGGTCAACCTGACCTGGAGCCGAAACCTCGACCTTCGCTAGTCATAGATGATGGGTGTTTATTTTGTATGTAGAGCGGAGAGTTTACCCCTAAGTTTGTACCCATCTCGTCTTTCATGCACCGCTATGAAAAAGATCTGTCAGCACATTTACGGATCGGGTAGAAACGATAAGAGGGAATTTACCAATTGAGACGGGTTCGCCTTTGCCCTCCTCCGAGGAGGGTGGTGTAGACTTTCTGGGTCTAGCCCAGATACTCGTACAGGAACGGTACGAACATGTGTTCCCACATGGCAGAATGATGTTCAAGGACAATGCAACAGTGAGTCCCGTTATTCTCCCCATGAGTTGTTGATAGGTTTATGCCCTATACACGAGGATTTCCCAGGGGGAGATTATAACGCTACGTTAGAATCAAGCCCTGGACTCTCTCAATTTACTACACTAGCTCTGATATCTGTCCTGAGCACCTGGAAAAACCAAGAAAGATAGTCAAAAAAAATACATCTAAGGGATGCTAGGATACTATTTGGAGACTTGAACGTGTCTTCAAGCTATGTTACTCATTCCCTGTTCTCTCTATATGTTACAATAACAACAACCACAATCAGCGTATAGAATTGCAGGAAGATTAAACTGTGCTTTAAATAAATTTCATTACTTAAATAAGCCATTAAAGCAAGGACCGATTATAGCCTAGTGACTCGATGGAGAAGCAAAGTATAACAAGAGAAAAAGTAGTGGTCCAAAGGAGAAGTATAGCATGATAAGAAAGATCCGAGATGGAGACTAAGAGAACCCACAGGCGTATATAAGCGACAGGAAATACCGTTGTAGTATCTTCCCTTCAGGCTTGCTTACCGAGTTTCCATATCTATATGGTCGCGGCTTTCATATTGCGAATCGAAGAATGAGCGAACATGTCATTGGTGTTGTGCATGGAAGTATTTCGATCTATATCTGATCTTGCGGGATCAGGCTTTGGGGTGATGACGGACAAATCGACGTCGGGACAGGTGTCGGTATCTCCGTAACCGCTCCTTTGGCTCGATGCAAGATCATGAAGGACACAACAACGGCATCGACGCATTTTCCAACTTTCAAGAACGAAGCTGGTGCAATAGACAATAATTGTAACTAGAGCACCGAGACTGTAGTATAGAATAAATAGGTACTTGTCTTCCATTTTGATTTCAGATTCTGGAGATGGGAGAGAGCTGTGGCATTCAATTCTCTGCCTGTCAACATATGGTCATATGCGCAATTACGATTTATAGACGTAATATAATAATCAACAACCCTCAATCAAATTATCCATGGAATTAGTGTATCAAAAATCGGTAAAGAAAATAAGATATTGTATTGTCAGAGACGCATCCCGGCTTCTCCGGTTCTTGCTCTCTTGTTTGCTCCTGCACCTCTATGGTCTCCAACCTCAGGCATATAGCGGAGGTCGTGTTTAGGGGCAAGTGCGCTAAATGAAATGACCAAGGATAATAAGAGTGCGATTCGTATTAACCGTCCGATATGTAAGTCGAGGTGACGGCGGAAACACCACGAATGTGCGTGGTTTTGCAGGGCAGAATCGTGGGGTTTCCGTCTTAGCACAGCATACAGAGTGACCTCACCCAATACCCGTGGACGGCTTAGCGTGACTTTCCATGCTCCCGTCGGTACGGAGTAGCATGAAGCAATATCCATAGCAACATAAAAGCACACAAGAATAGTTCAAGTGAAAAGGAGAAAGAAACCTGATCCGTGAACCACTTACTGAGATAGTAATCATAAGAAATTGATCAGATATAATCCCCCGAATTTCTTTAGGATAATTACTGTGTAGAACTAGAACGCAAGACAAGAACGTAGAGGCAGAAAATATTTATATAACCGGGCATCTAAAAAGACCACCTGGGGGACTACCAAACAGGACCACTAAAAATACTAAAAATACTAAAAATACTAAAAAGAATAAAAAGACTAAAAAGACACACAAAGAGACTACCAGGAAGACTACGACTGTATAAGCAGCCGACTATTCTTCTAAGGTTGTATGTATTAAGCGCTTAAGTCATACCCACCTTGGAACTGACCAGATCTTCTTCACTTCCTCTTCGTACCTTCCACCCATTCATCCATCCACCTCTTTACGTCACCATCCATCTCTCCACAAGCTAGTACGAAAGCAGGCATGCCTCACAAATACATATAACACGATTTCCTTTGCGTGTCCCACCATACAGAGTTCGATATATAACTCGACCCTGGATACGTCTTTCCCCCCAGAAGGCCTTCAATACTCCAATGATTTTGAATGCCAGATTCGTGCTCGGCGAGAGCAAATTGCGACAGAGGCTGGAGTCCATATCCCTTCTCTTTCACGGCAAGTACCAACCAATAACGACTGCCGACGAAACGAAATCGAAATCGAAGCAAATATGGCTTCGTCTACCGCAGTCAGCGACCGGGCCCCCCCTAAAACAATTCCTACTCGACGGCGAATCCCCGTGCCTCGTACACTCATGCTAAAGCTCGAAGGAATGGCACGGCGCTCTCCTTGCGTCCATTCGTCGTGCTTTTACATCTCCGTGACTTCTTCATCTGAGGTTGTGCCTGCTCGGTAAGTCCTATAATCTACGCCTACCTCCAAGTACACTCTCACTAACATTGGCACTACTAGGAAAACATACAATAATAGGGAGTGAATTCTCATCATACGTACCATGCCCACCCAATGCATAACTCCATATAGCCTTGGTTGTATAACCAATAGTCTGTTCAGAGGCAAACAGGGGCCATCACAGCAGACGAAGAGGAGGCAATTCACGAGAATGTGGAACCAGTAAGTCCATATACTGAGTCTGGATGAGTGACCCTTTTGGTGTGTTCGCCAGGGAGAGGTAGTCTGAACTTGTCGGCTTTCTGCGCCTCCATCATGACCGTTGGAATGTCAGCTATGCATTCATCTCAGACAGCCCAATCTTCGGAGTCCATGGCACTCACCGTTTGTCCAGACCACCGCCAGTCTCCCCATCCCCAGCATCACCCCCGTCTCGCCTCTTCCTGTCTTTCCACCTTACAATTATCTCTCTCATGCTCCAGTATGAGGGATACTGACAGAATATTTCTAGACGGGCAGTCTGACATCATGATCCGTTTATAGAGGAGCAGGGCTCCTTCTTCGAACTGCGGTACGTCCCACTAGGAAACTGAGGAGCTGTGTCCATTAACCTTAAGTGCCCACCAAAGGGGTACACCATAAGATGACACTTCTGGGGGAGCCGACAAGACCCTGTGCTACTGGGCGAAAAGAGCCCAGGTAGCCCTATGGGCGAGGGCTATGAACGAAAAGAAAGCGACTAGAATCCTCCTAACCCATATGATGTCTATGCCGCTCCTTCGCGAGCCAACTCTGCAGAACAACTCGAAAAACAGCTTCCTGATATTCCGAATTTTCAGGACAACGCCATGGTATCCACGGTTAAGCACAGGCTCATGACTGGCGCCCTCAGAGGACGCGCAAGCACCTTCATTTGCGCACAATGAAAGAACCATCGCATGAGCCGGAGCACCGAGGGTGCGGAGGGTGCCGAGAATGCCGCCAGCGAAAGTATCATTGCCATAGAGATTGTCGCTAAAGAGCATCATAAGCTCTTCATCCAGCTCAAAACCTCAGTGAGGAAGTTCCTGGGTAACCTCATCGACCAACGTGAGCTCAAGAGAACAACTGACAAACTAGAGGATAAGAGCAAACAATATAAGAGCGTCCGGATTTCAGAAATGAGCTTGGAGGACGTGGAATAGTGCCTCCATCTTCAATTTGATAGGCATGATATAGAGATAAAGGACGTGCAACCACTCCCCCTCTACCCCTACCTCGGTACGCAATCTAAGATATAGAGTAGAAAGGGCATATAGCTAATTGAATATAGTGACCACACTGGGTCTCACCGAGAAGGCCTTTGGTCAATCTAGAACCACTGAAGCCGGTGCTCGGTGGGTTGTTGACACTATTATTCTTAACGCCTATGCGGAGTTGCGGTTTCCGAAACGCGAAAGAAACTTCGACGAGATGTTGACCTCTGCCTTAACCCAGTGCGAGGGAATGCAAATGTGGTGATTGCAATCAAAGTCAGTCGCCAGCGAGCAATGGTCACTATTGACTTATGGATATGGGATACCATAAACGGCACATCTATCAATTTCCAACACATTGAAGTCTCTGAAAATGAAAATGACGAAGTCACATTATCTGGAGGCCCCTCGTCATCCCTTTTCGTCTCTTTTTCCTACGAGATCCCCAAACAGTACAAGAAACCGACGTGACCATTAACAATAAATGGCTACAGAAGATTGCTAGGTGGGGGTGGGACATGCAATTTCAGAACAGCCGTTGAAGAGTTGGTGGTGTGGCCTGGTCTCTTAGTTTATCAGAAAAGAGCCAAAAAGGCTTAATTTACGAAATGAACTTTTTTAGGTGTAAACTTTGACATATGTACATATGTAGCTTGATCCAATCATACATAATAGTACTAATGCGCTATTCGTACGATAAAAATGGGGTAGTATAAGGACAAATTTGGGTCGTAGTATACCAAATTCGACTGCCACTACTAGCCCTGGAGGGCCTAACGTTTGCGATATCCTTAAAGCTTAGGTTTTGAACAACTGTAGCTATTGTGCTCGATACTAGATAACACGGTCCCCGGCGAGCATAGTCCACACGGTACAAGCCGCTGTGCCGGGCTGGCTATCAAAGTCCACATCTATCTCCTTTTAATATGCTCTTCTCTACCCCAATTACACAACATAGTTGCGGCCCCACGCGGACGGAAATCGGGGTGTATGATAAGCCACGTAAGGCGGACCTGCTTATTTCCATATTTCGAGAAGTACTTTTCGAAAGCATACGTCATCATCCTAGAGTAGGCCCTAATATGTTCAGGATTGGCATCTGGGCGGTCAGGTCTGTAAATCACCATCAGGTCTTCTATAAATGGAAAGGCTTGCCGAAAAGAGAACTAGAGATACTTACCGCCACCTGTAGGCTTGGTCTCAATTGCTACGTCCCACACGCCAATCGAAGTGGGCTTGTGGACGACCCGTTTCCCACTAGCAAATGGGACTGGTGCGGTAACAACGAGTGAGGCGTACTTTTCAGGCTGGTTGAGATACCGTTGAGATACCCTTCATACACCACTCTTGTCCACTTCCATAAACTATCTGGGTATTTTGCGGTAGGGGGAACTTATAAGGGCAGCCGGGACCCGTGGACAATCAGGAAACCCGGCTTCCACAATCCAGGTCATGGAGTCTAAGTCAGCCTTGGTTGCTGGACGCATGATGAGCTGTTCGCCAGCGGGAGGCTCCGCTTTGATGGGTTCTTCAAACATAGTTTCGTGGTGGTTATGAATAAACGCAACGTAATTCGGTGACTGCGTAAGGTAACGACAAACTGGTGAAGGGGCTCGCGAGGTTAGGTGATGGAGAAATCAGTGGTATCAAAAACACCGAAGATCTATCTACTCACTGAATTTCGTGTCTATTTCACTTAAGTCTCATAGGATTTTGAGGCTGAGGTACCTACCAAGGGTAACCTGGGCCCCACCTCGCTGATTACCTTTTCGGGTCCCACTTGGGCACCTCCGATTACCCGTGGACCCTTTTGAGGTTAGTCAGGCCACACAACCTTCCAAGGTTAGAAGTATCTAGTCGCCCACGTAGGCGGGTTGATCCTGGTTCAGATACTCCTGAGGTCCGTACCTACAGTATGTTCTAATAAGCGCAATCTCTCAGTGGAGTACACGTTTCCTGACTTGCAGGTTGGACCCGGGATTGCTATATCAGTAGACCAAATATACTAAGGCAGTAAAAAGCGTAAACTGTATGTTGTACAGAGGATCGATCTTTATTAGACATAGACAAAATAAAAAACTAAACTCCGATAGGGGGAATCGAACCCCCGGCTGCCGTGTGAGAGACGGCGATGTTAGCCACTACACCATATCGGAGGGGACTGCGAATTACCCTCTTAGATTTAGTCTTTACCCCTTAGGTTTAGCGCTCTTTGTCCGCGTACGTTCCCGTGCGTGGTTCTATATAATCCCTCTATAGCCTTCAATTTTTCGTTGTTTTTCGCCCGCCCGCTTTTCCTTTCTCCTCGTCTTCGTCCGTGCTCTACGGGGAGGCATTTCTGCTATTGATCCCGATCACCGAGCTCCTAAGCTTCGCTACCCCCTTTATCCCTCGACATAACTCACCGGCTATTCTGCGATCGTACGAATGTAATCTGCTTTACCCGCCCTCGTCTAGCCCTATCTTCCTTAGCTCCGACCGGTGCGTTTAAGATAAGACAGGAGATAAAAGAAGACTAACCTTCAGACATGGGACTCGCAAAGGTACCAGGCGCATTTGCCAGCCTTTTTAAGATCCCTGTACAGCACGAGTCGACTGCATTAGCGCTGTGCCGCAGCAAAAGGATCTAGCGCTGGGTTCCATATAGGATATGAAATGAGAAAATAGAAAGATTGAGTGCTTTGAATGAACCTTGGTGGGGGTTCCTTAACTGACCAACCTGAAGATATACACGTAACGAGGACATAATTCGATGGGTTTGTTCGATAGCTCAACCAAACTGAAATATCGTCACGATTCATTAGGTTGGTTGAACGATCTGAGCGATCATCTTACGGGGGAATGAATTTTAGGGTAACTGCTTTGAAGTCCCAAGCACTAGGTACGCTGTAGGAGGGAGGAGTAAATGGAGCATCGTCGTCTCCCTGAGAAGTGGCTGATGTTAGAACTTCGACCATAGTGTGTTCAAATCTTTTGTGGTGTAGTCGCCGTGTGTCTCGCATAGAGAACTATCTCTGTGGATTCGGCAGCTAGCCTAGCTGAATGATTTGTGAAGAAAAAGCCTTCTCTGAACAAGGAAAGCCTAAGGTATTCATTCTAAGCCGAACTGCGAGCGTATGTACGATCCATGTCATGAGGAGAAAGGATGATAAAGGGCTATAAACTAATATTGAACATGTACTCACTGTTTACAAGATAATATTGATGAGTAACATTGTTTTTTACATCTCCTCACCCTTGGCAGACCTCTTTTCTTGGTAAGATCCTAGATTTTAGAAATATAATACGAAGGTGTATGGTAGTCTACTCCGATATGTCAAGGTCCCGATAAGTTCATCTTCGACTGCCTAATTGGGACAATAGGCGAGCATCGCCGGGCACCTACCACCATATTCTACCACTAGTACTACAAAATATTGGAATATACCGCTGCTTATCTAGCCCGAGTGGTGCACTACGGTTTCTTCCACCTATCATACCAGAAGCCTTGATATTTTATTCTCAATCAAAATCAAGCTCCTTTAATTACTACATATCCGTGCGAGACAGACGACAGTGTATTTGGATATCTTACATTGTTAGATTAGCCTAAGTGGACATCGCCCCATTTTGAAGCTCACCTCCCCGCGAAGTCGAGGCTTTTAAGGCCCTTTTGTCACCATGCTGATCCGAGGAGTCGGATGAGTGGAAACTTAGGCCAGCTAGATAGTCTCCTCATCTCACAGTACTCCACAATATAATCCCGGGGTGGTCGAAATAGATGTTCTCAAATTAGTACGACTTACCAGATAAGCCCATTTCGATTTTAAGAAACTGGAGCGAGATTGCTCATTTCATTATCATTCGAGATAGAATTAACAATGCCTTTTGTCACCGGTAGACTGTTATGGTAACCATAGACAGCCACAAATTTGTCTCCTGGGGGCTTTGTGGTTTCCATTCCGATATGGGTTATCGAACCAGCCTGTGTATGATTGGTCCTTGTGTCCACCATTTCATAGTAAGTTTTACCGATTTGCGGGGTATGTAATCGTACGTATGATAGGAGTACGAGATGAAATTACCCTTAGAACATAAACAGGGTTGAGTAGTATAAAGATAGATCATTTTACCCACTTCCTCCAATCTATCAACTTTGGTTTCTGACTATTCCTGGGTATTGAATTATATCATAAACGAAAATTGTTCATCATGGTCCACGAAACCACTGACAACGACTATGTATTTCCTCCCGGGACGGTCGCGCTCGAAGGTATTCATTCATAACGCCTCGTACTACTACCCCGAAATAAACCATAAAAGCCCTAACGTATATTATCTATCAGATCTTCAGGCTCGCGATGAGACAGTGCGAACAATTTTGTTGCCACGTCCCAGTCGAGATCCTAACGACCCATTGGTACGTCACCTGGCAAAATCAAGGTGTTTCTTCTAACAAAAGAAGAACTGGGCTCTTTGGCGCAAATATCTCAACTTCGGTCTTGTTTGTTATTACACCTTTTCGGTGTTTTCGTTGTAAGTTGAAACTGTCTCTTTTCTTACACTGACCAGACCGAATCCTAATGGACCTAACGCCAGCCTTACTGTCGCTATACCCACTTGGGGACCAATGAATGAGGAACTAGGCTTTACTTATCACGAGCTTAACATTAGCTATGCTCTCGGCAGTGGGGGTATAGCTATCGGTGCTGTTTTACTGACCCCATTTGCTCTCAAATTTGGCAGACGCCAGATATACATTACCAGTTTACTTCTCCAGGTCGGAGTCTGTATCTGGGAAGCTGAGCTTCAGACAGTGCCGGAGTTATACCTTGTCACTTTCCTGAGTTGCTTCCTAGGAAGCCTTGCAGAGATCATGATTCAAATGACTATTGCCGATGTCTTTTTCATCCACCAACGAGGGGCGATGAACAGTATCTTTATTTTTTGTCAGCAGATTGGTACCGCAGTGGCTCCTGTTGCCGCCGGCTATATCACCACTTGGCTTGGTTGGCGAGCGGTATGGTGGGCTATGACCATTTCCTTGGCAACTGGTCTCCTTGCCTTTGTATTCCTATACGAAGAATCCAAGTACGCCTTCACCCTTCTAATGGTTGTTATATACCCTAACAAGTAATTCGCCGTTTAGATGCTTCAGCGCTCTGACCGAGGGAGTTGAGTTAGAGATAAACAAGGAAAATGGAGCAAGTGGGCGTCCTCATGAGAACCATGAAACTAAAAAGAACCCGGAGATCGAAAGCAACCAGCAACCTTCAGAAATGACAACCCTTGATAAGCTACCGCCTCTATACGACCTTGATATTGATGAATCTATCCCATCCACGACCTACAAACAGCGCCTTTTGCAATTTACAGTTAGTCACGGACCTATCTCACAACTCCTCCTACATACCTACCAACCTCTCCATGTCATGCTTTATATTCCAGGCATATTATACATGGCGATCGTCTATGGTATATCATGGGCCGTCATGACGATCATTGGGACAAATATGGCCACTTTCATGCCAGCCCCACCATATAATTTCAGTGCATCCGGTGTCGGCCTTATGACGCTGCCTGTCTTCGTTGGAACAGCCATCGGAATGGCGATTGTCGGACCTAGTTCGGATAGACTGATTCTATACCTCGCAAAACGAAAGAATGGCATCTACGAACCTGAAATGCGCCTCTGGCTATTAGTTGCTTTTATCCCGTTAGTTCCTACCGGTCTCATGGTGGCAGGCTGTGGGTTTCAATATAGTCTTCCATGGCCTATCATAGCTGTGGGGTTCGGTACCGCTTCTTTGGGAATCACACCAGCAATTACTGTATCACTGACCTATGTCACTGATGCTTATACTGAGGCAAGTGGGTTCAAGTCTTCTTTGAATTTAGCTGACTTTAGACAGATCCTGGGCGATGCCATGGTGGGTATTACATTCGTTCGCAATATCCCCTCAATGGTAATACCTTTCTTCCTGCTGCCGTGGATAAGCCGCATGGGGCTTTTGAATGTTTATATCGTGGTATCCGTCATTTCGACCGTGATATTCATGATTACAATTATCTTTATCTACTATGGAAAAAGGATCCGTACGGCCACTGCTACTCGGTATCGGTGGTTTGCCTCTCGCCAGTTCAACGACCGGATTTAATATTGCAGCTGTGGGAGAGTGACATTTGTTGTTTATAATGAATGATTGGAGTCCACCGGCTCTTAACGAGCCACCATCCATTTAGTTAGGTGAGGCAAATAATCACTTTGTTAGGTTTCCCAACCAACTTCCACTTTAACCTCGGCTCTAAACTCAAATAACTGGACAACCTGTATATATTCTATATAACAAATCAATGTGTTCAGTACTGAATTATATGAAGAGCAGCAACTTATTTCGCTACCGACTGGTCACCCCACTCAAAACGCGTCAATTAACTTAGACTCATCTACTCTAACCGCCCACCATGCCACCAATTCGATCTTAAATGACGAAAACGCTTGAGGGTGGAGGAAGAGAGAAAAGAGAGGAGAGAGAGAAGGGAGAGAAAGGAGGAGAAAGGAGGAGAGCAAAACTACCTAGGTATCCGCCCTAACGCTCTCTCAGAATTCAGGGTCAATGCGCTTACAGAGCTCCATATGGAAGAAAGATGATATACTGAGTCAATTTATTCGCTCGCGGACCTATATATTTATGGGTAAGTTAGCCATTGGGGCACAAGGGTATGTTCAACATTTAGGGCAATTCTACGATACGGAAATCCAGGTTGATTCGTTTCAAGTCCTGTTGACCGTGTTAGATGAAAATTTCATTTTGCGCTTGCATTTTCGAAGTAATTTGAAATGACCATTATCAACCACTTCGGATGCCTTGGTATATTGGACTCAACATTCTCGCAGCTATGGATATCGCTTAAATAAAGTATCTGCTAGTCCGTACAATATTGCTCCGGCGGCAAAAGTACCAGCGAAGACAGAAAATGCAACAACATATTGAGGCCCATCTTTCGCTGGAAATAAAGCGCTACCGTACAGTTGAGCGAGTGCTCCAAATCCATTCATCATGGCTAACATTATTGCTCTCACGTCTTGATTGACTGACGCCAGTCCAGTAGTTGCAAAGGACAGAGCAAGAGCATTTCCAGTCCATACCGTAGTATTTGTGACACAAAGAAAGACATACCTTACTGTGTAATGTTGAATAGCTGCTGTCAATGCGAAAAATACCATGCCCACTGTCAGATTCACCACCAGAATGGTACCCCTCAATTGAGGCCTGCGATCGGCAATGTAACAGACGGGTAATGCGACAACGGGTGCAACAAGATAAAGCGGAGCCGTCATGTACTGAGCATTTGTTGAAGAATACCCCATACCTTCAACCAGTGTAGGGTAAAAGTATGACAAAGATAATGCACCAAGAATAGACATATACCCAGGAACAAGAAGCCAAGTTCTCCAGTTGGATAGTGCTTTTAGCAAGCAAATGAATATAGAAGTTCTTGTGGTTGGCGTCTCGGAATTGGCGTGCATCTCTGCTACCCCGTCTTGAACCATTCGTTTCTGTGCAAGATCACGCTCTGCCTGGTTCAGTCCTAGACTGTTATATGGGTAGTCAAGTAAGGTCCAGTGCGAAAGAACGCTTATTCCGACGGTGGTAACGCCTTCAACGATGAATAGCCATCTCCATCCCTGAATACCATGAACACCGTCCAACGTTGAGGTTATAGACCCCGAAACGACGCTCCCAAAGGCGCCAGATAAAATACCGGCGGAAAGGAAAATTATAAATCGCTTCGACCTACATTCTTGGGATTAGTTTGAACAGAAACTTCGAAACACCACATTTTCGGCCTTACTGCTCACACTTTCGATACCACGTCGATATCAGGAAAATAACTGCTGGCTTTATAATTTTGAAATCAGCAGAGTTCGTAAGGCGACAGGGATGTGGGCGTTTATGCCGAGTACGCACACTAAATCCGGCTTCGAAAATGCCAAGAAGAAATCGTAAAACAATCAGTTGGATGCTGTTAGATACAACCCCCCAGTAAGGCTGCTACCGTACCCCAGGCAAAGGTGATGATTGGAATAAAGTATGACGGCCGGGTTTTAGTTAAAATCATGCTGCAAAATCAAGGGTTCATTAGCAATTGATTCATATGCCTTGAGTTGCCATAAAACGCAGGTGCGCACTTAGATGGAACTGCCGCGGCGGTATAGCCAATCACCCAGACAACCACAGCTATGTAGTATTCGTTCGAATTCAGTTCCAAGTCTTCTTCCATACCGGCTATCTTCGCAAAGCCGATATTGGAACGATCCTAAGATGTTTAGACTTTAGACTTCCCCAGTATCGGGCGGGATTTATGACCCACCATATATGATAGAAGATAGAGGATGAACATCGAGGGCATCAGAAATAGGTCAATTTTGCGTATCAGTCGCTTCTCTGCTTCCGGGTCGATTTCACCGAGTCCAATGTTATGTTCATGGTGAGAAGCCTCAGCTTTGCAAGAATCTGTAGGTTGAGACATTGGTTTACTGCACCCACTCAAAGTAGAATGAGGAAAATCTAAGGTTGGAGGTAGGCGTCTCGGGGAAATTTATATGCTAAGATCCTTGTCGGACCAGCGGAGGTAATCTTGGAATGTGGTCTGCCATGTGCGAATGGATTCCGATTGCGGAGAAGATCTGGGGTGAAGTAAATGGGGAAGCGGACATTGCTTAGATCCTAGTACCCGGTGCTTGAGGATCAAGTACTTACCGGGCTGTGCTAAAGAATTGCTGAAGGCGCTAGAAATAGTTTCCTTGGCATCTCTATTGGTACAAAGGGTTTTGGTAATATTGGCTTATCAAGATTAAGACTGCCCTCGAAAACCGCTATGAAGTTCGAGGATGACACGAGAATGATGTGAGTTAGCCCTCGTCGTTGGATAAGTTGAGATGAGACTTTTTACGCAGGAGGAAAGTTGCACAAAGATCAATCTTAGACCCTCAAGAAAGACGTGTCTCATCGCCCCTCCCGTTACCGCCCCTTAGTAGGTGAGGCCCATCTTGCTTTGATATGCAATTCAGCCTGTAAAGCCCTCACGACCTACCACCAAAAGTTCATTACCAATGCAAACTGACATTTACGTCCTGCTTTTCGGAAGGCGGGAGTGGCCCCCCGAGCTTCTGGACCGGTAAAAGCCTGGGTTGGACGGCGTGATTCGTAGTCGGATTTTTCGGGGAGGTTCCGGTATGAGCACGGATATGCTCATACAGCCTTATAAAGCAGTAGCATTAGTGAATTCCAAGAACAAGTCAAACACCACAAACCAGTACCATATCCCCGATGTCGGCTGCAGAGTTATGGCAATTCTACTGGTACGGCTCGAGCTTTCGGCTCATATATGTGATATTGCAAAAGGGTAGTAAAAGAAGTGTTGAACCCTCTCTGTCACCTGACCCTGTCTCATGTAGTCTAGTAGTATTCTTTCTTCCATGTTCATACTCTACAACTATCATCACTCTCGTACAGCACACATTGTAAAGCCTTTTCCATGATCTTATTTACATCGTAGATCTTCACAAGAAGTGGTTCACAGCACGCTTACAACGACTCGCAACCGCTACCACTCAACCGCAGCTAAGGTCAAAATAATATCAATCATATTCAAAATTTCGACATGTACACTGCAAGTAATATCACAGCGGGACACAAAATAACGAGCCCAGCACGGTACAAAATAGATAGAGTGTTTAATCGCTGAACCCTCACTGGGGGCAGCTCTGAGAAAACGTATCGATCATCGTCTGTCAAAAGCTGCTCGAAAAACCCCCCCAATCTGATGTTCATGATCATGGAGGTAGATCTCAAGGATCCAGTGACGTCTATGGCCATCGGCTCCCAGGCTGTTCATGGGTTTATCGTTTCCTTTAGTGATGTAAAGGTTTATCTGATCCTTGGGGATTCTCTCGTGTGGGAAATTGCCAATCAAATGGCCGGCAAGATTGGCACCAAATTCCCAGCCTCTTCTGGTCGCCTCTCTGACGGCGACTGTATAGAGCTGCTCGCCCGAGATGTGTATATTTTCGAGGAAATAGTCTCGGACTGTATTCCAGATCGGCTCAAGATCATCTCGGAGCTTTATCTTTAGTGGGTCACTTCCTAGAACGAAGGTTCGTGCGAAGTCCGCTTCATAGGATTCAAAGACAGGTCCCAGGTCGACGATCAATATGTCGTCCTCTTGAATAATTCGGTCGGGTGGATTATCGGCATACGGCAGAAGAGTGTTGGGCCCGCTTCTAACAATTCGCTTGTGCCAATATTTCTTGATTCCAAATTCCCTTTCACCGAAATCGTACACTTCACGGCTCAGGACTTTCTCGCTGATACCAGCTCGAACGATGTGTCGTTCAATATGTCGGAAGAGGGTCTCCGCTTTTGCTTGGGCGTCTCTGAGATTTGCAACTGGAGTATCATCATGGATAATAGGCATATTAACCGGAGCTAAGTGTGCGATAGGCTGAGGGAATGAGAAAAATGGAAATAGGAACGGTATATAAAAGCTCTGCACGTCCTGAGATCAATAGTTGACTATGTTATACCCTGGGGTCAATATTGGTAGGCAAAGAATATCCCATTTGGGGCTAGAAGCATGAGGCCCCACCCAGGCGCATTATTAACGTGGTAGGCTTTGTGATGATTATCACAGGGCGATTAAAGTATAACAACTCCACATATTGATTCAACTAAAAGATTAAGTCGGCAAGTGACCAAAATTGATAACAGCTATTAGACAGATCAATCAATGGATGGACCGGCCAATCCCACCAATTCTAATAAGTGCGGCCCGGATCTGATACCACATCTAGCGTCTAAGCGATGGCCTATCCACACTGTGAAGGTCGACTGGGCACTGTCATGGAGACCCACTGAGGGAGTCTGTACCTGATAGGTGGCTAAGATAGGGAAGCAGATTTTGGGTTATGATACACATGTAACTTACATTAGGTCACGAATTAAGTTTACCGGCCCCATCTCCGTGTACACAAAGCGTCCAAAGAGGGGTACCTAGGTACCTAACAACTCCAAACTCTATTTCAGAAGTTAATGGAGGCCGCTTCCGAGGTTCCAAGGTTACTATGTTGGTTCCCAAAACACTAAAGTTTTGGAGCTATAAAGGACAACCCCAGGCGGAGAGACTCCGTAGCGGTCAATCCCCGCGCGTTGCGAATGCATTGCTGAGCAATCTGACGGTCGGACGGGCAAAAGTTACTAGTTTCTATTATATCATAGTTATTAGTCCCTATGTAAGTTGTCTACTCTCCCTTGAAGAGGTTTCAGCGATTGACGATTGCAACGAAAGCAGTAGCCACCTCGGCAGCAAAAACGAACTGCCATCATGTCGAAAGCGTCTGGGCTCTGTGATTCCAAGTTCTACGGCCTCAGGAAAATTCTCGAGGATAACGTCAATTCAGGGAAGGAACTCGGAGCATCGCTCTATGTCAATGTTGGAGGCAAACCTGTCGTCGACATGCATGCTGGTTTTATGGATGAGCTCAAAACACAGCCGTGGACTGAGCACACCAAGACAGCTGTCTTCTCCACCTCCAAGTGCATCACCAACCTAGCCGCTCTAATTTTGGTCAGTCGTGGGCTTCTCGACCTTGATGCTAAGGTATCCAAATACTGGCCCGAATTTGCTGCCAACGGCAAAGAGGATATAGAGGTCCGCCATTTTCTGAGTCATTCCTCAGGTTTGTCCGGCTGGGATGAACCTATGACAATGGAGAAAATTTATGACCTGGAAAGTTCGGCGAAGCTTCTAGCAGAGCAGGCTCCGTGGTGGGAACCTGGTTCAGCTTCTGGATACCACGCGATTACACAAGGGACGCTGATTGGCAAGCTCGTAAAGGAAGTCACCGGAAAATCGCTGAAAGACTTCATCGAGGACGAGCTTGCCCAACCTCTCGGAGCCGATTATTCCCTTGGAGTCAAAGAAAGTGACTGGCACCTTGTGGCCCCAGTCGTCCCGTTACCCAGTCTGCCTTTCGCTTCCAACCCGGACCCTGACAGCGTGCTGGGCAAGACACTTAAGTCTCTACCACTCAAAGCCGAATATTTTAACGAACCCCCGTTAAGGAGAGCCGCTCTTGGTGCCTCTAACGGCTATGGAAATGCACGGTCTGTTGGCAAAATCATGTCTATTGTATCGCTCGATGGGCAGGTTGCAGGAAGGAGTTTCTCTCCCAAAAAACTCTCGACCGCGTCTTTCAGGTAGAGGTTGATTCTATTGATCTTCTTGAAGGACGACGCTACAAGTGGGGCCCAGGTTTCGCTTTGCCAGTTGAGGGCGACTCCAAAATCCCTATTCCCCAGGGTAACATCTGTTTCTGGGGTGGTTGGGGGGGGTTCTATAGCGATTATGGATGCCGATCGTAAGACGACTATCTGCTATGTCATGAACAAGATGGGAGAGGAGGATGGATGCTTAGGTACAGACCGGACTTGGGCTTACGTTAAGGAAATCTATCGAGTATCACAGGACAAAAACTAGTATTACCTACCGCAGCAAGAAAGAAGATAGTAGAAAGCAGAGATAACATTCCTCCATCGGTTAATATATCTTGTTTATCGGCCTAAACCTTATCATTGTAGCGTGACCAAATAGCGGGTTGTGGTAAGGCAAAAGAAGTGTTCACGGATAGTCATAGCACCTCTTGTATTACTTAAAAAGAAAGAATCCTGTCACTTACGGCAATAATCTTTACTTCATGTTAATTAAGCTGTTACAGTCAGCCAAACTCGTGATAACAGGTGTTGGATGCCTGAGGCATCACTATGTGATACATCCTGCATGTTTGATAGCTCTCTCTCCTTTCCTTCTCTTCCTCCTCTCCTCGTGCGAGACAGTCAATACACACAGTGTTTTCTCCATCGTTTCTCTCTCTGTATCGCATCTCTGTCAAGAGGGTAGTGCTAGCCATCTTATAATCTTTCTATTACAACAACACATTATATCTCATTCGGTCCTAGATTACTACTATGAATAACCAGACAAGAACAAATTCATAAAGACACATTACCTTTAAGATTGAACTTATCCCCGTATGAGAGGTTGGATAGCATCGCTAACGATAGCCATCTCACTAAATATATGCTTTGAATGTAGGACTTATGGTAGCGATTGTTTTGTGCCGTAGCATTTTTTCGTACTTGCTGATGGAATATTTAGCTCATCTAAAATGACCTTCGCCCGATATGATGTAAAACCTTTGTGAAAGCCAACCAGAATTTCGCCACATATTGCAGTTCTGCACTGGGATCATGCGTTGCGCCCAGGCAAACCCTTTGGCAGAGCAAGCCCACCCATATCTTTGAGGAAGGTAAACGCACGCTTCATGAATTGAGACAAATCTTCCCCCAGCCATTGTGGCATACCACTGTTCCTGGTAAACTCCAGTTCCTGCTGGAACTTCCCGGAGATCTGGACGGGTCAGCTTGTCATCAGTCGGACAAAGTAGGCTTTAATTTGCCACGTACCAATGTACATGCTCCGCTTTTAGTGTCGTCAATGGATGACTGCACAATTGCACGGGCTACCATCTCTGGAGTGTTGGTTTCAAGGCCGGCAGCTTTCCATTGTTCCGTTAACCCTGTCGTGATTTGAGTTGGAGTAAAAAACGGTGCGATTCCTTTGATCACAATGCCGTATTTCTGTGCAGCTGTCTGCGATGCTCGTAGTAAGCCGATTACCCCGTGTTTCGAAGCAACATATGCTGCGACCCCTGTATCTCCGAAATATCCTGACGTCGATGCCACTAGAATAATAGCAGGCAGTTGTTTTGTATCGTTTTTGGATGAAGACTTTACATAATGCATGCCCAGTCTCAAAGCTGGGAGGCAGTTGGTTAGCACCACTGGCAAGGTCGGATGGAAAAGAGAGAGTTGGGGAGATACTGTTCAAAGTTCCTTTCAGGTTGACATCGATCACACGAAAAGCCTCTTCAGACTCCCTCAAATTTCCTTCATTATCCATGTTTTCCATACTCAGTGTTTCAGTTGATTCCATAATTGCGGCATTAGCTACCACGATGTGGATGTCTCCAAAAACTTCCACAGTACGCTGGAAAAGATCGTTCATTTGTTTCCAGTTGAGAATATCGACAGGAATATAGGCTGCTTTGTGGGGATGAGGTAGGGATGCAACCACATTTTGTGCTTGATCCTTAACCGCGGGGATGTCAGCAAGAACAACATTGGCACCATGTTCGTTGAAGACTTTAGCTGCAGCGGCACCAATGCCCCAGCGCCCCCAGTGATGACGACGGTTCGAGATGCGACTCGGTCCAAAATCCGCTGATCAAAATCCATTTTGGTACAGCACGTCTCTTCTGTCCCGAGAGGAAGAGATAAGAAGGGGTATTGATCACTGGAGCGTTGAAACAAAGGCTGTTTAGAAATCAATCTCAATCTTTTTGCACCCACTGCTCTTTATACATCAATAACTTGGTCGGGATTTAATCCAGGTTTACGTGGCAGGAGAAGAATCTAGCCTGTCTGTCGTTTCTACGGATGGTCCAGCTTGACAAGACTCACTCTGTCTCATTATTCTGCATATTTCTTGATAGATGCGGTCCCACTAGGCTCGAAACCAAGAATCTTGTTTTTTGTTACTGTCTAGCGGTAAGATACGCTGTATTTTTCCTCAATTCTTCCAAAAGTTGACAAGCGTTAGGCTTGGGATGTTAACGTAACACGGGGAATGGCGGAAGAGCGCCGGAGGTAGGCCGGAGGTGACTCTCAAGTGAATCTCAATAACCTGAATCTTAAGTCCGGAGGAAGCTCCGACTCAACGTAGTAGGTGGGACCCGGAAATTTCACGGAGCTTCCGGCCGGGCGTTGTCCAAGAAGCAACAGCGGGGTAGCTTGGAAGTAGTATCGAAAATAGTTTCCTGACCACTAGAATCGTTTCGGGTACCTGGGATCTTCCAAGGTTCTGACGATTGATTATTTAACCGCGGACACTTATATCTCTATGTCATAAAAGAGCGGCAATACTGATTATAGCTGCTCGTCAGGGATATGTCCGAAGGATTAGGGAGACATTTTTTGGACGTTTTATACACAGAATCAAGAGTTTCATCATGGGCTTGTTCAACGGGAACGGGGAGTTCCTGTATATATTGGCGGCAATCACGTACAGTCTAGGTCTAACCGCCCTCCAGATACTCAACAATCTCGAGAAATCGCTATTTCGGCCAGTACTATAATCCAAAATTTGAACACTGTAGCAGGTTACCATATCAGAGGAACAAGGAGGACCGGTATTTCAAATTATAGCGACCAGCTGATATTAAATGCCCGCTGGTTACGGCTATACATTCTCGGCTGCTTGGTGTTGATTTGTTCTTCCTCTTTTCTGGGGCTTTTCGTGTCCTATTCAGATAGCTAAGTCCTGAAAAATGCCGTCCGCCTTACCCTTTGCCACTTCCTTCTGCTTCCTCGTCTCTATTGACTCACTCGCACTACCAGCATCCTTTTCGTTTATGAGAATAAGGTTTCCTTTATTCACATAAAATGAAACTTTTCAACTTCAAATACTACCTGTAAATTTTGAAGTAGAAGGAAAACACACCACGCAGTTGGATAGGGTAGGACATTTGACAACCCAGCTCCCTTTATGCCCGGACACTAGATCGGTCGACTATACAAGCTGAAACACATATTATATCAAACCTGACCATAAAAGGGAAGCGATTTCAGCATCCTTAGCGATTGAAGGACTGCAAGATGCAGTATCCTGTAGGAAACCTAGGGCGAAAATACACCATTCTCGGTGTTCAGACGGCACAGCCTGCTGCAGCCGACCATCAGCATGACACCGAAAGCTGTACATTATGAGCAGTTGTCCAAATAGTCTGTTGTTGAATAAGTAATTAGTAGCCTTGTTGAGCAGTATTTAAATAGGAAACTCACTGAGCACAGATATTGAATCTCAAAGGCATACAGCTCCCCATCAAACTGATCACTTTGACAATGGGCGTCCATTTGTATATACAATGAAAAGTCTCCGTACAGCGCTGTAAATCATCGACGGTACTGTCTTCGGGGTTGCTTAACACCCTGTGACTGTGAAACTTAGTACAAAAACCCGAATACGTCACCATTCGTTTTATTCTTGTGTTAATTCTCTTACAGCAAAGGTCTCCCAAAATGATACCGGGCAGACATGTAACGGGCGCGGAGCCAAGAGACAACCAGAATATCTTTGGGAGATTCTGGGAGTGGAGCTAGATTGTCTTCATCGAATTGAAGGGGAGCGGGGAGTTGGTCACGCCACTGTTCGAGCTGATGTGTTAATTCTTCTTCTAGTGAAGATAACGAGTACCGCTCTTCGGTGTCTGTATTTGTTAATACTGCGTTTGGGATTTAGAGACATGAGACATCCGTACTTGTGAAAAAGAGGCAGTTACTTGTCCTCGTCAGTAGTATCCTGAGTGCGGTCTGAGCCAAAAAGTAGTAATGATAAAGAGAATCATTATCCTCCTCCCTCACGTCATCCACATATATAAAGGAGGGCTGCTCAATTTTCAAGAACCTTGGTAGAGGTACCTGGTCAGATATCTCTTGTAATCCACTATCAGGTAAGTTTAGCTCCTTCGTCAAGAGAGTCTCAGACATTAACGCAATCCAAAATAGTCGAGACTGCATGTCGGCAATCCACGTGTCGTGGGGGACAGGCATGCTTTAGAAAGTATGATTAATTCGTGTCTAAAAGCCACGCGAAGATAAAACCTACGTCTTCCAGAACATACGGCAGCAGGTAGATGCCTTTGTCGTCATAGACCACCAATCTACCGGACGAGCTAACTGAGAATAAAAAAGCCTAAAGATGAGATTAGTAGAGCTTCTCTGTACTTTGAAGGAGCATACCCGGCAAGGAGATAATATTGACAACTTTGAAGGCCGTTATCATTGATAAGCCAACCAATTCGCTTTCGAGACTCGTTGAAGAACATTATACTAGATAATTCTGTACGAGATTCCTTGGCAGAGTCAGCAAGATCCATATTTCCCAAGCTCCAGCTATCATGTTCGAATCCACCCTCGGCGAGGGCTTTTTCGACCTAAGGAGCCCAAGGCCATCACAACAAGCACCACGCAGCTCTCAATATCGTTGCCGAAATTCCCATCTATTGCCCTAGAAAGTGTGTGACATTGATAGAAAGTTCGATCAAGTATAGGATTGGCTAAATGGAACGTGGCAAAATAACTGTCGCACAACTCTTTAACTGTCGAGACCGTGAGTTGATCAAGGAAATTGGTGGACTTTTGCCGAGTCAACGATGAGCAATCTTGGTGGAGTGGTGCTCGTTTAGACTCAAGAGTGATGGCATAGTTTGTACCATACTGGGCCAATATCATCTGAACAGAATCTGGCAACATTTTAACCACACCACTCCAAGATATCACCTGATGGGCACTGAATGGAATTGTGGTGATTTGCGGGTGGGATCCAGATGCAGAGCCCATCAATTCCGGGCTTCCCTGTGATATAGATGGGTTTGCAAGAGGATGCAATGCCGAGCTTTGACTTGCGTAGAGAGCGGTAGGTGTGCCGGTCCGGTGGGGTCCAAACAAAGCAGGCACGACACCCTCCACCCTGGCAGAGATAGTCTCAAGTGTAGATTCAAAGCGGCTAAGAATTCTGATAAAATCAGAATGCGAAGATCTGCTAATGGTCAGTTGACTTTTCATTATAATTCACGCAGTTTGGTATTCACTCGACCGACTTGCGGCTGTTATATATACACTCGATCTCCAGGCTTCGACACAAACCGCAAGGAAATTCTTCGTCACATCTCGTCTTTTTCGAGCGACATCGTTCACATGCCTAATCGCTCAGCTATCAGCTGTGGGATTCTGCATAGCGAGACTAGGGCTTTTGTGGCTTGTGGCCTACTTACTTGTCTGGCAACGCTACTCCGCTGCCTCTTATTAGGCCTCTCTGGAGCAGCCTTATCTGCATTGGGTATCAAATCAATATCTGGAGGATCATTCATCTTGCTCTGCACTAAAACCAGAAGCAACAATATCCGAAAGTTCCATGGGAAGGGAGATGGGTGTAATAATCAGTGGGAGGGTCAACTCTGCAGAGAGATGTAAAGGAAATCCATTATCTTTAATGCCACCCGTTTTTTTTTCTAAAATTGGTCTGTAATTTTGAGACGACCACTGAGCGGTACGGTGTATAGTTAACTATATTAGGGTGACACATATGGGTGGCTGCAAAGAAAATGTCTGCTTGGCCGCCTCCGATGAGCCTTGAGATTGGGAAGGTCTTGTGACATCATAAGCCAGATTAAAAAGCTCGTGCAATTTCCCTTTCCAGCTCATACGCGAGACTGTGGGGCGTATGCGGGGTATGCCAGGCACGCTGATTTCGATGAACCAACCAAATTGTGGGGACAAATACAGAGACAAGGCCATATTCTGATTGATGTTCGAGTCTAGGATATAGGTATTGACTATTACTTATGAGCACCATCTAAATCATCTCAACGATCGATATGGAGAATGTTGAAGCTATTCTGGAAAACTCACTAAAAAGAGAATACTCGATGGAGAAAACGACCTCGGGATGCAGCTGAGATTAGCTAATAATGTTGGACAGAGGAAAAGAAGAGAGAAAGAGCCATCTAGCTATTTGCGTTCTACCAAACATTGGTAAGCTGATAGATCCGACAGCCACCCAACAGCTAAATACTTGGGCTATCTCTGGCTCTGTTCGTAATGCCATCGATTCAGGGGCTATTCGGAATTTTACAGCGCTATTCTCCTACGAATACCTCCATTAGTAATTAGTTATACAAAGCATGTAGAAGATTGGGTACCGGCTAAATAATCTTGTTGCTGGACGTAGAATACCCTCCTCTCTAATCGGCAACTAATGTCTACGAATTACCTAGGCTAGGGTCTGCGGAAACTCCGCGAAACATCTGACAATTTTTTTTTTTCGAGACCTATGTCATGAATATACGAAAGATACATAACATTCAAGATATAAGATCAAAATCCCAACGGAATCAATCAACGAAAGGCGCGATCGCTATCCTCCACGCGTTGTAAATATGCTCGTTTATGAGCTAGTCTCAGGCGTGATTTATCATTTCCTGTTTTCTTCGCTCATTGAAGGAAGAGAGGGTGTGAATTCAAGGCGGAGTCATTGACTGGATAGGATATAGCTTTACACTATTCCAGAGCAAGATGTGAAGCCACCATCAACAACCAACATTTGACCAGTAATGTATTTTGCAACATTACTGGCTAAAAATACAGTCGCGTTTGCCACATCAATTGCATCACCCATATGGCCCATCGGGATAGGCTGTTGACAAATTCGTTGGTAGACTTCGTGATCCCCGTTAAGCTTCATCTTTTCCACAAGCGGAGTATGTATTAACCCAGGTATCACCGAGTTCAGGCGAATCCCTTTAGCTGCATACATTGCCGCAGTCACTTTTGTAAACTGAATAACAGCTGCCTTGGCGGAAGAGTAGGCAACCTGCGGCTTTCCGATGTATCTCAGGCCAGCAATCGAGGCGTTGTTAACCACGGTGCCCGATCCTTGCTTTTCCATGATAGGGAGCACAGCATGGCAAGAGAGATAGACGCTTTTGAGATTGAGGCTGATTTGACGGTCCCAAACGTCCTCAGGCATACTGACTGGGTCGCCAGTCGCAGTCGCGCCCACATTGTTAATGAGGATATCAATGCGGCCGTATATGGTCATGGCAGCATCGACAACGTTTTTGACGTCGGTTGCAGACGTCACATCACCGCGCATTACTTCACAGAAGCCTCCCTCCTTTTTTATGAGAGTAGCCGTATGCTGAGCTGCAGGGAGATTCAGATCGCAGCCGAATATCCGTGCACCACTATGAGCCAGAACTCGTCCAATGGCTGCTCCGTTTCCCCAGGATCCTGAGCCTGGAACATGTACCTGTCCAATTCCCATGACAAGAGCGACCTTATCCTTGAGGTCTGGATAAATTGCAAACGTTTCCATTTTAGAAAATTAAAATTGAAAAAAAGAAATTTGGAAATTTGGAAAATGAGCGGATACCAGGTGAAGCTTGGCTTAAACCTTTATTCCGAGTAATAAATTGATGTTTTTCATCTCAAAATTCAAGATTGTTCGCGCAAAAGGAAACCGTCGTAACTAAATACGCGTTAGAGCTCACCCCTCCTGAGAGAAGAAGAGGCCGGGGAGAGAGGTCCGGAGCCAGATAACCTTGGAATACCCGTGAACAGTCTCCGCATGTCTGACTAGTTTGCTAACCTGTCGCAACAGCTATGGGCTTAGGTTGAATGCACGAATGAGATAGAAAGGAGGCTGGGTTCAAAATGCGCCTCTTAGATTCGCTCCTTTCTTCCACCTTTAGTACGCCGGTCTAGTAGTCTAACCCATCAGCCAGCCCAATACGACACTACCAAGGATCATAAAAGGCTGTTTCGAGATGTTCAAGGGACTTGTTAGCTGTCTAGTACCGGTATTCTCGCCTTTGTAATGACAGTTTCATGCACCTCTTATCGGAAGAAGTGGAGGTATTTGTCGAGAGTGGGGAGGTCGAATTGCGCCATAACTCCTCTACCATACTACGGGATATTTTGTTGTAGAGCCTTGCTATCCCGTTTTTGTGACTTGATTTCGTTTTTCAACACGGCGGCTTCATGGTAGGCCTTTCCAATTTGGTCAAGGAAAGGCCCTTCCGTGTGAAGGTTACTGACTTCTTTCCTCTAGTCAATCAACACGGCCTTGGTAGCGACGTATAATGTCCTCCGTTTTCTTCAGGTAGTCAAAGGCAGATGGAGGATCTTCGGAGAAGTTGTTTGGAAATCTTGCAGCTTGCTTAAGCTTTCGGCAAATGGACCAAGTGGGAAAAATAAGACCGGTCCCCTCCCTCGATCACATCCGTCTCAAGTACGCACGTTCAGTCCAGTCCATCACACTTGCTAGTGAAAGGAACCGGTCGTATTAGAAATACCTAGATGACCTGACAATTCCCTTCGCCCGATTTCTCGGATGTACTCCGTCTGAGCGAGAATAGTGAGTGTCTCGCTACCAAACCGAAAGAGGAAGGGATGCCGGGACCGGACCTTCCGCGGCAGGGAAAGTGATATAGACATCCCTCATTGGCTTACCTTTATACAGTAAAACACTCGCCACGACCCTTTTGTAACGCCATAATTATACTCTCTTGAATTTAGTAGACTACGTGCATAGAGGATTTTAGGGTAGAACTTAAGGGACCAAACAATCGCGAGTGTTAAGAGTACTGAGTCTCGACCCTTAATTATGGTTTGTATTTAGGAGGTTTGATCTTGTAGTTATGCCTCTTAGAGTAACGGCAAAGGGTTTTAGTGGGCAGAGAACAATGGTGGGAAAATTGACAGTTCGTTACTGTAGTACGTTTTACTTTATTAGCTATTTGTAACGCATTAATCCGATCGATTACTGTGATCCAAATACGGTCATACCTAACGTACTAGCTATTACCCTATTGCCTTATCACAGCTACAGTCCCCAGCCGGACCCCGCTCCGGTGTGGATGGACCACCTTTCAAAGGCATGTAGCCTCTTCCGGAGGTCTCACGAGTGCACCCCATGGTTAAAGCCAATCTGAACTTCCAGATCGAGGTTGAGTGAAGCTCCGCGAAGAGACTTGTACCGGAGTGTCTTCACCAATGAATATAAGTTATGTCTTCCCAACAAGAATGGAGTCTCCGATACAAAGCATTCCCAATCTTTTATTGTGCGAAATCAGTTTGTTGTTCGACCATCACCAGTCAAGTGTTTTACTATGGATAAAAGCAACGCCTCAGAAGTTGTCAGTGAAAAAGAGCAACCGGAATATGATGTTCTCATTATCGGGGCAGGGATGTCAGGCATCTTCTCTGCTGTCCGCATGAAAGAGCTTGGGCTACGAACGAAGGTGATCGAGAGAGGGACCAGTCCAGGTGGAGTTTGGTACTGGAATCGCTATCCCGGAGCACGCTTTGATTGTGAAAGCTATATATATGGATTCACCTTCGATCGAAAGATCCTGGACGGGTGGGACTGGAAGGAACACTTTTCGGCACAAAAAGACACAGAAGAATATATCAACTTCTTGGTCGATCAGACTGGAATCCAGGACGCCTTTCAGTTCGATACGGAAATCAAATCAGCCTATTGGCAAGAATCTTCCCGGTTCTGGCTGTTGACAGATACGACTGGTCATTGTTACACATCTCGATTTTTGATCAATGCCCTCGGACCCCTGACGGCTCACACCCTGCCAAATATCCCAGGTGTGAGTGATTATAAAGGTCTCGCGTGCCACAGCTCACGATGGCCGAAGGAAGAAGTGATCTTTGAGGGCAAAAGGGTGGGCCTTATTGGAACAGGGGCCACTGGCGTGCAGATCGCTCAGGAGGTCGCAAAGACAGCGAAGCAATTCACGATATTCCAACGCACTGCCAACTGGGCTGTTCCCATGCGCAACAAAGCTCTTTCGGCTGAAGACATGGCTGATATTCGAAGGAGGTATACAGATATTCATGCTGCCTGTAAAGCAAGTCCGCAAGGTTTTCATTTCGGGCCGGACCCACGCAATACTTTTGATATTCCGAAAGAAGAACGGGAGGCATTCTGGGAATCCCTATACAGCCAGCCTGGTCTAGTTAAATGGGTCGGAAACTTCAAGGATCTTTACCGAAACCAAGCGGCGAATGATGAATATAGCGCGTGGGTGGCCAACAAAATTCGGCAGCGCGTCAATAATCCCGCTACGGCCGAAAAGCTGATTCCCAGGTCTCACGGATTTGGCACGCGCAGGGTTTCTCTCGAGACAAATTACTTCGAAATCTACAATCAGGAAAATGTACGACTGGTCGATCTCAAGGAGACTCCAATAGAGAAAATCACGGAGAAAGGCATCAAGACCAGCGAGGAGGATCTCGAGTTTGATATTTTGATTTACGCCACTGGCTTTAACCCTGTCATCGGTGCATACGAGGATATCGATTATCAAGGGGAGAACGGCTTGAAATTGAAAGAAAAATGGTCAGACGGACCCAAAAGCTATCTTGGATTGAATGTCTCTGGTTTCCCAAACATGTTCACCGTGCTCGGACCCCATCACGCTGCTGGAAATCTTCCAAACTCCATTGAGTCTGCTGTGAACTGGGTTCATCAACTCATCAAATACATGTCAGAAAGGGGTTTTACCTATGAAATGGCGGACGAGGAAGGCGAGCTCGAGTGGACGAAACATTGCAATGAAGTCGGCAAAGGTCTTTTGGCTCTCAACGTCGACTCTTGGCAGACCGGCGTCAACCACAATGTTCCTGGGAAACAGAAAAGAACAATCCCTCGATACTTTGGCACTAACATCCAAGTTCGCCAGTGGTGTTCGGAGGAGGAAAGCCGGGGTTATCCACATTTCAGATTTAGTGAATAGGTCATTTCGGGGAGGTATTTTACTTCTAGGAGACTTGTACCAAGGCCAAAGTGGTGTGTCAGAAGTTAGGATGAGACCATGCTTTTTCTGTACCCAAGTCACAATATTACTTGAACTAGCAAATAACCACTAGTGACCTCAGCCACGACAAACTTGCCACCGTTGGTAATTGAACTTTAAGCGTGCGATTGAGTAGGATCGTTATTGCTGTCACACCGACTGCAATACTGCCTTTAGAAATCATGCACGGAGGAAGCGCCCATGCGGAAGCATTACACTCGATCACCGTCACCCACTCACGATTTCCAGGTTGTAAAATGGATCGCGACCGTAGTATTCACTTCTCGTAATAACCTTCGGGGTTGCTGTTAATCCCATCGCGAAACCGGTCTCATCAAATTTATAAAGGTCATCGGGGCCGATCCCAAATTGAAGGGGATATTTGTAACTCCCCCCACCTAACAACCCATCCACGCAGCCATATTCATACATCTTACTGGCGGTCTATTCAAGACTCCCTTCTTTCCAATGTACATTTCCACTGAGGGCAAAGGAAAAATTTCATGGGGGCCTATATTTCTGGGATGTGTTGGAGTAAACAGAGAAGACTAGTTGTTGAGGTCCAATGCATCTTTCTCGGTTCCATATCCGGTCCTCACCATATCCATTGGAGGGTCAAAGAACGGGTTTTCTCCGTTGTCGTATAAGAATTCGTCTACCTCCTTTCTAATCCAATTTGCACGCCCCGGGAGAGATATGTCTTGATCGCAGCCGATGGTGACACTTCGCCGGCGATCTGACCAGAGACGGCTTTCCCGAATCTGTTCGCGCATCTCCACAAGAAAAGAACACCAATGATTTTCGTTGTCCACGAACTTCAAAAAGCTCAAGTTCACAGATCGTACAGTTTCAGGTAGTTCTGAAAGGAACGATATGACGTCGGATTGGCTGACTATGAAACGTGATAGCTCAAAGTGTCGGAGTTTGGGCCAATTCTCAATGGGAAATATGCTCTTCAAGGGGATAGGCGTGATACTGTGCAGATTCTTGTGTTCGTTTTCGGCGTCTATCCCTGTGGTAGCGAGGCTGATCTCCTCCAGATCGCCTGCTTCGCTCAACGCCTTATAAAGCCTGTCACGGGGAAAAGATTGCCACGTCCCGGCGAGAGTGAAAGCAAGATCGAGGTGACGGAAGCCCGGTTTCTTGAGCAGCGTGACCAAGTGATCGTGTTCCTCGCAAGGATCATCGAGGATCGTACAGTTAATCCCCGTGCGAGGTAGGCGAGAATCTAGACTGAGCTCGATCACATCATTTTTTTTGTTGGGCAAGCACGCGTACCACAATGTAGAATCCGTGAAACTTTTTTTTTCTGCACTTCGTTGAGCTTTTTCCAAGGAAGCGAATGTACCTCCTCTGGTTGTTCGTGGCCAGGAAGTGGCCATCCGCGGGGGATGGGATAATTGAATCCTTGCGGGAAGGATCGGATCATAGGAGTTTGATAAAGCGGGGCGAAAAGAACACCATGGGCTGCAGGCGTGACCGTCACTTTCTTAAGTGCAGGGAATTGTTTTATACCTTGAATGAATGCTTCTTCGTCAAATTTCCCAGCCAGGACATCGTCTTGTTGCCGGATCAAAGCCCGATAAAACTCCCAACACTCACTCAGCGGAGGCCCGATCGAGCCCAGCTTTCTTATAGTCTTGTAATCCGGATCTTCATCGTCTATCCCGTCGTCACCGGCTTGGCGCCAGAAAGTATCCTCGACACTCGCAGCGCATGCGGCCTTGAACCACACAGGACAATCTTTGCTTTTGAATTTTGTACTTCTCCGTAGCTGATTGGCAGGGTCGCCTGCTCCCTCATCATCCTCGTCATCCTCATCGTCGTCATCGTCGCTATATTCGCGAGGCCAGTCTAGCTCCCAGTTTCCGCGAAAGCGACGAATCTCAATCTCGTTATCACTGGTTTCCTCGTCTGATACCATTTTATTCTCCCAGCCAGGGAGTCCGCTGCGTGTTCGCGGGCCCCTGGGAAGTCGGGCATCGTCCCAGACGATCTCTGTGACCTGGTGCCGGAACTTCTCATGGTCTGCGACAGCACGAAAGATTTCGATATTCAAGGGGTTGGCCGACAAACACTCGCTGGAGACGCAGTTCCACTGTATTGGAGAATTGTTTAGAGGCGAGGCGCATGGACTTGATATCGCGATTCGGTAGACGGGATGTAATTTCTCGCCACAGCTCCAAAGGGAGAGCAATGCTCTGGCCAATCGAAGTCATTTTGGTGCGCTGGTGCACTGGTAACATGGTGGAGGGGCAAAGTGGGTTGACAACAAAGTCATTAGAAAATCGGGGGGGATTAGCGTTAGCGTCAGTTGGTGTGTACGGGCGCCCCACCTGGGCAACCTCCTACCCATCCGGCATGAACGCTTTACGGAATACTCGAAATATACTAGTTGAAACGCGTAGAAATTCCTTTATTTCTAACTTCACTCCCATGCGCTAAACTTGAAGCACAAAGATACTTAAAGAGAACTTAAGGTTTTAAACTTAATTTCATGACGAACCTTAGAAGATGGTGACCCGTTTTAGTGGCGGGTCGGTCCCAGGGTGGGGTTTATGGGATACTACTCGGTCTACTAATAGGCGTGGATGGATATTATTCCAAATTCGAATCGGAAAGGGTTGCGAACCGGCTCCTAGAAAGACTATCTAGTTTGACTTCGATGGGGACGTGGAACGTATGGGCGTATGATCAAGGGTACTCCGACCCCCAATTCAAACGGTGGGTTTTTAATAAGTATAGCCCTCGATCGTTTCTGACTTCTACTTCTTCTTGTTCATTCCGAAACTTGAATCGAACACAAATCTAAGGATACAATATTCATTTTTCGTGACATCTCACTCTACATCAATCTGTATAATCTATCAAAGAGCTCACATTCGCCGAGCACCCTTGGCCTCTCCGAAAGAAAATCATTGGTCAATTCACTTTCCGCGAAAAACCTTCAACTCCGCGTATTATCAGTCAAGCCTTTCAAAATGAACTTTTGGACGCAAATTCAGGGTTCCGCTGCCCTCGCTGGAATAAAAGGACAATGGGGTGTGAGATATTTGGCTCTATATGGACGGGAGAGAGGGAAAACGAGCTGTCTAAAATATCTAAACTCCATCACATCTGTCCATCTATTCATGAACGGATGGGAGATCCGTTGGAGATCATGTCATGATCATCGCGTTATCAGGGCTCAATAGATTTTTCTTTTATTTAGTTTTAGATAGTAGAATACATTTATGCATTGAAAATACGTTTATATCACTGCGCCTCGAGTGATCGCTAACTGGACAGAGAATTAAGATACTTGATCAAGTTCTGGAATATCAAAAGATTATAATTCAGATCGATTTGCCCGCTTATCCATTTAACGCTTATGCAGATTTTAATTTGATTTCTTTTTTTTTTTTTGGCATCTCATCTGTAGTGTGTACTGTCTAAATCATTTGTCGGGGACCCGATGCAGCGTTTTGGCCCTATAGAACGCAGCCCCCACTCTTGATGCGATCTGACAGATGAATATGAGTCAATTAGTCTGACTGAACAAGAATGTCTTAAAAACCTTGTTTGTCCTCCGTGAAGTTTCTCAAAATCAAATCTTTCCTCCCATTCAAACATGCTATCTCCAATATCCTCTATGCTCATCCCAACTTTCTTCCTCTTCGTGGCCACCTTGGTTTCTTGTACGCCAACAAGCGCTGTAAATCCAGTTATAACCGCAGTTTACCAATTCCCCAGTGGCGCATACCTCGAGAATCTCGCCGTTGGCCATGAGAGCATTTTAGTCACTCGCGCGGACACACCTTTACTGTATCAAATCATCCTCCCAGCCAGGCCTCATGCTAGTGCCTACGCCAGCCTGATCTATCATTTTCCCAACGCAACCGGGCTGATGGGAATTACTGAATACGCCCCAAACACATTCGCTGTAATTGTCGGCAACTTCTCCATGACAAAACTAGTCCCCGGTACCTGGTCGGTTTGGAGTGTCCAAATTTTCGATAAAAACCATCCTACAGCCGAGAAAATCGTCGACTTGGTAGAAGCTCAGTTTCTCAATGGAATGACAATTTTGAATAAAACGGGTGCCATTTTGATTGCCGACAGCTTGGCAGGCTGTGTATACCGTCTCGATGTCAGGACAGGCGATTACGAAGTTGTTCTTGAGCATGAATCAATGAAAGCCACCGGGGCGATTGGACTCAACGGGATCCGCACAGTCACTACTACGACCGAAAGTCTCCTTTATTATGACAACAGCAAAACAACAGCGGTGAATCGGGTTGCTATTGATCCTGTTTCCGCGCGAAGGGAAAATATATCACATTGGCTCATGGGTTCTATGCCGATGACCTGGCCTATGACTATGAGACAGGTGATGTCTGGGTTGCGGGCAACGCCGATAACACGATTTTCCGGATCAATTTTGATGGAGAGGAGATTGTTGTGGCGAATGCGTCTAGTACGCCATCTGTGGTGACCCCATCGAGCCTTGCGTTTGGTAAGGGGAGGCATAGTCGCACGCTGTTCGGTACAACTTATGCTGGGGTGGCGCCGAATGGGACGGTCACCGGCGGGAACTTGCTGGCGATTGACGTTGGAATAGAAAACGCTGAAATAGCAGGGATCACTAGGCAAGTTGAACCTTATATATCGTGAAGTATCCACTTGAATACACATGCATTTCACTGATATAAAGATTTTGACTCCGACAGAGATTATGGAGACTCAATCATTGCGCGATACCTTCCCCACTTGTAGTGCATAAGAGTTGAAGCCTTGGTGCTTTTGGCGAGGATATTATACACAGACCTGGACACCGATGACGAATTCCCTTTGGTTTTCTGCTTACTGTGACGCATTTTACTCCAGAGTCGGATTCCATATGGTCGGTCTCCCACCAGGTCCACTCCTGTTGTTGGCCTCAACTTCCTCATTGCCTTAGCTTCCTTTGGTAACATGATAGCCGTGATAATCGGCCTATCTCGACGGATCAGAGAATGCGGCCGACGGGGAGTTCTACCTCTCATGACGTTCTGGGTCTCGACTAAGCCGTTCGGCACGACCTTGGGCCCGTACGTTATAATTTGCTCTCTGGCCGTGCTGATGATCCTAGCCGTCCCTGCTGGAGATTCTTTCACTTTCGGTATGTTCCTTTTCTTTCCTTCTTTCTACTTTCCCGTTAGAAGCCAGTCAGATGTTCTTGCAATGCCAATACTGAATAGTCAATTATTTGAACATCATCCCGTCTGCTGCCTTTAACTTTGCAATGGCTCTTGGTATCTACGTTGTTCGCTGGCGCCGAAGTAAAGCGAACCTGCCCGAACCCGAATTCAAGGCCTGGAACTTCGTGATTCTGTTTAATATCCTAGTCCAGCTCTGCCTCCTTGTCATGCATCCGCCCACAGGTGCACAGTATGCTGGTGATGTCAGCTTTTGGTATGCAACGTATGCCGTGACAGGAATTGGAATATAAGTCAACCAAACTTGGTCTACCCTTCTAGACTGCTACTACTCTATTATTACTAACGGAAATTACGTAGTCTTCTTGCCTGCGGCATCTATTACTATGCTTGGCCTTCCTTATTCCCAAATGGAGGGGCTATGAGTTGCGACAGGAACTGCTGTACCTAGACGGTGGAGTTCAGAGTAACCGACTGAAAAAGAGTCCTTAACGCTGAGGTTGGAGAGTGGGATGCGACGCATGATGCGGCCGGCTGTCTCACCGAGTCGCCGGTTGAGATTCAGGTTCAGGTAAAAGGCACTGATATGATTTAGGAGTTCTAAAGCATTCTGCCATCGGTTCTGCCTATTGGTTTGTTGAGTTGTTTTCATAGCTTATATTGCGTAGTTTATCGGGTTAGGAGCGGATAGGCCGTGGGAGCCTCGTCCGGTGGTCAGGTTGTCAGCCGTATTTAAGGATTGAATGTTTAAGCCACATAAAGGCTTGAAGAGCCTTTTCATTAGTGTACGTGTACTATATCCTAACCTTTTCTTACCTTAATCTTTCTTATCAGGGTAGATTTTTAGAACCCTACAAGCCACAATAATCTTCTTAGTAGTCTTCTCAGGTAGTCTTCTCCGATAGTCTTTTTATATGTCTTTTTAGCGGTCTTTTTCGAAATTCTCCTTAGGTAATCTTTTTTAGATATATCTCAGCTACCTCAGTTCCTTCGCTCACCTACTTTCATCTTATACACATCGCAAGGTTGCTTTGTTTTGAGATTTGGCCCTTTTCTACATTTAATCATCCTGCATATATTCACATCATAGCGGCAGTCCTCCCTTGGAAACGGTAATGAGTGAGCACCAAGTCGCCACTGCTGCCGTTCACAATGTGAGAACACCCTTCTCGAAAGCTTCAATCTATCAGTTCCCTCACTTCCTTCGTTCAACTTTCCAAATCTGCAAATGTCACATCATTAATTGTTGGAGACTGGTCACGCGACCTAGGTGGCTTCCTGGTTTATCAGGCTATAATGCCTGCTTGTTTACAGGAGTTCCCTCCTTCCTCTCTCTCTCTCTCTCTCTCTTTCTCCCTCTCTCTTCCTCCCTCTCTCTTCCTCCCCGGTCTTCTGTTAGTCTATCAACACAGTCTTTCCACCCTGCTTGTTCTCGTCCCCGCCAACATTAATCTCTCCACCCTCAATCCTTGTTCCAAATCTGAGGGTTGTGGATATATCTATATCAGAGAAAAACTCGAGAAACATGGGTGCAGAGGTACGGAACACCTTCACGGGAACCCATACGAGGATTCGAAAGTCTGCCTTGATCGCGATATGTTAGATCAAAATCAACACAAAATCACCCCAGTCACTACGGTTCGCTCGAGTGACATGATCGACCAGTTTCTTGCGGAGGCAAATCTGGCCTCTGAATTGGTTAAATGACATGAGGGCGCCATTTCTACTGCTTATCTTTGCTACTCAAGACACAAGTGTCTTTTTGTCGAATGCAAGAAACCCGGCAAGACAGTCAAGAAGGGAGACGACAAGAAACCTAAGAAAGAAGACTGGGACAGTTCCATTGATCAGTCGGAGAGACACATTCGCAAGTGGACCGACCACAATCTCTCCAGACCTTTTCATGGAGTTGCCAGCATTGGGCTTGAAGCCAGGGTCTTTCTTATGACTGCATGAGCGATCTGGTGGATGGGATCGTGGTAAGGAGATGGGCTTTGGAGGCACGCTCCGTGGATTCTTCGAGCGTGGCGAGTTCCAGGAAAACGCGCCGATGTTTGAAGCGGCCATACGCTTTAGGTGGGAGGCAGCCCTTCTCGCAGACTACATTCTCGAGTTGTTTGACCTTCCTGCTCCTGGTAAGGAGATTTGCATCATGTGGAACCGGGTTTTATGGATTGAACATAAACTGGAGACAATGCCAATACCCGATTTGGAGGCACGTTGGAAGAAGATGTACAACTCCCTTTCCGGTTATTTTGAAACTCCTTGCTTGAGAGAGCAAGGCCCACCTTTTTACCGACCACTGCATTATTTGATCGCGACCTGTTTGGAAGCTGACAAACAGGAGCATGAGACAACTGCTATAATCTCTGCCATTGGAGATTTCATGAGCACAGTTCGGATGTTTTACCAGCAACGTCTATGTGAGGACCAAGAAGTTCGTGGTAGAGGCCGCGAGTGGCTAAAATCCATCGGTCGACGGGCTCGCAAGTCCCTCTCGCCGCGTAAAATGACACGCCACTCAACGTCCGTCTCTTGCTAAGTTAGCCCGGTGAAGGTTTACGTGCTCCTCCGAAGGGCTGGGAAGAAGGCCACAGAAGTGAATGAGACAGAGGAAGAACATCACATTCTTATTATTTCCTAAGCTCTAGGGATTTGTATTTTAGCTTACTAGTATTGGATATCAATAAACCCTACTTCCCGACTTCAAGTTGGGCCGCCCGGTTTTGCTTAATTCGATACTATAAGTAGAGAGAATCAGACTTGTGCCCCGCAGAGCGGCGTAGGAATGCCAAGAGCTGTGGTCACCTGACCTTATCATATCTAATCGGATCTTATTTTTAAAAAATTTCAAGATACATAACATAGCATTAAGAGAACCCAATTGTACTACTATACACTGGTCGCGGAGAAGCTCGAAAGAAGACAAATCGCCGGTTCCGTCATTACCACCCAAACCAAGCTTTCCCACTCCATCAGCAAATATTTTTCTCCACCGAGACCCGCGGGGTACTCAACCGTACACAAAAAAGAATCGCAACCCCACGCCAGGTCCAAGGTCCAACAACCATATAAACATATCCCACCAAAATGTCGACACCTTCAACGATCCAACCGGCCACAGACGCCGCCTCTCACCTCGACCTAGCCATCACCCTCACACTCAACAATTGGCCGGCGCTCTCACTAGCCGTGCAGTCAAACTGGGGCGGCCCGAACTCAAGCGAAAAGCGGGACTGGCTTTGCGGTGCAATTTCCGACATGCTGGCCGATAGACCCGAGACCGACGCCGTGGACCTGGAGGAAGTACTTATCCAAGTGATGAACGACGAGTTCGACGTGGCGGTGGACGACGAGAGCGCTGCGGACGTTGCGGACCTGATCATGGAGCTTAAGGCGCAGACGGATCGCGGAGAGTTCGGCACTATCCAGCAGATGTTGGAGAAATTCCAGAAGAAGAGTCAGAATCGCTCTGCTGCGGTTCAGTTCCAGAGGGTTGAGGCTGCGGATGAGGATCAGGAGACGGATGAGAGTGAGGAAGGGGATGTTGAGATGGGTGATGCACCGAACTTGGTGCGGGCTCCTAGGGAGCGGGCTGAGCCTGAGATTGATGATGATGGGTTTACGAAGGTTGTTGGAAAGAAGAGGTAGATTTGGGCTTTTGTTGAATATGTTTCGTTTTATTTCCCGTTCGCTTCTGTGATAACGGGAAGCCCTTGGAAAGATATCCTTCTCTAGTTACATGTTACATCCATGGATAGATGCATTTATTACCAAGAATTGATCGTCTGTCAGATCTGGCTTGCGTGTGCTACCCTCTATGTGGCTGGAGATAACCCAAGAACCCGTACACGTTTCAACCGCTTGGATTCATAGATACAGCAAAGTCTATGTAAAGAAAAGAACGTGGAAAAGGAAATGTTCATCATCGTCAGTTGCGGACTGTCTGTGGTATCATTACGCGACCTCTGCCCACCCGTACCTCCCTGTTCAGAGGTTCTCGCAAGCACATCGCTGACATCGTTATTCTTTTGTGGTTGTACTTTTGAGAATATGGACATTCAGGTATCCTCGGTGGCAAAAGCACTTTACTGGGCCTCGGTCTCGGAAGTGATGAGCTTGGTGATCATACCAATAGCAATGGTTTGACCCTAAAAGCGATAGGTTAGCAGATGAACAAAATATTAGGAGTGCGAAGAAGACATACCTGGTCACGCAGGGTGAAACGACCTAATTGGTTGTATTCATCGTACGTCTCGACACAAACCGCACCAGCGGTGCTGGTAACCTCGAGACGGGCAATAATGGTCTGGCCCTTGCTGGCGAACTGGGGAGGGCGCTTGCTCTTGCGGCCGGTGCCGGGCTCGAGCTTGTGAAGAAGGGAGGCGAAGGTAACCTCCTCAACAGCGGAGTGAACGTGCAGGACACAGTTGAAACCGGCGGTCAGAATGCTCTTCAGATCCAAGATACGAATCTTAGCCTCGAAAGCAGACACGCAGTGAACGGGGCGCTTAGGTGAGCAGAGCACGAAACCGGGGAAGAAATCCTCTTCTTCGATACCACGGAGACGCAGACGAATCTGATCACCAACCTTGGCAGTCGGAATCTCTTCTTCTGTTTCACCGTACATCGCTGAGATCTGAACCTCCTCGCGGTTAGGCATCATGAGGTAAGTACCGTTCTTCTTAATGATACCGGACTCAATGCGACCCTCTGCCATGGTACCCATGTCACGGTACTTGGCGCTGATTGGCATCATGAACGGCGCGTTGACCTTACGCTCAGGGAGCTCGAACGCAGTCAGGTACTCAAGCAGCGACGGACCGTCGTACCAATCGCACACATCTTTGGGAATTCGGTCCTTGATACCGATAGTGCGCTGGGCAGAGATAGGCATGCAGAAGATGTCCGACTTCTTGTAGCCCAGAGCTTCCAGGAACTTGGTGACCTTGATGGTACATTCATCGAAACGGGCCTTGCTCCATTCGACAGTGGGGTCGTCCATCTTGTTAACAACAAGCACCAACTTGCTAACTCCAGTGTTGCGCGCAAGAAGTGCGTGCTCGCGAGTCTGGCCACCTTTCTCGAATCCAGTCTCGTACTCACCCTTACGAGCAGAGATAACCAAACAACCGAGATCGGCCTGAGATGCACCACCAATCATATGAGGAACATAGGACTTGTGACCAGGCGCGTCCAAGATGGAGAACTGACGCTCGATATCACCCTCCGGGTGGGGATGTTGACCTTGAAGAAGGCACGGCCAACCTCAACTGTCTTACCCTTGGAACGTTCCTCCTGGGTCAGATCAAGAGCCCACGAGAGGTACCAGGTCTCTCGACCAGCGTCCTTGGCCTCCTTCTTGTATTTTTCCAGTGTACGCTCATCGACCATGCCGGTGGCATGCAGGAGGGAACCTCCCAGGTGGACTTGCCAGCGTCGACGTGACCGATGAAGACGACGTTGACGTGCTCTCTCCGCTCACCGTAAATTTCCTTCAGGGTTGCCTCATCAACATCAGCCTGTTGTGACTTTGCGACGGCATTGGCCTCGCGAGCTTGCTTGGCTGCCTCGCCGCGGGCTGGGCTGGAACGTCCGGGGCTAGAGCGACCAGAAGATGGCGTGGGAGAAGACTTGCCAGTAGCAGCGGCCTTGTCGGTCTTGTCGAGGCCCTTGGTGGCCGCCACCTTTGAGCCTGCCTCAGCAGCCGCGGTGCCCTTGGTATCACCATTGGCCTCCTTGGGGGTGGTGTCAGCAGGCTTGTCAGCAGGCTTGGCTGCCGGGGTAGGAGTGCCGATCGAAAGGACCTTGGTCTTGGGGGCAGCACCGGAGGAGGTGGCGCCGATAGACAGAACCTTAGTCTTGGGCGGGGCGGCATTCGATGCGGGCTTGGGAGCGGACTGAGCCGGTGCTGCAGCCCGGGGTTGCTGTTGTGCCGCCACAGGCGCATTCTGACGAGGTTGCTGGTTGTAGCCACCGTATTGCTGTGGTCCATTGTTGTACTGGCCGAAGCCACCAGGCTGCTGGGCATAGGCATTGTATTGGCCGTAGGCTTGCTGGTATCCACCATAGGCCTGTTGTTGGCCATACTGAGGGTATCCCTGCTGGGGATAGCCAGCATACTGTTGGTACGGCTGTCCGGGAACGAAGGAAGAGGCTCCAGGCGTGAAAGAGGCGGCGCCAGGTTGGAATGAGGGTGCCTGGGGCTGGGGGCGAGATTGTGCGTTCAGGTTGACGCCCTCAGCCTGTCGGGAAAGCTCATCCTCCCAGGATTCAGGTGTTTGGTTTGACATCGTGAAATAAGATCCAAGGTCGAATTAACACGAAAATACCAAACCAAGACGGATTTGGACAGATACAGGTTGGGTCAATAAGAGGGGCGTGCCTTTTGATTTTGCACAGGTGAATGACTAAGACCCCGCGATAATTTTTTTCACGTGATATGATATTGCATAGTCTTCCTCCATTGTGTGAGAAAGTGAATGAACTTTTTTGAAGAAATCATTCTGTTTGCTTATGATTATGACTTTTTCTAATTATCAGATCTCACTACGTTGTCTCTCTTCTAAGGTTAAAAGCACAAGTGTCGGGCAGTTTTATCTTCTTTGAGCTTTCATTCTCTTATCGATAAGCACCCCTCCATGTCCGGTGGTTTATTGCTCAGGGGCCTTTTATATCGCCCGTCAATACGATCTACCCTACAAATTTAAGGGCCATTGGCCTTTAACTTGAAACACAATGGATACTTTTCTAACTGGGGTTTGTCTCATATATTACCGGTCGTGGGGCGAGGAGCTAATCCGTTCATTGCATACAGCTCACCCGACAGGCAATGAATTATGCTATTCGGTATGCTTGATAACAACAGAAGGACAACACCATTCAATGCTAAAGGCTGTCACGCAGGTCGGGAATTGCGATAACTGCCAGTTATGCAATGCGCCAGTCGTCGCGCTTGCTCAAAGTAAGTGTTTTTTTCGACTACAGGAAGAAGTCAGCGCTGATCGGTTCAGAATGTCAAAAGCGAAGACCGAGATGAGCTGGTCTCCTTGCAACAACGCCTAGAAAGCAAGATACAGGTCATAGCCCCAGCTATTGACATGATTGAATTGATGTGAGTCACCAGACACTGGGTTGGATAATCAGAAAGCTCACAATTGGCCTAGTGCTGCTCGAGGAAATACGTCATTGGAATCTGCCGTCGCCCTCACGAAGTCTCTGAGATGGGACATTCAGGCTCTAGGACAGCGGCTTGGAAAAGCCGCGGCATCTGAGGAATTGAGACGCAAAGGAGCAAGCTCGCCCAAAGACCAGGCAAACAGTGAGAAAGAGATCAAGCTTATTATCAAAGATATCAAGAAGCTGTTGGCTCGAATTGAAGATGCAGTGCCATTGATGAATCTGGCCATCACTACCTCTGGGGCAAAGTTATCCACTAACTTGCCCGCAACGGTATCGCCATCCCGGCTCCTCCAAGCCAGCACATTTCTCACAGCAGGGGATACACAATATTCAATGTCCCCATCTCAGGCAGTCCAAGTAGGGCCGACTTTTACCTTATCGATGTACATGCTATTTGCCAGTCACTTGCGACCCCATGATGAAGAATCGGTCCGCGAGGCCACGTGGAAGGAAGTCATGCACAAGGCGCGTTTGAAGCTGCGTCGCGTCCCAATAGCTTCATTGCAGTCTCCAGGCCAACGCCCGCGAACGAAGCTTCCAGGACCAGCGGGGGCCGATGAGTACGCTTACCAAGTCCTGATCATCGAAGACCTAGATGATGGCCGAGTCCACACAATCGACGAAAATGATCCACAGCCCCAGAACTACGAAGGCGTTTCCACGGCAGGAATCCGGGAGATTCTTCCTATTCATCAAATCTCAAAAATCTTCTACGCAGACACCGGGAGAATCCTCAATATCAGCACAGAGGGCGAAACAAACAACCCAGTGCTGCTGTTGAAACGGGACCTAAATGCTCTCCCGCCACGGCGCATGATGGAACGCGAGGAGGTAGAGGAGGACTTCCCTCAAGCAGAATCCGAGGAGGAACCAGAGGACGAGGAGCAAGCTCAACTCGATGCACAGCTGAACGGAGAGTACAATCGGGAAACAAGCAGTTTCGATCATTTACATGAAGACTCCATACCCGAAGAATGGCGTCTGCCTCCCGGGACTGGACCCAGAATGGATCGCATTTGAGGTCTATAACGAAGACGAAAGCTCCGATACCGAGTCGGAAGCTGAAAATCCCGAGGCATCCCCATCCGAACCCTCCATCGACCCAAACATGATGGCCAAGCTATCGCTTAATGAGAAGGGACATTCGTCTCACTCCCCTCTCCCCTAAATCAGTCATTCTTGTCCGCTGCCGCCGCAACAACAGTCTCCAACCCTCACTTCGAGAACATCCGCACCTCCCTATCCCTCCTCGAAACTCTGCTCCGTCTAACATCCCTCCAACAATTCCAACAACAATCCCACCTATCCATCAGCGACGAGCTCCTCAACTTCTTCCTGGAAGAGTCCTCCACCACCGGCGCTGGCGGCGACGAACAGCACCGCCAGCGGCTCCGCTCCGAGGCCCGTCGTCGCGTTGGCTGGGACCCCTACAATGAAAGCCCTGTCAAACACCGCGGCGAGGATTACCAGTACGGCTGGGAGCCCGGTAGTCCCCACCAATACGGCGGCGATCCTTACTCGCCTAGTGGGCGGCCGCAGGGCTTCCATCTTCGTTCTAGAGAGAGTACGCCGGAGACACCGGTGCGCAAAGGCTCGCCGAATGTACGTCCAGTTGGTCAGCGTGGTATGAGGCCTGCGTATACTGAGTCGCCCCTTTCGAAAAAGATAGGTAGGTCTCTGGATGATGGAGATGTAGGGTCTGGCAGGGCAGATTGAATGGGAAATGAATGGGAAATTCATGCCTTGTACATACATGTATTATGATCATGATTATGAGATAGCGAGTGCATTACAAGATTGTTTTCTTTTTGCCTCGGCCTTACAGATGAATCCTTCACTAGATGTTAAATTGTTCGGCGGATGTCATCAACCCTAGCCGCCCTCGAATGTGGGCTAATGGTCTACTTAAGAGCTTAAATAGTCAGATTCCCCGTGTTAGGATACTATGTAGATAGAAGGAATGACGTGTATTCAGATATCAACCGCATAGACAGATAACATCGCTCGCTGAAAGCAAGTTGCAGAAAACAGAGCTGGGAATAGAAGGAGAGAAAAAAGCCCGAAACGCCAAAAATAAAAAGACCCGACATTCCTAAACTCCAACCAAAGCAGATTCTTCAGGGGGCAATTGGCCGTGTTTAAGCTGGCGCACGCAGTAGCAAGACCACGCTCTTCAGGGGGTATATGGTATAGACAGGCGCCCTCGGAACCAACTTGGATCCTCTTGCCGATGCGTCCTTGAAAAGAGCAAGGGAGTTACTCCCAATCTTCATCGCTGTCATCCGCCTTCGCAGCGGTGGGACTCTTTTCCTTGGGGCTACCGGGTGTGCGGCTAGCAGTGCCACTCACAACGTCGTAGCTTGATTCGCTGTCGGCTTGAGATTGTAGGTCGTTTGACCGGCGAGGCTCAGCTTTCTGGGTTTCTTTGGTGGGAGCGAGAGTCTGGGAACCAGAGCGGACCTGTGGAGTAGAGGGAGACTGAGACTCAGAGTCAGAGTCGTCGTCCCAGCCGACTTCTTCTTCGTCTTCGGCATTGGCACCTGTAGAGTAGAACTGGTTAGAACTGGAAACAAAATCACCGGATTGATGGGTTCAATATACCCTTCAAAAGTTCCTTGCGCTTCTTCTCCTCGGTCTCTACGACGAGACGCAGGAAATAGTAACGAGTCCAGAATTCCCCGTATTCCACCTTCTCCGGCACGAGCTTCTCCATGGCCGAACGGAGCTCGGGGTATTTCTCCAAATCGGCAGCGATCTCATCCGTCTTAACTTCGACATTGAACTCCTTTTTGAACGAAGGCCACTCGTCGCTGACCGGGTCCTTGCTGAAGCTTTCCAAGTTCGAATGAATAACGTGCAGTTGTGCCTCGAACCGTGTTGCATGAATGACCCGCTTTCCTTCGGCATCCTTGCTCTCGAAGAGAAGCTTGCCAGCCTCATCCGTATCGGGCGGCAAAATGCTCACGGCTTCACGCAGCTTCTGGCCGATGTTCATTCCAAATCGCAGGATCGCTTCATCGGCTGCTTCCTCTGCCTTCTCAATCTCCTTCAGCCGCCGAGCGGCTTCCGCCTTCAACCGGGTAATAAAGCTTTCTCCACTGGCGCCAGCGCCTTCACTTTGTCCCTTGTCGCTAGATTCTGCTCCTTCTGCGGCAGCCTTGGGTGTGGCGGTGTCGTCACTTTGTCCGTCGCCACTGCCTGTCAGAGCAGCTGTGCTGAGAGACAGCCCCTTTGTCCGGTCGGCGATTGTTTCCCTAAGGTCTGAAAATCCTTTCACGGCTTCCTCGCTGGCGGCCGCATACTCCTGGCGAGCACCCTCGTAGTATGTTTCTCCCTGCTTGCGTACATTGTCCCATAGCCCTCCAATTCGGGAGCCCCACGGACTGGCGGAGAAGGCACGGAAGGTCTCCTGTAGCTCATCGTTGAGATTGGCGTTGGACTCCTGGGGCTTGGAGTCGGAGGGGGTTCCCTCTTTGTGGGAAAATGCCTCCTCCTGGATGTGATCGTAGGCGATATCCATGATGGGGAAGTTGCAAGAGGGAAAAGAGAAGGACGAAGCACAAGGATGCAGCTCCGCGTTCGTCCATGGGCCGACCGCCCCGCTTGCGACGATCCTCAAAACTAACTACGACATGCACACCGTTTAAACAGTGCTCAGTAAATCCAAGATAATTTTATATAATAATCATATTTAATAATATCTTTGGTATTCATAAATCGTAATCTATTGAACGGTGACCTCGGAAGCAATGTCATCCTTCAGGTAAGCTATAAGGCTCTCCTACACTATCCTGACTCCCCATCCAAAAGTTCGGGAGAGGAATGCTCTCCATGACGCTCGATGTGAGAAGCTGGCTCCGAGAAAGGACTCGGCCCTGCCATTGAGGATCTCGATCCACCGCCTGCGAGGACTCAACTTGGACCACTGAGTCAGGAACACGAGGTCGTTGGAACGAATTATCGCCTGACTCAATTCCACGTTCTTTTTCCCGGATGGGCGACGACTCGGGAACCATTTCAGTAGACTCTTTGTCGCCTTCCTGGCTCTGTGTTTGTGTCTGCGAAAATGGCCCCAGTGCCGGTTTTCGGACAGAAGGCCTCCATGCCTCCAAATTTGTGTACTGGCTACTGCCTCCGTTAGGGAAAAGCTCAGACATCTTCTGCGTATTCAGTGTTGGGATTGGCTCGTGCGGGAATTGTGTAGCTGCGTGCATTCTCTGATAGCATATCGAGGCATCAGACATTGGACCTTCGGATGGAGGGGCATCATTCAGTCCTGGGCTCGATTGCGCAGCGGGTAGAGGAAGTTCTTGGGAATCATCCTTGGGTGACTCTGGGCTAGGTTGGGTCGCATGTGACACGTCCTGTCGACCAATTGCTCGGTGTGGTTTTTTAGGAGATGGTGTCACGGAACCTCCATTGAGGTTGTCCTCGAAGTCCCCATATTCTGAGTCCGCATCCGTTTCATACACGACAGTCCTCTCCCTCCTGGTGGGTCCGCTTGTCGAGTACACATTTGCTTCAGTGGGGTATTCCTGGGAAGTTGACGCTGTCGGGGGTGCAGAGGAAGGGAATTCCTCAGTAGTAGTTGGATCAGGATGGATGAAATTGTTATAGTTGCTTGGAGAATCAAATGTTGGTGGCCGTGGTAAAGATTCGCCTCCAGGGTCTTGTGAGTCCTCGACCACTCGCCGAACCTCCGGGGGTTCTTCTTTGATAGGTCGCATGGGATTATTCGTGGGGTTTAAGGGTTTCCGTTTTGAAGGAGAGCGAGTAGCGCTGCGAAATTGAGATGAGGTTATAATAGCGAGACCAGGGCTTTCGGGCGTCTGTGAAGAAGGTATCTCGCGCGTCTGAAGCTTCCGCGGTGTAACAGGAGCTGCAGGTGGCCGCGTGCCTTCATCTCCGCTTCTGGGATTTGACTCTTGAGCTTCCTGATGTTGAGATATAGGTTCCCCGGTAGACAAATCCAGCTCTTCTTCCAGAGATCTGTGCTTTCGTTTGGTGGAGGTCGGACGCTTGGTAGGCTGTGATTGTTCCACCTTGGGCGTGTGCTCTGTCTGTTCATCTTTTATGCCCTTCTTCTGCGGTGTCGGCTGGATATATCCCATGTTCACGTCGTCGTCATCGTCATCGATGGTAATGTAACGTCGTACAAAGTCCATCTGAGTTAACGTCTTGTCCCGCTTTCCCGCTGACTTCTCCAGAGATTTTCGCCCGCCCCTAGGACGAACACTCGCCCTTGGGTTCTCACTCTTTCGTGGCCCGTGACTTCGGTATATATCTCGATCGGTGATTGCAGAGCTCCTCCGCTTCTGCGGGCGGTCCTCCGAAACACGCGCTCGTTCGCTCATCTTGAATTTCGAGATACGAGCTGACCGAACTGTTGGAGCGGGGAGGTAGTCCGAATCCTTGTCCGACCCATCATCTACATTGAGCCGTTCAGTTGTGTCTCGGGTATCGTCGCGACGATTGGGTTCGTCGATATAGGTAAGCTGGTCATCATTCGAAGGTGTGGGCTGTGTCACAAAGTCAATCTGCGTGAGAGTCGACTGAACTCGTGACAGCGATGTTCGCTTGCGGGCGCTTGCCGATGTCGACGACTGTGGTGATCGACTCCGCGCGGTGATGCTTTTCGTGGCAGGTGTTGGGAGATCTCGTGAACTTGGTCTTCTTGGGGTGCGGAACTGATTTCGAGGAGTATCTGGCAGGCTTCTAGATTCATGCAGTTCTTTCATCGCAACAGCAATGGTTCAAGTCAAAACATCGGACTGGGGCCTAAATGTAAAAGATATGACGTTAGGGGAGAGGTGCCTGAGGCGATTCGCGTCGACGCGTCGCTAATATCGACTTGGTTCGTGCATTATAGTTTCCACCCCATGTCTTCAACAATGAAGTCCAATAATTACAACAAAAAGCACAATGCAATTATTCCGATCTGGACTGTCTGATCCTCGAATTGGGGAAAAAAAAAAAGCAAAACAAAAGCAAAAAAAGAAATCTCAAGTTTTGTTTTAGGAATAGCCGAACGCGGGGGTCGAACCCGCAGCCTTAAGATTAAGAGTCTTACGCTCTACCGATTGAGCTAGCCCGGCCGGGCTGTTGAAAGAGGCTGCCATAGAATGCTACACTAGTCCGTGAGATCCTTCCAGGAAGCTTGCTAGAGTAACAAGGACCTATAATGTCGAATTGCATGCTCATAAGCCTTGTATTGCCTAGGCGCGTTGTACCATACAGCCACTCCTTGCTCTGCCGGGTCCCTCCGCTTCCGATGAGCATAGATATTGACTCCTAGGACATTCAGATAGTGCATGTTGATGATGCCGAATATCAGGTTGCGCGCCTCGTGGGGCAAGGGAGGAAGCAGTGGTTCGGCCTCCAGCCCCCGATTCGGGTGCGGCTTAATGAATCGGGTATTTCCCGGGTTAAAACATTATTTGACTTTTGTACGGAGTAGAGGATGCATATATAAAGTACATTGCAAATCCTTCCAAGGTTTGTATCTCAACTGCAACATCACCTAGTTGGGAGTAAAGCTAGTTCCCATTGGGAGCACAGACCGGTTATTGACTGAGACAACTGGCAGATAGGCCGCAATATTTCCATTCCTGTCTGGGAAAGTTCTCTTCGCATACTTTCTCTCACACATATAAGCACCCCCTCTTTCTCTCTATACCTTCTTGATCTGATTGTACAAGGTGAGTTGATGAAGGTATCATCTGCTGCAACATTGACTGACGTACTGGCTGGGGTATCAAGCAGCATCATGGCATCTTTGGTATCCATGGTTGGTCGGATTTACCAGGCTTTCATTCCGCCGCAGCAACCTGCTAAAGTGGAAGATGCTCTTAAATTTGGCATTTTGGGAGCTGCCGGCATCGCGTATGTGGAATATATATGTCAGAAGCTTAACCCGTTGACATGATATATAAAACTAGGCAACTTGCTTTAATTACTCCAGCCAAATCCCATTCAGAAGTCATTATCCAGGCGATGTCAGCTCGCGACCGTAAGAGGGCGGAGGCTTTTGCTAAGTCGCACGGCATTCCCGAAGTCAGAGACTCATACGAGGGTAAACTGTCGCCAACGGCAAACCCAGATCAACTACTTACTGATATGACTAGATATTATAAATGACCCCAGCATTGACTGTGTCTTCATTCCCCTTCCAAACTCCCTCCATTATGAATGGGCAGTCCGGGCCATTCGCGCTGGCAAGCATGTTCTACTTGAGAAGCCCTCTGTGTCAAACTCCACGGAGGCGGAGATTCTCTTCAACCTGCCTGAGCTTTCTCAACCCAATGGGCCCGTCCTCCTGGAGGCTTTTCACAGTCGCTTCTTTCCGGCCTGGTCATACTTCCGCTCTTTGATCGACCCGGCGAATGTCGTCCACATAAACGCCGTCTCCATGATCCCCTGGTGGCTAACCAGCAAGGACGATAGCCACTTCAACTACGAGCTGTCCGGTGGCAGTATTATGGCCATGGGAACCTACAATTTGGCTGCGCTGAGGCTTTTCTTCGACTCTGAGCCTGAGGAGTGTCTGGACTGTGAGGTGCACGCCTACACCGATGGGATCCACGACAAATGCGACTATGATTTCCGAGCCCAGTTTCGCTTCCCAAACGGTGGAATTGGTGAGGCCTCGAGTACTCTAAGGGGACCCACGTGCTGGACCCCATCACATGTCACAGTGACCAACAAGGAGATCATCGTGGAAGACAAGAGCCTCCCTGAATCACAGCTCAAGGCTCAAAAGCGCGAGTTGACCCTCCATAGCTTTATACATGGGCTCTACTGGCATCGAATTGATATCAAGGATGTCTATGAGATTCGTGACCAGAGTACAGGCAACGTGATCCGGAAGTGGGAGGAGAAAACATACCGGAAAGCATACACCTTCAAGGAAGCAGGTGGTGATTTTGCGGACCTGCCCGGTGAATCTTACTGGATATCTTACCGACACCAATTGGAGCAGTTTGTCAACCGCATCAAGGGCCGGAAAACCCAACACTGGGTTGATAGAAGGGACTCGATTGCCCAGATGAAGATGCTGGATATGGCCTACGAAAAGAGTGGTCTCGGTCCACGGCCTACCAGTTCGTTCAAATAATCGGCAGCCGAAAGTCACAACTTTGGCTGTCCTTTTATTCCTATAGGATCTTCTTCTTCCTCGCTGCTATTCCGGAGTAGATGATCTTGGTTGCCCATCTGTTTTATCCAGGCTTTACCATTTCGTTCTCCGCTCACACTTTGTTTTCACCGAGCTTCATATGTATATTTAAATTAAAATATCTCGTACTGTATCGTATATCGTTCTTAACGCGAATCAGCCTCAAAGATATTGAAAGAAGAGACAAAGCCTGGCCCGTCGCTAACTGGGGAAGACAGCCTCGTGATGTACACGAAGTGCAGCAACGAGCGGCAAGAGAGGGAAGAATAAGCTATATATCGGCGGGAGCCTTGCCCGTCCCTAAAGAAAGAAGTAAACAACGCCAGGACATTAGCCCCTGGCACCCACTCATCTCTGGTCTAACTCATTCCTCGATAGACCTGACGGTTCATGAGATTGCCGTTGAGTACATGCTTCCATGTAGCCTCATTCCTAGGATAATTTATGTCCAACATACATAGGTAACATACAACGGATCTGATTATCAAAAATTAGTCCTCATCAGACATCAGCCATTCGGGAATTGCATCCTCATCCTCGGGATCCTCAGAAAGCAAAGATCCCTTCTCGATCTCACTGTCAGAACCATAGATGGGCACTGGTGACGGTGGCCGGGAGATAGTAACCACGCTTGCGGATTTGGAGCCTGTGGATGAATCTACTGCGATAGGAACTTTGTCCGATGATCCTGCGAGGACTTGAGGTACGGAGGTCGGGTTCAATTCGTGATTTGGCACAACCACCAGTGAGTAGCGAGGCGTTTTTGCAGCTTTGTTCCTGGCGATACTCTCAGGAATCGATGTCCGGTTGAAGGTCAAAGGTGCAGGCTTTGAAGGCTCCGCCGAGTTCGAAGCTGGATCATGATCATCGGGTATAAATCCCCCTCCAAGGGTATAACCCTCCTCGCCCAATGATGGTTCCATTTCATTTTCTGTGTAGCCTTCGGGATCGTGCTGATCATGCACTATTTTGCCCTTTCCCAGAGATCTTGGAGGCGGGCTATTGGATGGTTGGTCTGGTTCAGGAAAGAAACCACCCCCAGCATCCTCAGCGTCCATTTCGTCTTCGATATCTTCGAGCTGTTGTTCCTCGTCATCGCCAGCATATTCCTTGACCCTTTCTGCAATCCTAAGCTTCATCAAAAAGAGGCGCCAAAGCCGCAGAGCCTCCGCGGTTCTTGCCTCCAGTGCGGCATTCCGCCTCTCATCTTCGAGACCTCGCAAAACTTCCTCGAGCGCCTCCTGGTACTCGATGGCAATAACAATCCCCCCGAGCACAGCCGTGCCACGACGGCCTCTAAAGTCAAACCCAGTAACTGCGTCGGCATAGTCAATGCCAAGGATACGAGCAGCTCGAGCAGCCTCCGGGCGCTTGATGTGAACTCCGCCAGGCGGAACCATACTGGGCACATAGACATCGAGGTTTCCATATGCGTTCTTCGGGATTCTTCCTGAACCACCGGTGGTGGAACGTAGATATCTGTCTGGAACTCGGCGTATAGGGTAGTCTCTTGGGGCTCGTTTTCATCTTCGTCATCACTGAAGCCTCCGCCCTTATTTCGGCTTGCAGCAACACGCTTGAGAGGCTGTTCGCCAACTCTGACATCCCGCCCAAGGCGATACCATTTATCGGAACTTCTCACAATATGCACGTCAGATCGACGGTAAACGGGTTCTGATGTCTCACTCCGTGCTGTGCTTTTTCCCAACCCCACGTGCCCAATGACGCGTTTGGGATAGATCACTTCATTGCGACGGACGTGTCGCTCAAGCGCATAGACGGGATGGTCCTTGAAGTCCTGGATATTGCGTGGCATGGGCTCAGCTGCTGATTTGGATGTTAGTTCACTAATCTCTGCCTCATCCCGATCCTCGAAGAAGGGTTTTTCATAGGCCTTTAGTGCCTTATTCCACCACTCCTCGCCATTCCGCGTCGTTTCCACGCGGAGTTTCCGCGTCTTTGCATTGAATGCTTTTACATAGCGGCGAGTGACATCTCTTGCAGAGGCGTCATCCTCAAAAGCAACCACGTAACTCATCGAATTCAGCGAATCGCTCGCGGGTGGTTCAAATTTCGAAGGTTTAGCAAGGGATTTTGTTACGACAGGGTCAATTGGAACCCATTTCTGTGCAGCTTCGTTGAAAGCTTCCACCCAAAACACCGGAAATGACGAGTCTCGCGGTGTCGGAATTGGACCTGTGGGTGTTAGTTAGGCGTAGACTAACAGTCACTGGGAATCACATACCTGAGTGGAATTTTGGTTGAGGGGGACGCGAGGGGGTGAATTTAGGCTGTCCAATCCGTCGAGGTCTTGAAGCAGCAGGTGACTTTTCGCTCTTGCTGCGTTCATCTGTTGAGGATCCAGGATCGTCTGAGGATATCACAATATATTGATTCTTTGGTTTAGAAGGCGTCATGTCTTTCACAGTGCCAGAAAATGGCAACGGTTGCAGTGAACAAACGAGTCTCGCCTCTACGGCTACAGACCGCAATAGCGCACAGAATAGCTGGGCCCCGAAGTCCCGGGAACCTTCCATTGTCTTTGCTTGGGTTCGAAAATCCCCT